TATTAATCTTTTTTCTAGGCACAGGTAATAGGTACGTGTCAATACCGCTCCGATATCTATATATTGGGTTTTTTGGATATTGATATTGGCGGGAAAAAGCTCATCGCCCGTTTTAGAGCCCTTACCAGAGGGAGACTTTGTCCAAAAGTCGATTGCTTGGGTACCTCTGTCCCATTCGTGTTTCAACCGTGAAGCAGTTGCGTTTGCATGACTGTGTGTTTCGGTTTGAAGGGTGGGATATGGCGTGAATTTACTGGGTACAGAGGAATAACACCTGAGTCCTCAGGAATGGCAACGCATGGGGGGTATCATGGGCGAAACAGTATACTCTGTTATGTCCATGGTACTGCGCATATCTATAGGCGACGGTTACCACTTTACATCAGGTGGGCCGTCAGCTTGTTTGCCATTTTAAGTTGCATAAAAAAAGTTTTGTCAGCTAATTTTCCAATTATCTGACTCGTTTTTTTTTATTAATATTCTAAATATTTACGCTCATATTATAACTTGATATATCTTTTTTTAATAAATAAAATAAGTTATTGCGCGTTAAAAAGATACAGAATTTATGAGGTTAAATAAATATAGACGTTGTAAAGGAATCATTCATAACTATTTATCATGCACAATTGTATGAAAAAGTTGACCCGCTTTTCTCGAAGCATTTGTATGGAGACACTCTGTCTATATAATGTAAACTAGCTATCTCACTATATCTTAACTCGCAAGCGATCATCGCTTTCATAGATTGATTAATTTCTATGGATATATAGGTAATATATAGCAATCTGTATATTGTAGTTATAGTATCTATGTATTGGCTGAGTAAAGAATATATTAAATATAAGTTTTTTTTTTATACAACTTAGAATGGCAAACAAGCTGACGGCCCACCTGATGGAAAGTGGTAATCGTCGCCTATAGACATGAGCAGTTGCGTGGGCATAACAGAGTATAGTTTGCTCATGAATACTCCCCATGCGTTGGCATTCCTGAGAACTCAGATGTTATTCCTCTGTACCCTGTAATTTAACTGGTATATCCCACCCTACAAACCGAAACACAGCCATGCAAACACAACTACTTCGGAGAGGGAAAGGGATTGTTAGTAATGGAGACTGAGAATCCCATTGCTAGCAATATACCCAACCAGGTCTACCTCCTCGCGGTTCTCCCTGGAAACTATCATGGTTAATTCCTGATGAATTCATCATGATGGGCTTACTGGCCTATTTTCATTCTCATCTATCACCCTTCACTGGTGCCCCGCCAGTGTATCTCGTTAGCGCAGGCGGGGTTACAATACCATTTTCACCCATAAAAAAAAACACAACTACTTCACAGTAGAAACACGAGTGGGACAGAGGTGCTCAACCAAACGACTTATACAAAGTCTCCCTCTGATAAATGGTGAGTTATATATAATATTAAAAAAAGTATCTGATCTAAATGAATATAGATAACCGACTGGTATTGTCGATATCCAAGTGGATTATTACTTTTCTTCCATCATTAATGTTCAGAGAAATCCAATACATAGATATCGGAGCGGTACTGATATTTTTTTTTGATGGGTGAAAATGGTATGGTAACCCCGCCAGCGCTAACGGGATACGCTGGCGGGGCACCAGTGAAGGGTGATAGATGAGATCTCCCATATTTAGAACTAACAAAATTTTTCATCGTGCCTCCCACCAAACTGTTTATAATTACTCCTCTCCATCCAAAGGTTGCCTGGAAGAGATCGCTCTTAGAGATAAGGTCGCCCATTGTTTTCTCATTGTGATTATTTCTTGTAATTATTTATATTTACAATAAATTTACTATTGTAATCTTTTGGTGGAAACAATAAAGAGTATCTATCTATCTATCTATCTAACGTGAATTTTTGTACCAACTCTAGCCAGCCAGCAACGCAGGAACGTTGTGGGTTTTTTCAATTTTAATACTATACTTCTTTTAAATTTGCCATAGATTAGATTACTGTTGTTTCGTTTTATACATTAAGACAGTATAAATAAGAATTACACCTAATTTTGCAATGTCATTAAGAAAATATCACCAGTAAAGTATGATGTATGTAATTCTAATTATGTAGGCAGTTGACATAACTCGACGAGCATTATCTCAACACTCATAATTGTTAATTAATTAATGGTAGCAATAAATGATAGTACATTTAATTTGTATTGTTACAACATAACCGGTTCCTTATGACTGCACGTACAAATTATTGTACTTTAAAATATTGTATGATTTTATTTATTTATTTACACTTTATTGCACCAAGTAAAAAGAGAAATAACAAATACAGTAAATATTAATGAAAAGTGATACAAAAGGCGGCCTTATCGCTAAGCAATCTCTTCCAGACAACCTTTGGGTAGAGGACATTGAGAAAAAGACATAGGGTAGGTGGCGCACTATTATATAAATATACATACATACATACACATACATATATAATACATACACAATTAAATATATACATAACATACACATACTTAATAGTACACATACAACAGAAAAAAAATGTGGATTAATTAATAAATTATTTAAAACAGTTGTGTTGTGTAGAGTCTATGGTAGATGGGCACATATAGCACATTTTCGGAGATGTTTTTTCCCCACGGACGCACAGGTTATAGAATGAGCTCCCCTGTCGAGATTTTTCCAAGAGACTACAACATGATGTTCTTCAAAAAACGGGTAAATGGTATCATCAGGGTCAGCAATGCACATGTAATCATTGTTAATGCAGGCGTGGTCTCCGCTTACCTTTTTTTTATGGATGATAATGGAATGGTTACCCCGTTTGCTCTATCGGTATACGTTGGCTGGGCACCAGTGAGAGATGATAGGTGAGGATGAAAAGGCAGGTAAATTAGCCCATCGTGATGAATACACCAAGAACTCAGCACGATGGTTTCCAGGGGGCACTACGTGCAGGTCGACTTGTTAGCTGATTTTATTAGGTAGGTCGCATGTTTATTTGCCATCACATTGGTATAAAAAAACAATACAGGCTGTAACTAACGGCAGTCGGTATGGTGAAAATTAAATCTAGTTAAAGCCACAGATAAACAGGTTATAGTTGAATCACCTGTTCTGATTGTATCTAGATATATCTGGCTAAAACTGCTGTTACCACGCTTTGGCTTTTAGCCATAACATAGCCATATTTCTCTTTACACAGCTGCGCAATTATCTGGTTAGCTATAAATTGGCAGTTTGCAAATATATAGTGATCACTTCGTAGTCGATTTTTAATAGTCAAAAATAACATTACTACATAATATTATTGCTAGTTAATCGCTAATTATTCGTAGATTAAATGCAGTTTTTTGCGACATAAAGTGCCTTATCACCGTCATCACAGTATACACTGTGACACCCATGGCACACAATACGTTTTCATTGCTAAATTGTTTAAATTGCAAGCATATTTTTATATTGGATGATAATGTAATGGTTACCCTGCCCGCGCTATCGGTAGACACTGACGGGGTACCAGTGAGGGATGATAGATGACGATAAAGCAGGTCAGTGGGTCCAACGTGATGATTTCAACAATTTAAGATTATTTATTTGTAAAACATGCGTATAAATACATGCAGACGTTCACAATACAATATCGTTCGACATGTTTAGTTTGTACGCCTTACAAACATATGTAGTTACACAGACAGTCCAAAATTATACGTCAAGTCAATTTTATACAATTAATCGTCATCACATTCCAATTTTAAATACATTTAAATAAATAATAATAATAATTGTCAGGCATGAATAAAAAAAAAATGTCACAATGATGTTAATAAATATAAATAAATATACGTTTTGTCAAATTTTATCATTAAATAATTCACATACGTTGTAATAACATTTTTTTAATTTATACCTAAACACATTAGTTGGTGCATCCTTTATAGATTTTGGTATTTTACTATAGATTTTTGGTGCCATACATAATATACTGTCTTGCATAAGTTTTGTATTAGATTTTTTTAGATATAACTTATCATTATCACGTCGATTGCGTTTAACAATTTCTGAAAGTCGTGAAAATAAATTCTTATTAGTTTTAACAAATTAACACACTTCAAATATGTACAATGAAGGTACTGTCAATACATTATATTGTTTGAAATAAAGCATACAACTATCAGTATTTTTAAGATTAAACATGGCTCTTATGCACCTTTTTTTTTTATACAACTTAGAATGGCAAACACGCTGACGGCCCACCTGATGGAAAGTGGTAACCGTCGCCTATAGACATGAGCAGTACCATGGACATAACAGAGTATACTGTTTCGCCCATGATACCCCTCATGCGTTGCCATTCCTGAGGACTCAGGTGTTATTCCTCTGTACCCAGTAAATTCACGCCGTATATTACCCTTCAAACCGAAACACAGCCATGCAAACACAACTGCTTCACGATTGAAACACGAATGGGACAGAGGTACCCAAGCAATCGACTTTTGTACAAAGTAGTAATTGGGTTTAACAACCCCAATGCTAATAATATACCTTATCAGATCGACCTCCACGCGGCTCCCCCTTTAAAACATAGTGGTTAATTCTTGTTGAATTCGCTAAATGGGCTAACTAACCTGTGATAACTTACACCACAGCGCATGTGTGGTTACCATTTAATTTTCACCCACAAAAAAAAGACTGTAAATAATCTTTCCCTCGTATGTATTATATTACGCACGGACATACATAACTGTATATATATATATAACAAATGTCATTGCATTTGCGTGTACATAATTATCTGTTACATTTATAATATCAATAAACTGTTGGTTTTCCAGAGAGTCGTTTCACTCGCTTAGATAAAGACCTGTTTTACAAATGGTGTCGCCGGTTTTTCGTCAGGTTAAAAAAAAAACATTCTATTTCATCCTCACTTTATAGTTGTGTGTGTGAGTGTGTTTGTGTAACTGTCTGTGCTATTGTAACTCCTAAACGGATTGCTTGATTGCAGTGCTATATTTTATTTAAAAAAGCTGTTTTTGTTTCTTTTTTTTTTTAATTATAACTTTTTTTAATTTATAACATTAATAGCAAACTAACGTTTTTTTTAACTTTTCATCAACTAAAACTTTATGGCAGTCTATGGGGGAGGCCTATGTGCAGTGAAATGGTTATGATGGTATCAAACTAATTAGTTGCACCAATATTGATGTGTTTTTTTTATTTTCAATAAGTGATAATGGAATGGCAACCCCGCCTGCGCTATCGGTATACGCTGGCGGGGCACCAGGGAGGGATGATAGGTGAGGATGAAAGTCGGTTAGTTAGCCCATCGTGACGAATTGCACTAGAATTAATCACGATGGTTTCCAGGGGGAACCACGTGAAGTTAGACCTGATAGGCTGTATTGCTAGCAATGGGGCAGTTAGACCTCATTACTAACAACCCCCCCCCCCCCCAAATTGGTTAAATTTAAGTAAAAATTACAAGATTGTACACAATAATATTTATCGTGAGATTAATAACTACTAACAAGTGTGTTCCCGTGTGGTCCCGGCGTAGAATGAGCCACCCCTTACTTTCCCGTGGGTCGTAAGAGGCAACTAAGGAAGGGCGAGGGACGGGCAGCAGCGTCCCTGTTAAAATATCTCCAAAGCCTAACTGCGATTGCCAGTCCGCCTGCCAAGCGTGGCAACTACTGGAAAAACCCCCTTATGGGGGAGGCTTATGTTCAGCAGTGGACAGTTAAAGGCTGATATAATGAATAACATATATTGTTTATAAGGGGTGGCCTATTCTATGCCAAAACCTACACTGCTAACAGAATAGATATAATTTTATACAATTTTACTAATATTAGAGATGTTTGTTATTCAATCACGTTATGGCGTTATGGTATGGGCGACATCGAAATGGGTGATGACCTTTTTTCCTCGATCAATATCTAGAGGAACGCACTATATATGGTAGATATCGGATCGGTATGAGTAATATACCCATGTCTTGTATCCTTATTGTACTCTCATTTAGCAGGCAAAACCGCGAGAAACAGCTAGTGATTTATATTAAGAAAAAAAAATGAATTTTCATACATTTTTTTATCTATTAGGATTTCTAAGATTAATATAAATATTTAGATTTGTTTGTTAATTAACTTTTTTTTTTTTTTTTAAAAGAAACTTTATTTTCTGTCGTTAATTTTTATACGACAACTTTTTTGCTATTTTAGTTTTGCTATTGAAGGTCTACTTGGTTTTTTTTTTTTTTTATTTTGTTAATTACCTTATGTCTTAATAGGTCATACTATTCTTATGAACACACACACACACATAATAATTGTATATACACGTGTGTGTACACATATGGATATAGATATAAAAAATATATTTTTTCATGCAACTTAGAATGGCAAACAAGCTGACGGTACGCCTGATGGAAAGTGGTAACAGTCGCCTATAAACATTAGCAGTACCATGGACATAACAGAGTATACTGTTTTGCCCACGACACTCCCCGTGCGTTGCCATTCCTAAGGACTCAGGTGTTATTCCTCTGTACCCTGCAAATTCACTGCCATATCCCATCTTTCAAACCGAAACACAGCCATGCAAACACAACGTGTTTCACGGTAGAAACACGAATGGAACAGCGGTGCTCAAACAAACGACTATCGTACAAAGTTTCCCTCAGGTAAATCTCCAGGTTAATAAAGAACAAAGCTGCAGAATTACTTTATATTAAAACTTATTTTTCAGATATGGACGGTGTCTGCTGTACTTCTCAACATGATTGGACAGGGCATGGTTCTAAGCTACCCATCGAGTCTTCTTCCTGGTCTTCAGTCAGAAAACTCTACAATCAAAGTTGATTTTAACACTGCAGCGTGGCTCTGTAAGTGTATCTATGATATAAAACACGCACTTTATTTCCAAATAGTGTTAAAAACGTCTCAAAGTATAAAATAGGGTTTCCAGATATGATATGATTGCTATCTACGATCCAAAAAGAGAATATTTGTAGAAGACCGAAGTGGCTGACATAGCTCGAAGGGTAAGCAAGCTGAAGTCACAATGGGCTAGTCACATAGCGCAAAGAACCGCCGGAAAGAAAAGCTCTTGAATGAAGACTGCGTACAGGTAAACGTAGTTTAGATTTAGTATCAAAGGGCGAAACAGTATACTCTGTTATGTCCATGGTACTGCTCATGTCTATAGGCGACGGTTACCATTATTCATCAGGTGGGCCGTCGGCTTGTTTACCATTCTAAGTTGTATATAAAAAAAATCTCTTATAATGATTGCTATTTTACTTTCCAGATATACTCGTATTAAGTTTTTTCTTTTTCAAACAGCATCATCGATCGGATTAGCTGGAATACCGGGTTTCTTGCTCTCCTCGTACTTCATGGATATATGGGGGCGCAAGGTGGCGCATGGACTCATCATTATACCGGGAACAATTGGATGGTCTTTAGTCTATGCCGCCAACAATATCCCAACGTTAATGATTGCCCGGATTTTAGGAGGAATGACAGCTGGAGGTACTGTGGGTTTAGGTGCAGTGGTCATCGGTGAATACACAGACCCGAAACATCGAGGAATGTTTCTAAATTTAAAAACAGCAGCAGTCTGCATGGGAGGTATGCTGGTGCATGCACTTGGTCATTTTGTGGACTGGAGAACGATTGCCCTCGTCGCTCTCGTGCCTCATATTTTAGCGTTAGGAATTATTTGCTCATGGCCAGAAAGCCCATCATGGTTGGCGTTAAAGAAACAATTCGAGAAGAGTGAACAATCATTTTACTGGCTACGAGGAAAGACAACGCAGTCCAGAAAAGAAATCGAAGAACTTATCCGAGCGCAGAAGGAAAGTCTACAGCTGTCTTCTAAAAAAATATCACTGGGTGGCCGTATAAAGGAGTTTTTTAGAAAATTTTTGAGAAAAGACTTCACTAAACCTCTTGTAATCGTTATCCTCGGCACATTCCTATTAGAGGCATCTGGGAGACATATTTTCCCAGCGTACGCGATAAAAATAATAAATGCAGTTACTGGAGATAGTTCACAGTCGTTCTACTATACTCTAGCTATAGACATAATAATTACAACAAGTGCTGTGTTTTCATCAATACTAGTCAAAATGTTTAAGAGAAGAACATTGCTTTTTGTTAGCGGTTTTAGCGCAGTAGCTGTTCTTATGAGTGTGTGTTTATATTTATTCTTAGTATCCCGGGATCTCATCTCGAGTGAACGTACTTGGATACCTATAATGATGTTTGTTGCTTACTTCATATTGGCAAATTTGGGTTGTACTCCTATACCTTTGGCCTTGATTGGAGAGGTGTTTCCTCTAGCTCATAGAGGTATAGGGTCGTGTTGTGGTGGGCTTTCATTATCAATTGTTCTGAATATTGGTTTACAAGTTGCCCCATATTTAATGGCTAGTGTTAAAGTGTATGGTACTTTTGCAATTCTTGGAGCCACCACTGGAATAGTTTTAATGATTTTGTTCTTTATACTCCCCGAAACTAAAGACAAGACCTTACAAGAAATCGATGATTACTTCAAATATGGCAAATTTAAAGATGTTAGAGAAAATAATGATGATGATGAAGTAAATGTAAAAATGATTACGTAATGAAGATATTTTTATTCAAATTTCGACGTCAGTGCATATATTTTTAACATACTCATAACAATACTCTATAATAGGAACAAAATAACATAAATAGATAGATGTTGCATTTAAATATAAATTCACTTTATATCTTACTTTACATAGTTTAGATGTTTTTTTATACATTGTGAGTACTTTTTTGTGTAGAAGGTAATGAATAAATATTGAAAACATAACTATTTTTATTAACGAAATAAGTGTTTTTATTTTACATACAATAAAAATAGACACTTATACTAACTATATCCTACCTACAGACATGAATAAAACCATGTGAATCGCAATAATACAGGGTTACCTGTGGCATTCCTCGTGATGGCATAGTTGTTCGATTTTTAAAATAAATTGCATTTAAATTGTAAGATAGCTATGATATTAAGATATGATAGATTTCAGAAATAGCAATGCATGAGGGTAACTGAGGTCCAGAGTATTCCGTGATGACCACGCTTCAATGATGTTCTTGTCTATAGACATATTGTTATAACTAATGATTTAAAATGATGAACTGTATGACTTATGTAAGCAGTATGTTTACAGATATCATTTTCATTATTTCAATCATTACCCGTCCACTATTGGACATGGTCTTTCTCCATAGACCGCCATAAGGAACGGTCCTTAGCCACCTGCATCCACTGACTCCCTGCAATGCATTTGAGGTCGTCACTCCATCACTCCACTTCAGCTTGCTTATCCTTCAGTCTATTTCGGTTACTTTGGTTCTTTTGCGGATACCCTCGTATCGGATTCTATTACGCAAAGAGACCCCGAGCATAGCCGTCTACATAGCTCACTGAGTAATTTTAAGCTTTACTTTTTGCTTTGAATAACTTTTTTAATAGACAATAGTCGGGGGGAAAAGGATTGTTAATAATGGAGACTGAGAATCCCATTGCTAGCAATATACCCAACCAGGTCGACCTCCTCGCGGTTCCCCCTGGAAACTATCATGGTCAATTCCTGATGAATTCATCATGATGGGCTAACTGGCTTGTTTTCATTCTCATCTATCTCCCTTCACTGGTGCTCCGCCAGCGTATCCCGTTAGCGCAAGCGGGCTTACCATACTATTTTCACCCATCAAAAAAAAAAATAGACAATAATCGAATGGTAACTCCGCCTGCGCTATCGGTATACGCTGACGGAGCATTAGTGGAGAAATGACAGCTGAGAATTAAAGCAAATTTGCAAGCTGACCCATCGTGACGAATTCACAAAGAATTAACCACGACGCTTTGTACAGAGGACTGAATAGAGGCTGACCTAACAGTGTACATATATTTTTAGTCTTTAATACACATTATAAAAGATTGACTTTTCTGTATTACAATTAACGTTTAAAATTTTACAATAACCTTTACATAATTACACATTAAAGAATTATTTTGTTATAACTTTTGTAATGACTGTTGCACGTCAGTAATGACAAAATGTATGAAACCATTGTAATGTTACCGTATGACCTTATTCTACCACATTTTTAGCAATAAAATTAATTAATTAATTAAGTATTAGGATTTCTTTTCTGTATTATTGTTATAATGTTTTATATTCCATCAGGGAAACTGATCATTTTTACTATCTCTCTTTTTTTATTACCCATTTTTATTTCTTTTTCTGGCTTTTATGTAATAATAATAATAATATTATTTTATTGTAAATTGTAAAAATTGTAAAGTGCAATTTACAATTTTTACAATTTACATTGTATTCATACATTCATTATTAATATCTCCTTCCAAATCTACATACTTTGTAACTTGTAACATACTTGCGTGTATTATGCAATGGAATTCCGCATGTCGATTGTAGCAGGAACTCAACTCTTTGGACAAAGGTCATCGGGTAAGTATACAAAACTCGTTTATTCCAACGATATATCCTTACTAGTTTAATAAATGTGAAAGTGAATTTATTTGTCACCTCTCAGCTCCTCCACTGCTCGATCAATCGTTGTCAAATTTGGTATACTCATAATATTTGGGTTAAAGAAGAGTTAAAGGCTAGTTTTTTTTTTTGGGTCCATTAATATAATTAATATATTCCGTAGATAATTTTCCTTTTTAATTTCATTAAAAAGTTTTTGTATTGAATTACTATCAGGTTATTTTGATTTCGCTCCTCCTCCTCCAGCCTCCTTCTTAACTGCGGTTTTTTTAATGGGTGAAAATAGCATGGTAGCCACGCCTACGCTATCGGTATACACTGGCGGAGCACCAGTGAGAGAAGAGGAGAGGAAGATAGGTGAGAATGAAGAGGCAGGTCAGTTAGCTCGTCGTGACGAATTCAACGATAAATTAGTCACGATAGTTTCCAGGAGGAACCGCTTGGAGGTCGACCTGATAGGGTATATTGATAGCAATGGGGACTAACCTCCCCATTACTAACAATCCCTTCCTTCCGCCTAACTGCGGTTGCCAACCCGCTTGTTAAGCGTGGCAACTATTGGTAAAACCCCATAATCTATGGTGATGATCTAAGATGATGAATTGCCAAATGTCTAAACGCAAATAAAAATAGACTGTCATTAGTCCTAACTAGTATTATAAATGCAAAAGTTTGTTTGTTTGTTACGCTTTTATGTCTAAATCACTGATTATGATAAATTTTGGTATAGAGAGAGATGTAACCTTGGAGACAGTTATAGGCTATTTTTTCTTGGATAAACTTTATAGGGGGTGGGGTGAAGTAAAGGTGATTTCTGAATTAAATTAGTGTATTTATAACTTTATTGTTAACTAGCTGTTCCCCGCGACTTCGTCCGCGTTTCCGTAGTTTTTCGTAAAATAAGTAACCTATGTCCTTCCTCACGGTTCGGTGGTTTTGATGTAACAGACACATTTCCCTTCACTGCTCTGCTCCTATCGATCGTAGCGTGTATAAAAAGTGTACTATAACCTGCCCAGGAGTATGAAGTATAATTGTACCAAGTTTCGTTAAAATCCGTCGAGTAGTTTTTGTTTCTATAACGAACATACAGACAGACCGACAAAAATTTTACTGATTTCATTTTTGGCATCAGTATCGATCACTAATCACCCGCTGATAGTTATTTTGGAAATATATTTCATGTACAGAATTGACCTCTCTACAGATTTATTATAAGTATAGATTACAATTGTCTGTCATTTTGACGTCATATTTATTACTTCTAACACCTAAACAAACATACAGGACTTTTGTGAAGTGAACAGAATTCTAATTATAAACCCAAATATGATTCAAGTTTGTTAAAAATATTTTTATATTTAAATATTTCAATTATTTAATTACTAAGTTTAAATAGCGAATGATATTTTCATTTGTATTGAATGGATTTTAGTACAAAAAGAGCGTTGGTTTGATACCTTAAGTATTTTTTTTAAATTATGATAATAGAATGCTTTTTTTTTTGATGGGTGAAAATGGTATGGTAACCTCGCCTGCGCTAACAGGATACGCTGGCGGAGCACCTGTAAAGGGTGATAGATGAGAATGAAAACAGGCCAGTTAGCCCATCATGATGAATTCATCAGGAATTAACCATGATAGTTTCCAGGGAGAACCGCGAGGAGGTCGACCTGGTTGGGTATATTGCTAGCAATGGGATTCTCAGTCTCCAATACTAACAATCCCTTTTCCCCCGATAATGGAATGTTAACCCTGCCTAAGCTAACGATATACACCGGCGAGGTACCAGTGAAGGATGATAGGTGAGGATGAAAAGGCAGGTCAGTTCATCATCGTGATGAATATATCTGGAATTCAGCACGATGGTTTCCAGGGGGACTACGTGGAGATCGACTTGACAAGGTATATTGCTAGCAAAGAAACTGGTAGTCTGCATTACTAACAATCCCTCCCCCCCACCTATTTTGCCGTATTAACGCATTATTCTTTATATTTTTAGTACATAGACAAAGTTACGACGCACATGTAGTGAATATACTTGAGGAGTGGGGGGGATTGTTAGCAATATACACTATAACAAGAAAATATTACACTAAGAAAATAGTAACTCTATATTGTTTCCTCCATAAAATTACAATAATCAATTTATTATAAATACAAACAATTATAAGAAAATATTACACTAAGAAAAAAAAATTCATAAATTAATTAATAAATAAATAATGAATTTTTATTGATTTAAATATTCGATCGAATAATACTGAGATTGATTGTAGCGCTGTAGCTTTCTTCTTTCTTTTATCAATACGAAGTTTCTGATTGTCATTTTATCCACAAAAATATAATTTTTTTTGTTGTCCTCTTAACTTAATTAATTCCGAATTACCTGAAATTGATATAGTGTACGATAATTCGAATTCCTACAGGAATAAATTGCTGAAGCACTTTGTACAACAATCTTATGAGAATTAACGCTAATTGTCATAATATATATATATTTTTTTAATATTTTTTATTTCAATTCACTCATAATCATATTTTCTGATATTGCTCACCACTTAGGTTACATGTTTATTTTTATTATTTACTTAATTTTCTTACACTGTATAATTATATGTTAAAGTGAATGCTGTGAATACCTATAACAGGCGTGTGCATTAATATTGTATTATATTTAATGTTTGTTATACCTATATGTTATAATGCAATATGCTGTTGGTGTTCCTTAAATAAATAAATAAACTCTTATTTCCATAAAGCAACAGCTGTGTTTCTTGCCCGTTCTTGTCAGCTGAAATTGCATTCCGAACTGGGCGGTAGATTCATTAAAAAAATTTCTATTCAAAAATGCTTATAATATTAAGTTTATTTGAATATAAATTCATCATCATCATCATTTCAGCCATTACCCGTCCACTGCTGGACATAGGTCTCCCCCATAGACAGCCATACGGATTGGTCCTGAACCACCTGCATGCATTAACTCACCGCAATGTATTTGAGGTCGTTACTTTATCTAGTAGTGAGGTCGTCCTACACTGTGTATTTTTTATGCAACTTAGAATGGCAAACATGCTGACAGCCCACCTGATGGAAAGTGGTAACCGTCGCCTACAAACATGAGCAGTACCGTGGACATAACAGAGTATACTGTTTCGCCCATGATACCCCCCATGCGTTGCCATTCCTGAGGACTCAGGTGTTCTCTGTAGCCAGTAAATTCACTGCCATATCCCACCCTTTAAATTGAAACACAGCCATGCAAACACAACTGCTTCACGGTAGAAACACGAATGGGTCAGAGGTGGCCGAGCAAACGACTTTTGTACAAAATCTCCCTCTGGTTGGTTTGCCGAGAAACGTGTATACGGCGTCGCCGCTCCAGTACCGTGTGTTTCTTAATAAAAAATACTGTATTTTTTATATATATATATATATATATATATATATATATATATATATATATATATATATATATATATATATATATATATATATATATATATATATATATATATATTCGACGAATATTTGAAAATGATGATGTTTCCACGTTACTGTAGCGTGATCAATACAAACGAACTATCAAATTATTGATGCTAAATACGTCAATATTACTTTGCCTTGGCTCGTTACGTTATTGCACAGAGTCAAGGTGAATATGCCATTTTATATGATAATTTCATAAACGCATTCTTTAGGGTAATGAATGCACTTTCCGAAGGAGTAATAACGTATGTAAAAAAAAGTAAAAGTAAATATATTTTTTTTTATCACAATATGTTTGCATAAGCACCGGGTAAACTTTGTCGGATTGATTCCTACACTAGAGCTGTGCTTGTCTTGTAGGTAACAGGAGTCGTTTTATCATACACATGCTTAACATAGCTTTCTAGGGGGGATAAGGGATTGTTAGTAATTGGAGTTTAGTCTCCATTGTTTTCAAAATACCCTATCAGATCGACCTCCCCGCGATTCCTCTTGGAAACCATCGTGACTAATTTATCATTGAATTCGTCACGATGGGCTAACTGACCTGCCTTTTTTTCCTCACCGATCATCCCTCACTGGCATCCCTCACTCATCCCCCACCAGAGTTTACCGATAACATAGACGGGGTTATCATTCCACTTTCATCCCGTTAATAAATTCTAATAATCTACATTAATATTATAAAGAGGAAAGATTTGTATTTTTGTGTGTATGTTTGTAATGAATAAACTCAAAAACTACTTTGTCGATTTCAAAAATTCTTTCACCATTAGACAGCTACATTCACCATTATATTTAGTGCTAGAAAGGCTTAGGGATCCTTACTAAAACTTTAGTAACGTAACTCAAGGTGTAAAAAAATGCTATAAAATATCTTTGGTCGCGCGCGCTGCAGAAACTATTGGTGATAGAACAAAAGTATGTTCTACAATATTGAAGAAAATATCAATAACTACAAAAAAACTTCGCGATACTATATGCCCAACTATTATCGTTATGTCACAATAACAACTTTTTAAAATGTTATAAAAATGTCCACCCGTGCGAAGCCGGGACGGGCTGCTAGTAATCGATAAATGGAACTATTAGCTATATCTTTATTACAGTCGTATTATATTGACACGCAGATGATCTATATCGTAGAATAATCAACAAAACTTACTTAGAATATCGCTGTGTCAGTCCCGGCATAGAAAGGGCCAACCCTTCTTTTCCCGTGGGTGTCGTAAGAGGCGACTAAGGGAACTTATGATGAAGTGATGGGCAGTAGCGCCCCACTTAAAACCTCTGTAATAGCTTAATTGCGGTTGCCAACCCGCCTGCCAAGCGTGGCAACTACTGGCAAAAACTCTCCTTATGGGGAAGGCTTATGTTCAGCAGTGGACAGTTAAGGTCTGAAATAATAATAACTTAGAATATAATAATTATATCAACTCCTTCAGAACTTCCTGAGGACTCGGGTGTTATTCCTCTGTACCCTGTAAATTAACGCCATATCCCACCCTTTAAACCGAAACACAGCCATGCAAACACAACTGCTTCACGGTTGAATTCATATATGAAGGAATATGTGAGGATGGAATAAATCAGTAGGCTCATTGTGACGAAATTATAAAGAATTAACCAAGATGGTTTCCAGAGGGAACCGCCTGGAGGTCAACCTGATAAGGTATATTGCAAGCAGTGGGACTGTTAGATCCTCATTACAAAATTCCTCCCGAGATGATAGTTTAGGACGAAATCAAATCAATTGGTCCATCGTGACAGACTCACCAAGAATTAATCACGATGGTTTCTAATATTCTAGTTCTTAGAAATGGCAAAAGAGGTGCTATGGGCATACCTTTTTTTCTTTTAACGTGGGTGTCGTAAGAGGCAACTAAAGGAACTGAATGGTTGAACGATGGGCAGCAGCGTCCCTCTTAAAACATCAAAACCCTTACTGCGGTTGCCTATCCACCTGCCAAACGTGGCAACTATTGGCAAAACCTCCTGGTTTTATAATTGCTCATAAAGGGTTTATGGAAGAGGCATATGTACAGCAGTGGAGAGTTAACCGCTGATTGTTGACGTCCATGGAGCTCTTCATGTCTATTGGCGATAATTGCCTATTTCCATCAGGTCCTCTGTGAATTTCTTTGCCATTGTGTCATAAAATAAAATTCATTAAGCAAAAAATTTTCCTTTTTTGACAACCGTATTTATCATTTCCAGTATCACGAAAAAAAAAATTATTGACAATTATTTTGCAATGTCACTCCTTTGCAAAGGTCATCGTTCTAATAACAAGAGGGAGGAGGGACCGGTTATTGGGTTTTCCTCCGTAATCGAGACTCTTTTCCCCCAGTCTCCAATGTTCCTTCGAGGTGAAGCCGTTGGATTCCAATAAACCGTCTTGCATAAATTTTAACGTTCGTGCCGCATAATTGGAGTAGATCATTTAAGAAACTTATTTGAATAAAGTGATTGTGTTGAAATGATTACGAATTGCTTGCTCCATGACAATTGTGTAGCGATCTCTTAGTGGGGAAGACATGGCGTCGCCTTTGGCCCGACAGGTATGGTAAATCCTATATCCTTTTTGTAGTAATATATGAGCAAAATATAAATTTATTCTAAAAAAGTTTGTGACGTGTATCCTCGAAATACTAGAAGTCCTGATAGATTACCACAAACACCTCTGTATTTTATAAAATTTATAAGAACGCAGTTTATAAAAAAAACTATCAATTTTAATGCGCACAGCATTAAAATGTGTAATAAAACTCTAAATAGGTACGTTCAAAATATATAATATGAAAAATATTAAAATTTATATGAATTATTAAGCAAAGAAGAGTTTTAAAAGGTTAATGAATTCCTAAAATAGTAACTGACTGCAGACTACTCAATTATATTTATTTATTATTATTTTTTATCATTATTATTATTTTAGGGCTTTTACCTTCTACAGGTGTATCAGTCCTATCGTACCCTGAACTGATTTCTTAAATAAAACTTTATCTACTTTCCCTAGACGCGGAAAGAGAAGAATTAATGGGCATCAATAATTTACAGAGATGTTCAAAAAATTATCTTATTTTGTAATTAAATCATTATTATTAACAAATGTCAAATATTTACTGACGTTCTACAATGATGTCAGTATATCAAATACTGCGTATATACTAGATCTTAAAATGACTGACTCATCACTTTCATATTTGTATTATTAGTAAGTATATCATCGTCATCGATTCCCTTGAGGGATTTTACCAGTAGTTGCCATGCTTGGCAGGTAGATTGGAAACCGCAGTTAGGTTTCAGAGATTTTTAAGAGGGTCGCTGCTACCCATCCCTCGCTCTCCCTTAGTCGCTTCCTACGATGCCCACGGGAAAGAAAGAAAGGCCACCCCGGCCTTTCTTTGCTGGAACCACACAGCCGATTACTTAGTATATACCTGATGTAAATTTTTTTATGCAACATGCTGACGGCCCACCTGATGGAAAGTGGTAACCGTCGCGTATAAACATTAGCAGTACCATGGACATAATAGAGTATACTGTTTCGCCCATGATACCTCCCATGTGTTGATATTCCTGAAGACTCAAGCGTTATTTCTCTGTACCCTGTAAATTCACTGCCATATCCCACCCTTCAAACCGAAACACAGCCATGCAAACACAACTGCTTCACGGTAGAAACACGTATGAGATAGAGGTGCCCAAGCAAACGACTTTTATACAAAGTCTCCCTATGGTTCTGCTTATTATGCTTATATCTTTTCAGATATGGACTGTATCAGGGGTGTTCACAAATATGTTAGTGCAAGGCATGGTACTGAGTTTCCCTTCATGCCTCTTGCCAGGATTACGGGAGACTGATTCACCAATAAAAGCTGATCTGGCAACTGCTTCTTGGTTAGGTAATTATTGTCATCTTCATTTCTATTATTTGCTATATTAATTTCCAAAAAAAACAGGTTTGAATCACCTGCGAGTGTTTTAATGAAAGTATATATATCAAAGAATAAATAAAATAAATAAATGGTTGGACCACTGCTACAGTTTAATGATCTTTCGGACAATATTAATGTTTGGAATAGATTTAAAGTAACAATTTAATTTAAGATGAATGATTACAAAATTTCATCAAGTAGTGGCAATTTTAATAATCTTCTCATGACCAAAGCTGCCAAAACCAAGCAAATTGGTCGAAACATTCAGATAATCCCGGTAAATACCTACTTGTTGGAATATTAATTTTTAGACATTTATGTCACAAGGTTTACGAGATGGGAATTAAACGTATTTATTAACAATCAATATCCAATATTAATACATTCTTTCAATTTTCCGTAAACATCGATGATGTGTTTCTATTTGTATTAGTTTCGGTACTCCGATAATGATTACCAATTAATAAAATCATAAATTTTTCTATTTTTCAGCGTCATCTGTAGGCCTATCAAGTATGCTAGGTTTCCTGATATCTTCATATCTAATGGATCGTTGCGGTCGGAGAATTTCTCATCTCCTGGTGATCCTACCAGGAATCTCTGCTTGGCTTTTCATATATTTCGCCCACAATGTACTAACTTTGATGTTAGGAAGAATTCTAGCAGGGATCACTGCTGGTGCAACTGTTACTTTGGGAGCTATCGTTATTGGAGAATACACCAGTCCTGAATACAGAGGAATGTTCTTAAATCTTAAATCGGCATCAGTGTGTTTGGGGAATATGGTTGTACATATTTTGCACAATTTTTTCAATTGGAAAACAATAGCCATATTTGGTTTAATACCGCAGATATTTGCTTTCTTAATAATTTATACTTGGCCAGAGAGTCCTGCTTGGTTGGCGTCCAAAGGGCAATTCCAGAAGGCAAAAGAAACATTTTTCTGGTTGAGAGGATCTAGCGAAAGAGAAAAGTTAGAACTATCAGAATTATTTAAAAAGCAAGAAGCAAGTCTTTTGAAATTCGGAGTAGAGTCGACCCTCATGAATTCTCTAAAGGTGATATTAAAGAAATTCACGAGAAAAGATTTCATTAAACCAATCACAATTATTGTATTCACTGGTATCTTGTCAGAAGCTTGTGGCAGACACTTCTTTCCAGCATATGCTACACAAATTATTGACGATATCACCGGTGATAAGACACAGTCATTCTATTACACGTTGTCTATAGATTTGATCATAATATCTAGTATTATACTTTCATCAATTTTAGTTAAAGTCATCAATTTAAGAACTTTATTATTCACTACGGGCGTCCCAGCTCTTGCAGTGTTAACAAGTGTTTGCGTTTATTTATTATTAACATTTTTAGATGTAATATCTAAAGAACGACAGTGGATACCACTTTCAATGATTGTAATATTTTTCATATTAGTCAATTTGTGTTGTACACCAATACCTTACCTTATATTGGGAGAAATTTTACCATTAAGCCATAGAAGTATTGGATCATCATTGTCTGGACTTATTTTGTCTTTGTTTCTAATGATAGCATTAAAAATCACACCTTATCTATTGGAAAACATCAATGTACATGGCACATTTACTGTTTATGGTGGTTTTGTAGCCGTATCGTTACTATTACTGTATTTTATGTTACCTGAAACTAAAAATAAGACGTTGGTCGAAATAGAAGATTATTTCAATAATGGAAAATATCATAGTTACGACGAAACTGATAAAGATATTAAAAGAAGAATGCTTATATGATGCTGAATATTGAAAAGTAAATACTAAGTTTTAGGAAAATATTTGTCGAAAACTCATATCTAGAAAAACAGAGTAATCTTATTTTGTAATCTAGTTTTAGTACTTTCAGTTAATGTGTGTGTTTTAATTTTTATTTACTTGATATATGTATGTTAGTTATTTTCATATACAGAATGTTATTTACGGAGGACAATTAGCAAGAAACTTAAACTTCTGTAGTTTTTAGGCTTAAAATTTTTTTCTTGTTAAATGCTAACTATCGTGAGTCATACATACATATAAATATTTATATGGATTTTCCTTGCAATACACAAACATACAACAATACAATACACTTGTATACAAAAACACGACAGGAGCCCTTATTCATAAGCACCTTTCATAGTTAATGAAAGGTGCTTATGAATAAGGGCTCCTGTCGTGTTCGAAACTAGTCGGGCATCTCCGAATACGTGAGTAAAGCCGATAATAAAAATCATTACAATTTTTTTCGTGTACTTTATGAATATTTATGAATATCGCAAACGTAATAACAACGTCAGTACGATGAAATTGAGTCGCTAATTAGTCATTTTGTAATTATTGATACATTTGTCATTTTTGCTGGTCCATTAATATCCATAAATGATTATTGGCACGCGTCTTGGTAAAGAAATATCAACTAAGGTCTTTTTTTTTTTCTAAACAAGATGAGTTTGCGCTTGATTTTATCTCATCTGATGGTAACTGATACTTGCTCGTAATTCTAGAATAGAGCACGTTTACCCAGAAAATACTTATTTACCTTCGATTTGAAAAGGTCAGATTATTTATTTATTTATTTATATTTATTTATTTATACTTTTACACACAATAAAATATGTCTACAGCGCGGACTTAATGCCTGATGGCATTCTCTACCAGTCAACCGTTACGATAAACAGGGAGAGCAAATGGCGGTGCAATGGCTTGACAAAATTTGTAAATTAAATAAATGTTTTGTAAGACACAACAATAATGCATTTTAAGATAAATTTACATAGAAACATATAGAATAATACACTTACAAAAATTATACATACATAAATCACATACAGTGCAATACATATATAAATAATTATACATAATACATATTAATATAAAATTTGTATGACTCAAGTCTAATTATATTATAGTACAGATAGAAGCAGTTGATTTTATTCCTTATATATGTATGTCTTAGCCTAAGTTGACTTTTTTGACATTTCTCAACTATCAAGAATTACTTAGTAATTCAATAAAGAACGATGGAAAGTTCGATTTATGTTTAATATATAATTATTTGAAGTGTTCATTTGTTTACATTCAATGTCATATAAAGTGGGTCGAAAGTCTTTAAAGGTTTTTTTTTGATGGGCGAAAATGTTATGGTAACCCCGCCCGCGCTAACGGGATACGCTGGCGGAGCACCAGTGAAGGGTGATAGATGAGAATGAAAACAGGCCAGTTAGCCCATCATGATGAATTAATCAGGAATTAACCATGATAGTTTCCAGGGTGAACCGCGAGGAAGTCGACCTGGTTGGGTATATTGCTAGCAATAGGATTCTCAGTCTCCATTACTAACAATCCCTTTCCCCCCAGTCTTTAAAGGTTACCATATAATGGAAAGTGGTAGCCATCACCTATGATATGAGCAGTACCATCAACATAACAGAGTATACTGTTTAGCCCATAATACCCCTGAGTCTTTGCCATTACTTAGGAATAAGGCGTTGTGTCTTTATGTCCCGTAATTTCACTGTCATATCCCACCCTTCAAACCGAAACACAGTTATGTAAACATAACTGCTAGGGGAAAAGGGATTGTTAGTAACAAGGAGGTTAGTACCCATTGCTATCAAAATACCCCATCAGATCGACCTCCACACGGTTCCCCCTGGAAACCATCGTGACTAATTTACTGTTAAATTCGTCACAATGGGCTAACTGACCAGCTTTTTCATCCTCACCTTACAATCCCTAGCCCCTCCAGTGATGCAGTTAGAACTTGTCCATATTGCATTGCTCATTCTCAGGGTAAAGGTAATTTTACATGAAACACGTAATGGTAAAAAAGCTGACGGTCTAACTACTGGATAGTACCTAGTAACCGTCGCCTTTAGATATAAACAGCATAACGTGTTATGCTCCGTTTCCAAGGCAGAAGTATTTTCTTCTACCCACTCATTGTCCCACATGGTCTTACGCGTTGCTATTTCTAAAAACTAAGGCCATATTGCCGTGTAGTTCCGGCATAGAATAGTCCGCACCTACCTTTCCTGTGAGTGATTTAAGTGGCGACTAGAGGATGGCGAGGTATTGGCAGCATAATACTTTGTACAAAAGTCGATTGCTTGGGTACCTCTGTCCCATTCGTGTTTCAACCGTGAAGCAGTTGTGTTTGCATGGCTGTGTTTCGGTTTGAAGGGTGGGATATGGCGTGAATTTACTGGGTACAGAGGAATAACATCTGAGTCGTCAGGAATGGCAACGCATGGGGGTATCATGGGCGTAATAGTATGTTCTGTTATGTCCATGGTACTGCTCATGTCTATAGGCGACGATTACCACTTTCCATCAGGTGAGCCGTCAGCTTGTTTGCCATTATAAGTTTGTATAAAATATATATATATATATATATATATATATATATATATATATATATATATATATATATATATATATATATATATATACTTAAAAATATGACAGTGGTAATCAAATGTACAAAGGCGAGTTTATCTCTAAAAGAGTTCTCTTCCAGCAACACCCAGAGTGGAAAGGAGCATCAATGTCAGCGAGTAGAGCGGTGTACAATATTGTGACAATTTTTAAACAAAAGAACTAGATTTCTACTGATTTTACGTACTGATTTATTTATTTCGTTATCCCAGACATTCGCGTATGCAGGCGCCTGTCTTGCTTTGATGGAATCCGGCTTAGTATTTAGTTATACTGCCATATTGCTGGCACAACTTCGTAAGGAACTTAAGAACAAGGAATTACATAGAAGGAATGATAAAAATAAAAACTGTAAATCATATGTTTGTCTCCTTTCTTCTTATGCATATATAATTACTAAAAAGAGAACGAAAGATTACACAATCAGTTGCTATTTTTCTCAATTCACAGCAGGCTAGTGTATAGAAAATGTTTGATATGTCAATTATTTGTCAATGACAACTTTTACATTACTAGATTATATATTCGGCAGAATTTATGTAGAAAGTATGCAAGCAGGTTGTGTCTGAATTTGGTAGGGTTATATGGCCGTATAACATTTTCAATACACTAGCCTGCTATGAATAAACAATTTTGTACTTTATGAAGTTGAATCGTTGAACCAAAGTAGAAGTTTTTTCACTATGCCAGTTTTGGAGTTCTTTCTTGGAAAGTATAAAATAAAAATGCATACTAAATCTAAAATATGAATATGAACGTTGAATCTTGAATGACTAAATTAAATCATAATTTTAAGTAAATATTAATTTGAAATGCACTGCTGATAAAGAAAGAAGAATAAATGCTGTAAATGCTGTAAAATGGTAGGTACTATGGCGGAAGCTTAAGTCAAAAATAGCATTAAACTATATTCTATAGTTGTCGACAAAGGGGTTTTTTTTTATTTGTGAACATGGTATGGTAACCCCGCTTGCGCTAACGGGATACGCTGGCGGAGCACCAGTGAAGGGTGATAGATGAGAATGAAAACAGGCCAGTTAGCCCATCATGATGAATTCATCAGGAATTAACCATGATAGTTTCCAGGGGGAGACGCGAGCACGTCGACCTGGTTGGGTATATTGCTAGTAATGGGATTCTCAGTCGCCATTACCAACAATCCCTTTCACCCCAGCGTATACCATTAGCGCAGGCGGGGTTACATTCCATTATCATCCACTGTTGCCCCGCCGGTGTATACCGATAGCACAGACGGGGTTACAATTCCATTATTATACATTAAAAGAAAAACCACAGACATTTGTGTTTAATTAATATTACCCCATCGTATAAATATTGACAAATATTGACATCAATATTTGTACGGCACTAACGTCACTCAATTGTTTTACCATCCCAGAACCTCTCCGCTAACACTTGAACTTTATGGTACGGTATTAAAGTTGAAATTTACTTTTAAATATTATTACGAATCGTTTTTATGTGATCATAGAAAAGTGTTGTTTTTAGACTTTTTCGGGCAATTTTTTAAGTTTTCCTCTCCATAAGAACCATCCTCGTACTTCAAGGAGTATTCTAAAAAGAAGAATTAGCGAAATCGGTTCAGCTGTTCTCGAGATTTGCGCTTAGCAACACATTCAGCGATTCATTTTTATATTGTACAGATATTTTGTTTTGTCCCAATTAAAGCCGGTCTTTTTTCTCTATCTGTAAATTCTTATTTATAAATAGCTGAACGAACAAACGTTGTACTCGTATAGTATTTACATACATTTTACTTTAAAAAAATCCTATCTCTCATGTTGGAGAGAAAAATGCACATTTATAAAATTTTATTAAAATCGTTCGACAACTCAGGCTTCAACGAAAATATGAATAAAAATTCATTCGTTCTCAAATTCTGCGCTTAGCAAATTCTTTATATCATTTCAGCAGTTAATTGTCCACTGCTGGACATAAGCCTTCCTCCTAAGGGGAGTTTTGCCAGTAGCTATCATGCTTGGCAGGCGGACTGTCAACCGTAATTAGACTTTTAGAGATGTTTTAAGAGGGACGCTGCTGCCTATCCTTCGTCCTCACTTAGTCCCCACTTACGACTGACACTTCCCTATGGTTGATTGGGAGAGAATGTTTTTAGTATTAAGTCCGCCATGTACGCATACATATATATACTAATGAATAAATAAATATATAAATATATTTTATTATATATACTGTTAACCGTTCGTAAAATAAGATGTTACAAATAGAAATTAATCGTCCGGCAACGGTTATTAGTGGACTGTATGAAGTTATTACGATGATGCTAAGTAAATACGAGGGCTACACTGAAAATTTTTAGAATTGGCTACTTTAAAGCAATATAATTAAAAAAAATATGTTAAAATTTTGAAAATGGAACTCTTTACGAATAATACTGAGTATATAATTTATTCGTTTGTCATTTGTATTATGGTTTGGCGGCAAATTGAAAATAGTCTGTGTAAAGTTATCATGAACTTAACACGAGAAAATTTTCGTGCGATGATTTCTTATGAGTTTCGATGTCATCTAAGTCAACAAGAAAGTTATGACAGACTACGATTGACCTTTCACGATGAAGCCCCGTCTCGTGCCACTGTTTACAACTGGTTTAATGAGTTTAAACGTGGTCGCACTAATCTCACCGATGATGTGCGTGAGGGACGGTCTTCTACGGCGACGACTGAAGATAACATCAGTGTTGTGCGGCGTATGATAGAGACTGACAAAAGAGTGACCTATCAGCAGATCTGGGCAAGCTTAGGGATTGGTATGAGTCAAGTGCACAAAATCCTTCATGAACATTTGGCGGTCAGGGAGCTTTGTTCCCGGTGGATATCTCATAATTTGGCCGAGGCTCAAAAACTCCGTCGTGTTGATTGGTGCCGTGAAATGCATGAAAGATTTAACGTAGGTGTCTCAAATTCTGTGTTTGACATAGTAACGGGAGACGAAAGCTGGATTTACTGTTATGATTCCGAAACTAAAAGACAGTCAGCTCAGTGGGTATTTCCTTTCGAGGAGTTGCCAACTAAAGTGAAGAGAGGTCAAAGCGTGGGAAAAAGATGGTGGCCTCGTTCTTTAGAAAGAAGATCATTGCGCGACAATTGTTTTAGAGGATCGAAAAACAGTTACTGCAGAGTGGTACAAGTGCAAGTGCGTGAGAAACGTCTTTGCAGTAGGATCCTCCTTTACCACGACAATGCTTCGTCGCACACCGCCAGGCAAACGATTGATTATTTGGCGACCTCAGACGTAGAACTACTGGGTCATCCGCCTTATAGCCCCGACCTCGCACCTTGCGATTTTTATTTATTCCGAAAAATAAAAGAAAACCTTCGAGGAAAACGTTTTATGGACGTCGAGGAAACTGTGGCTACGTTTCAGAAGGCCATCAAGAGATCCCTAAGGACGAGTGGGCAAAGTGCTTTTCTCAGTGGTTCTATCGGATGTAGCGATGTATTGACGTGAATGGACACTATTTTGAAAAGATAAAACAAAGGTAAAAACTAGTTAATTTAATCAGTTTTTGATTTTCTAAGGACTTTTCAGTTTGACCCTCGTAATGAACACAAGATTACACACATAAGGAAGGTGGAGACCACTGATCTGAAGCTTTGTAGTTTACAGGATTCGGTTCTGGCTTTAGGTTTCCCAGAACTTCTGGCTCGTTGGAACTTACCGCCTTGAACCGACCAGCAGTGTAACGCCCTCCTCTCAATCAACCTCTTGGTTATGTGTTATATAATTGAAAGCGATACGAAACGATATATATTAATTTATACGATATTCGCGGCAATATATGCACGCGCGCGATAATATTCGAAAACGAGAACGGCGACAACGAACGCGCGTTCTACCGACACATTCGATAACAAATAGACAAGTCTTTTTTTTCCTTACGATATTGTTGCCAGACGAAACTTATTAGAGCTACAATTCTTAACAATATATGTACATTATAACAGTCAACGCAGGAGTTATCAGTAATATAAAGTAGTGGTTTTTGAAATTTAATTATGTAAGCACGCGTAAAGTTAATATTAATCTATATACTTAAGTATGTATTACTGGCGTATTATATAATACAAGGCGTGTAAATATAATATAGTAATTTTCATAAGATATTATAATATAAAATGTTTATTTATTTATTCTTTATTGAACACAAAAAATTACAACATATAATATATATAAAATATAGAGAAATATATAAAGATGTACAACAGGCGAGCTTAACTCTGTAAGAGTTCTCTTCCAGCAAACCCTAAGTGGAAAGGAATGTTTGATATGTTTTAAGGATAGTTCGCGAAGTGATAACAACTGGTATGAAAGAATACTGGTTTATTACTGACAGCGCATCAAGTCTCCCATTACTTACCATTATATGTAGGTAAATATAATTATGCTACATTATTATTAAAAGAGGGTAGCAGATACATCGTGCCTCCTACTAAATTGTTTATAATTACTCCTCTCCATCCAAAGGTTGCCTGGAAGAGATCGCTCTTAGCGATAAGGTCGCCCATTGTTTTCTCATTGTGATTATTTCTTGTAATTATTTATATTTATAATAAGTTTACTATTGTAATCTTTTGGAGAAATCAATAAAGACTATCTATCTATCTATCTATCTATCTATCTATCAATGTTCCTTTTTGCAATGTAGTGTATGGAGTGTTTCTGTTTCTATATTATTATTAGAAGAGGTTATTTTTCAGGCAGAAAAGCTTGTGCTCCCCTTATTCGCCTGTAATTCCTATCAGTTATAGGCATTTTAAAAAGTTAAAATATCTCTAAAAGCCTAACTGCGGTTGCCAATACGCCTGCCAAGCGTGGCAACTACTGGCGACACTCTTATATTCAGCAGTGGATAGTTAGTGGTTGAAATAATAATTGTGACATACGTACACGCTGGTGGGACACCAGTGAGGGATGATAGGTGACGATGAAAGTAGGTCAGTTAGCCCATCGTGGCGAATTGCACTAGAATTAACCACGATAGTTTCCAGGGGGAACCACGTGGAAGTCGACCTGATAGGGTATATTGCTAGCAATGGAGAGCCTAACTTTAAGCTGCAGTTAAAAATCAGTGTTTTGCTTTTAAGCAAAACTATCACTGAGCTGTGATAGTTTTGCTTAAAAGCCTATTTGGGTCACATGGCGAAAACATATTTTTGTATTTAATCTTTTGTTTTATTTTTTATCATTATATAATTAATTGTCTGTATGTGTTGCGACCTAAGATAGAGCACACTCTCACACCCATGGCTGTAAACGATTATGATCTATGCCTCTATATTATATAAATCGTATTAAAAAGTATATATTTTTTTCTCTTTCTGTGTTGTAATCTTGTTGTTTGCTGAAATACTTCCTGTATTGTGATATTACATCAGTACGTATTCAGTTGTTAATTTATGTGTGTTATAAATAAGTCAAATACAGTGTTTATCTATTCACTTGCTTTTACTGTAATTTCCATTGCTGAGTTTGTTACAATCATGGTTATGCAATAAAGTTATTATTGTTATTATTATAAATTATACAAAAAGATACTAACACATTGAAATTATATGCCTTTTTCGCGGTCAATTTTTATCGCCTAATCATGATATTCACAGTAACATAAAATATGCATGTGTAATAAAAATAAATTTCATAGAAAATACAATAATTACCAAGTCATTTATCATTATTAGTTAGTTCAATCGAAGGATTTGTATTAAATGTGTGTTCCGGAACACACCACTTTAGTGGGATATCAAGAGTAACCACTGTTGAACATAAGCCTCCCCTTATGAGGTTTTGCCAGTAGTTGCCACGCTTGACAGGCGAATTGGCAACCATAGTTTGGCTTTTGGGATATTTTAAAAGGGTCTTACCTATCTCTTGCTATTCCTTAGTTCCTACGACACTCACGGGCAGTGGTGGCGTATTCTATGCCGGGACTGCACGGGTAATTACTTTAGTTACTTTATTATTATTACCAAATACAAAATTACAGGTATACTGTAATACGTTGTGTGGTCCCGGCGTAGAACGGATCACTCTTTCCTTTCCCGTGGGTGTAGTATGAGGCGACTATGGTAACTTAACGGTCGAGGGATGGGCAGCGGCCTCCCTTTTAAAACATAACTAAAAGTTAGCTGCAGTTGCAAATCCACCTGCCAAACGACAACTAGCAAACCCCCCTTTATGGGGGAGGCCTACGTCCAACAGTGGACAGTTAACAGTCGATAAATTAATAAACAACATTGTAACAGCGTCTCCTTATGAAGAACAGTTTACATTTTGTTTTATATATTTCACTTCAATTTATTTAGATTGGGAAAACCACAAATTGGCGTCGTCTGCTTGATGTGCTGTCTCACGTCCTTGTACAAATCGGGAGCTTAAGTTAGGTAAGTAACTTTACTTATTAACCAGAGGGAGACTTTGTACAACATGTACAGAGGAATAATATCTGAGTCCTCAGGAATGGCAACGCATGGGGGATATCATGGGCGAAACAGTATACTTTGTTATGTCCATGGCACCGCTCATGTCTATAGGCGACGGTTACCACTTTCCATCAGGTGGGCCGTCAGATTGTTTACTATTCTACGTTGTATAAAAAAAAGTCGTTTGCTTAAGCACCTCTGTCCCATTCGTGTTTCTACTGTGAAGCAGTTGTGTTTCGGTTTGAAGGGTGGGATATGGCAGTGAATTTACACGGTACAGAGGAATAACACTTGAGTCTTCAGGAATGGCAGCGCATGTGGCGTATTATGGGCGAAATAGTATACTCTGTTATGTCCATGGTACTGCTCATGGTAATAGGCGACGGTTTTGACCGACGACCATGACATTATGTCGTGGTAATTTTACCAATCAATATATTTTATAAAAATTGTCATTTTTACTTTTAACTTTATTTATACCATGTAAGGTGGCAAACAAGCATACATCCCACCTGATGGTAAATGGTTACTGTAGCCTATAAACGCCTACGATTATTGACATTATTATATTAATTATTCTGTAAATGCCAATTTAATTTTTGCAATGTATGGGTATTTTGATAATCACATAGGTAGTGTCTTGAAGTAATTTGTTCCCATAATGTATTCAAGTAACTTGAAGCTAGTCTGACTCACTATAAGGTCCTGTTTGGCGGAGGTGCGATGAGCTGAGTCGTCGAGTTCCTTGAATTATAGTTGAACGCAATAAATTCTAGCTTATCCCTCGTAGCACCCGTTCACTATTATGTGAACGGGTGCTACTTGTGGGAAACAGTCTGCTCATGTTTCGCTTGTTCATTATAATAATACATACAAATGGAACTTAATTCTAATTATAGTTACTGTACTCATACAAATGGAAAATTATACATAATAACTTGAAAAGAGTAATTGTTGAGTTTCTTGCGGGTTGCGGGAAAATTTCAAAACGGAATAAAGAAAATGATCTTTGCCGTCAAGTTTATTAATCTTATATTATATAGATAGAGTGTCTCCATACAAATGCTTCGAGAAAAGCGGATCAACTTTTTTATACAATTGTGCATGATAAATAGTTATGAACGATTCCTTTATGACTTCTATATTTATTTTGTCTTATAATTTCTGTATCTTTTTAATGCGTAAACACTCATTTTATTTATTAAATAATACGTCAAGATACATTTTATGTGTAAGTTTATAAAACACTGATAAAAGAAAAGAGTCAGCTAATTTGACATTTAGCTGACAGAAAGTTCACCCGTTTTTGAGGCGACGCTTTTTCTATATAAACTAAGACACGTGTATGTAAATTTCATTTACATTACTTACTAGATTATATATTCGATACAGTTTATTTAGAAAGTATGCGAGCAGGTTGTATCTGAATTTGGTAGGGTTATACGGCCGTATAACATTCTCTATACACTATATATATATATATATATATATATATATATATATATATATATATATATATATATATATATATATATATATATATTTAATAGTGAGTAGGGATATATATTTACATTATTACATGTATTATATCTTCATATTTAGAAATAATAGGATCTTCATCGTGCCTCCAATCAAGGTGTTTATAATTACTCCTCTCTATCCAAAGGTTGCCTGAAAGAGATCGCTTTTAGCGATAAGGTCGCCCATTGTTTTCTCATTGTGATTATTTCTTGTAATTGTTTATATTTACGAGTATAATAAGTTTACTATTGTAATATTTTGGAGGAAACAATAAAGAGTATCTATCTATCTTTCATCCTCTTTTTATTAATTAAGAAATTATTAAGAAGAAAGGAGGCAACCATATGGTTTACAATTTTGATTTTATCATTCCTTCTATGTAATTCCTTGTTCTTAGTTTTAGACAGAGCTCTGTGGGAACATAACATTATGAGAAACATAGATATATTTTTGTAATTCTGATTTATGTGACTAAAATTCAATTATAGCTTGAAATATAATTTAATTTATACTACAATCTTCTTATTAATTTTTTAATTAACAATCTGGTAACAGACTTAAAGTTGGTCGAAACACATGTCATTTGTATTCCGCGCTATTTCTTTATATATTAAGTGTCGATTTTCATAAACAAACACGAGATGGTCGATTCAGAATGACAATTACACCATGTACATAATTTAAATATTACGATTCAGTTGGTTACATTCACGAGACTGATGGATCGCAGTGACACCTTTCGCTAACCAAGGTTTTATGTTGTAATTAAATAATTTTATAATATGCTTAAATCATTACGTAATAAAAATATAATATATTCAATTAAATTAAATTATAATTTAATAATGTTACATATTTGCACGTGTGTGTGCGCACGTACGCACGCATGTGTGTGTGTGTGTGTGTCACGCACGCACGCAAGAATAACTTCCTCTATTTATTTTTCCAAACAATATTTAAATATGTATATATTTTATATAATTTAAATATGTTATAATTATTATTTAAACACGCACGCACGCACACACACACATGCATATACATTAATTATTTAAGAAAAATCTATATATATATATATATATATGTATGTATATTACTAATATATATTTATTTATGAATAGTGAACCTATGCGAGTGCTATTTTCCAAGTGATTATTAAAAGTTTAAGGTAAAATTTATTTTTAATTTTTATTTTAAATTAAAAATGGAATATTTATGTGGCGAAATTGTATGAAAATGTCGACCCGTTTTTCTTGAAACATTTGTTGTTTCTTGTAATTGTTTGTATCTATAAAAAATTTGCTATTGTAATCTTTTGGAGGAAACAATAAATAATATCTATCTATCTATCTTATTAATAATAATAAAGTTTAAATAAGAAAAAAATATAATAGTAATACAAGATAAACATACCGTATAACGTAATAAGTAACATACATTCTGAACTTTGAAATAGATTTTATGAAAAATAACATGAGGTTTCAAATACAGTAGTCAAACGGCTCGAGACTGGTTTAATATGTTTAAAAGTTGGCTGGAAGAGATCTCTTTCAGAGATAAGCCCTCCCTTGCTAACAAGTTGTTAAACTAATCGTCGCATGTATTGTTTAAGTGCAATAAAGAATATATAAATAAAAATATTCTTGTTTCTATTCGTCCCAGAAATGGGGTTAAAAGAAATAATATACAGGGTGAATAAACAAAATTGATCAGTGCTGCCATCTTTCAAATGGTATAAGTTGATTTTATTGTTACTATTTTAAAAGATATCTATTTTTATAAATAAAACCAAATTTATAATCTATGTGTAAATGAACATACACAAAAATACTATGTGAATGAATAAATAAGTATATTTAAGTTCTACAAAGTAGGGAGTAAGCAAGACAACTAATAAATGTAACGATACAGTTGTTAAGTACAGTGAGGCGGTCTTATTGCTGAGAGCAATCTTTTCAAGACAACCTTAGGGTAATGGACCAATTGTTGTACAAATAGGTATAACAATATTATTATATATAATTAAGAAAATATGAGACAACAGTTTAAAAACATTAAGGAAAATGATTACAAGTACCTATATATGTGGGTATTTTAAAAACAAAATATATATATATATATATATATATATATATATATATATATATATATATATATATATATATATATACATATATACATATATTTTACTTTGTTACTCCTTACCTGTTCTGTCACTGGCGTTACTTTCAAACTTCCTCTGATGTGCTCATTCTTGTCACACTACACATCCATCTTAACATTCGCATTTCAATTACATGCAGTCGCCTTTCGTCCATCAATTTTTTAGAAATTTCAATCAAAAATGATGAAAGTAAAAACTTAAATACATATTTTACTAATACAATTGTTTTGGTATTACGCGAGCTTTGGAATAAATTCTTAATTAAAAATAATTGTCTTCTTTGTCTAAATAATATATTCACTATTAGATATAGTTAAAGTTTATTAGTAGTTAGTTAATAGAAGCCTAAAGGGCTTAAATCTAGTAGAAATAACTGAGGAATTAGGAATTATGTTGGTTTATATTTATATGTATGTGTATGTTTGTACAGTATATATGTATCAATGTTGTATTTTTCAAATATATATATATATATATATATATATATATATATATATATATATATATATATATATATATATATATATATATATATATATATATATATATATATATATATATATATATATATATATATATATATATATATATATATATATATATATATATTTATTATATAGCTTTTTTTTTAGCACTACTAATGCCCACTCACTACTTCCTATGCCACTGCGTTAGGTTGACTGGAAGAAATCTCTTTTTGACATAATTTCGCCTTTGCTAACATTGTTGTTAATTTATTGTTGTTACTGTATGTTTTAGTGCAATAAAGAATATATATAATTTATTCCTATAATAGCTAGGTTTTTTTGGATGATAATGTAATGGTAACCTCGCCTATGCCCACCATGCCACCAGTGAAGAATGATATATGAGGATGAAGCTGGTCAGTTCGCTCATCGTGACGAATTCATCAATAAATCAGTCATGGTGGTTTCCAGGGGAACCGTAGACATCGACTTGATAGGTTATATTGTTAGCAATGGGGTTGTTAAGCCCAATTATCAACAGTCCTTTCTCCGCCATAATGAATTCAAAATTCGAAAAAAAAATGAAGAAAAATTAAAAATAAAAAATACCCACGGCCGATAATTATAAAATAATAAAAATTACGTGCCACTTAAACGTGTGTGTTGTGTTTTTCCAATATGTTTGTTTAAGAAAGCATTGTATAACATGTTTGACGTAATAAAATAACAATTAATATCGAAAATTGCCCACGCCAAATAATTGTAACGACGGTCCGCGTCTAAACTGTTGCCAGCACGGGTGCCTACTTAAGGCGTGTGCACTCAAAACTGAATCTCATATTTAAAAATTAGACTCTACATATTAATAATTGTAAAAATTTATTATTCTTATCTTAAAGTATTAATTAAATTAAAAATTTAGTTATATTTCTTCTAATATTAAGAATATAGATTTAAGGTATGTATTATATGGCGCATTCGCGATATAATATTTATATTATTATATGTATCACATCTCCCATATTTAGAACTAACAAAATTTTTCATCGTGCCTCCCACCAAACTATATAATTACTCCTCTCCATCCAAAGGTTGCCTGGAAGAGATCGCTCTTAGCGATAAGGTCGCCCATTGTTTTCTCATTGTGATTATTTCTTGTAATTATTTATATTTATAATAAGTTTACTATTGTAATCTCTTGGAGGGAACAATAAAGAGTATCTATCTATCTATATGGCGCATTCGCGAGAAATTGTGTTAACTATTTTATGTATATTCGTTTTTGCTTTTTTGTATATGTTTTGTTTTATTTCTTTTTAAATATTTTTTTATACAACTTAGAATGGCAAACAAGATGACGGCCCACCTGATGGAAAGTGGTAACCGTCGCCTATAGACATGAGCAGTACCATGGACATAACAGAGTATGCTGTTTCGCCCATGATACCCCCATGCGTTGCCATTCCTGAGGACTTAGGTGTTATGCCTCTCTACCCTGTAAATTCACGCCATATCCCAAACCGGATTCAAATTTACGGTTGAAACACTAATGGGACAGAGGTAGCCAAGCAAACGACTGTTGCACATAGTCTCCCTCTGGTGTACCAACTATGTAGTATGTACCAACAGCTATTTGTGTGCTGTAAGTGATGCAAATAAATTATCTATCTATCTATTTATCTGTATTTTTGTAGAAATTTGTTATTCAAGTAATGAGTTCAATATTTAAAATTTAACAAAAATTTTTGGGGGGAAGGGATTGCTAATAATGCGTACTACCAGACTCATTGCTAATAATATACCCTGTCAGCTCGACCTTCGCGTGGTCCCCTTTGGAAACCATCGTGCTGAATTCCAGATGTATTTACCACGATAGGCTAATTGACCTGCCTTTTCATTCTCATCTGTCATTTTTCACTGGTGCCCCGCTAACGTATACCGTTAGCGCAGCCCCGTCTACGCCATACCATTCCATTATCATCCATTAAAAAAAAAACTCTAGAAGTGACAAAATTGCTCTTTTATTAGTTTTTTTTTTTTTATACAGCTTAGAATGGTAAACAAGCTGACGACCCACCTGATGGTAAGTGGTAACCGTCACCTATAGACATGTGTAGTACCATGGACATAACAGAGTATACTGTTTCGCCCATGAAACCCCCCATGCGTTGCCATTCCTGAGGACTCAGGTTCTATTCCTCTGTACCCTGTAAATTTACGCCATATCCCACCTTTCAAACCGAAACACAGCCATGCAAACACAACTGCTTCACGGTTGAAACACGAATGGGACAGAGGTACCCAAGCAATCGACTTTTGTACAAAGTCTCCCTCTGGTTTTACCACACTGTTGTCATTTTCAATTACAAATTAAAGAACTCCAGCCCAAAATGTTTCAAAAAGTTTCTGTAAAAATCTATTTATCTTTTCAACCGACTTTAAAAAGAAGGAGGTTGTATTTTTTTATATTTATTATCTTATAGCGTTAAAGATAGAGTATAAATTTAAATACTTAGGACATCAATTAGCCTGTCATCTCAAAGATGACGATGATATTGAACGGGAGCGGAGGGCGCTGGCGGTGAGGGCGAATATGATAGCACGCAGCTTTGCGCGGTGCTCTAGACAAGTTAAAACTACGCTATTTAGATCATGTTGCACATCTTTCTACGCATGCAACCTGTGGGCTGTATACACTCAACACTTCGCAGAGCATCGCGTAGATTGTTTTTATGCCACGATGCGAAAAAGGAACTGCACTCCGTCAGTTCTAAAGCGATTTGGAATTTTTTTTTTGTCTAAAACGTTCTACTTACAGATTCGTCTCATAGAAATTTTATCAAAATTTGTACAGCAGTTTACTTTTTTATTATCATGTTTTTTTTATACCACTGAGCCCACCTGACGGTTACCGCAGCCTATAAATGCTTGCAATACCAGGGGTATTACGCACGCGTTGTCAACCCTATTATTTTTTTTCTCAAAAAAACAAAAAATCCCTAACTAATACGATAATATGTTACTAATATAACCCGAGAATTTCAGTTATATATATTACATATTAATGAGTTACTTATATATATATATATATATATTTTAACGGTAACAGACTAGTTTCAGGATCATCCAGGACCCTTAGTCATGAGCGGCTATGACGCAAGCGCACGCCTGACTGCGCGCAAATTAAAATAGCGTACAAAGTAATTAAAATACAGTCTTACTGTTAAAGTATAATGTGTACTTACGAAATTTTTATTAATCAATAGCTTAGCAACACACGTCTCCCCTGATGCAGTTAGTGTCCATGGACTGCGGTAATCACTTGCCATCAAGTAAACCGTATACACGTTTCTCGCTCTTTCACTTAAAAAAAAAAATTAAACGTTCCAGGTGCATAATGTTCTACAAATAATTTTACCATGGATACAAATACAAAAGGCATCAGTTTCAAGTGGATTTCACCATTTATGAAACAAGTAAGTCTATTAAAATTATTTGGCTAATAACTTGCAGGCTTAAACGGATAATGGATCTGTTTACTTATTCAATAACAACTTTACTATCACCTATTTAAAAGAAATAAAGTATTCTATTTCTATATTAGTATATATTTTGACATTATTATGGGTTCAGTGAAACCGTATTTAATCAACTTATAATTACTAATGACTTTGCAATAATTTTCAACAAATAAAACATTTTATGTTTATTTAGTTGTTACTGAAGAGGCCGTGTTAATTTATATTTCTTTTTTAAACTTCCATTAATTTTATTAGTTATGACGTTATTTCAAACATTAGTTAACACACCAGATGTAACAATGACAAATTGAGTATATGACGAACTGCAATTGTGACAAACTGAGTATATGACGAACTGCAATTGTGACAATTTGAGTATATGACGAACTGCAATTGTGATAATTTGAGTATATGACGAACTGCAATTGTGACAATTTGAGTATATGACGAACTGCAATTGTGACAAACTGAGTATATGACGAACTGCAATTGTGACAAACTGAGTATATAACGAACTGCAATTGTGACAAACTGAGTATATAACGAACTGCAATCATGGCAAACTACGTATATGACAAACAGCAATAATGACAAAACGCGTATATGACGAAATAACACCCGAGTCCTCAGGAATGGCAACGCATGGGGGTATCAAGGGCGAAACAGTATACTCTGTTAAGCCTATGATACTGCTCGTGACTATAAGCGATGGTTAACACTTTCCATCAGGTGGACCGTCAGCGTGTTTATCATTCTAAATTGCATAAAAAAAACTACAATTATGACAGACTGTTTACAACGAGCTGCAATTCCAGCAAACTGCGTAGATGGACCGTATTTATGGAAAATAACGTTCTGACAATTTACAATTATCGCAAACTGTGTAAATCTCCTCGCTTGTGGAATGTGTATATGACTAAATGCCTTTATGATGTTTATTTACAATTCGACAAGTTTGGCAATTTACAATTGCAAATAATTAATATGAAAATACTAGGTTTTACACATGACTTCCTCTATATGGCCGTAATTATTATGAAAAGACTAGTTTTTACACATGACTTCCTCTGTATGGCCGTAATTATTATGAAAATACTAGGTTTTACACATGACTTCCTCTATATGGCCGTAATTATTATAAAAAGACTAGTTTTTACACATGACTTCCTCTGTATGGCCGTAATTATTATGAAAATACTAGGTTTTACACATGACTTCCCCTGTATGGCCGTAATTATTATGAAAAGACTAGTTTTTACACATGACTTCCTCTGTATGGCCGTAATTATTATGAAAATACTAGGTTTTACACATGACTTCCCCTGTATGGCCGTAATTATTATGAAAAGACTAGTTTTTACACATGACTTCCTCTGTATAACCGTGATAATTACTAACCATGATAGAAAGTTGAACTTTTAAGTTGCCAAGAAAGATCCATCCCAGCTTATCATGTTTTTTTTTTCATAAAATACACCCCATGTTAGACGCAGATTATGTAGCTTTCTTTGGGTGTTTATAGATTTATTAATACAGTATTTTAAAATCCGGTCAATTATTTTTTGAGTATATCCATTACAAAGAAAGTTACATTTAATTTTTTTTTTATATATATTATTTTAAGGGCTTTTACCTTCTTCAGGTATATCAGTCCTATCGTACCCTGAACTGATTTCTCAAACAAAACTATATCTACTTTACCTAGATGCGTAACAAAGAAGAATTAATGGGCACCAATAATTTACAGAGATGTTAAAAAATTTCTGGTTTAAGTTCAGCTAACATAAATTGAATAAGACCAACATTGTATAGATAACGTTGTACAGTTTAAAATTGTTATTTATCTATGTCATGTATAGTCTATTATAATTTCACCAAAGGGAGACTGTACAAAAGTCGTTTGCTTAGGCGCCTCTGTCCCATTCGTGTTTCTACCGCTGTGTTTCGGTTTGAAGGGTGGGATATGACAGTGAATTTACAGAATACAGGGGAATAACACCTGAGTTTTCAGGAATGGCAACGCATGGGGGGTATCACGGGCGAAACAGCATACTCTGTTTTGCCTATGGTATTGCCCATTTCTATAGATGACGGTTACCACTTTCCATCAGGTGGGCCGTCAGCATGTTTGCCATTCTAAATTACATAAAAAAAAAGAATGTAGTAATTGATCGTAGTTTTGTTGCTTTTTATTTTCTTTCTTTTTATCACAATACGAAATTTGTGATAATTATTTTATTCATTTATAGTTTTTGGTGTAAACTTATCTTTTATTTAAAATAAAGCAACACCTATGTTTCTTGCCCGTTCTTCTGACCTGAAATTGCATTTTAAACTGAGAGGTATTTTCATTAAAAATTACCATTCAAAAATAGTTATTACTAGTAATTTACACTTTATTTTTCAAAAAAAAACTATTTTTTTAACTTCTAAACATTAATTTACTTTCAGTGCTTTGTCACGGCTGGAGTAGCTCTAAATATGTTAAACCACGGTACAGTGATCAGCTTTCCCTCAGCGCTTCTACCACAACTGAGAGAAACTCATTTTATAGAAATTGATGATTCGTCCACATCGTGGATTGGTAAGCATGTTTTTTTTTAAATAGAATTTAGAACAGTACAAACTAATGATAAGTAACCTTAGATTATATAGATAGAGCATCGAGTCTCAAAAACGGGTTAACTTTCTGTCAGCTAATTGTCAAATTAGGTCACTCGTTTATTTTGTCGTTATTTTATAAACTTACGCATAAAATGTATCTTGACGTATTATTTAATAAATAAAATGATTTTTTACGCACTAAAAAGATGCAAAATAATAAGACAAAATAAATATAGAAGTTATAAAGGAATCACTCATAACTATTTATCATGCAAAATTGTGTGAAAAAGTTGATCCGCTTTTCTCGAATTATTTGTATGTACGTACATATATATATATATATATATATATATATATATATATATATATATATATATATATATATATATATATATATATATATATAATTTCTCATAATTTATATTTTTCAAAATAAACTAGAAATTGTTTCTCTGTAAACAAAGAAACGACATTTAAAGTTTATTCTATAGCACTTTTTTAATTATAATAATGTTTTATTTGTAAGTTTTGATTTTATTTTTATAACATAACCTAAAAAAATCTTGTTTTCGATCACATCAATATAGTTAATGGCTCCATCTAACGTATGGTAGACAATCCACAATCGCGCGGAACGCCAACATATAAACTTAAGAAATATCATTTCTTTACATGTATATAATCATGGTACTGCTCGTCTATAGGCGACGGTTACCACTTTCCATCAGTAACTAGTCAGACTTTTAGTTACTAAATTGTTACTAAAAAAAAAGTGAAAAATAAAAACACGAGCTAGCTATTTTGCTACTTTGAGTCATTACGTCAATTAATTTTATTAAAGTGGGTATTGTTTTGCAGAAGGTCCTTATCATACATACATACATACATATTGATCACGCCTGTCTCCCATTAGGGTAGGCAGAAACAATGGAACGCCAAATACTTCGATTCAAACAAACCTCTTTCGCTTTCTCCACATTTATCAATCTTTAGGTCCTTTTCATTGGGTTTTATCATTCCTATTTATTATTGTCTTTTTTTAGAATATCTATTTTGGTTAACTCTGCTACCATTATTTCTAAGAACGGTGGAAAAATTAAATAATTAAATTAAACAATAGAACGGATTCAAAGAATTGAATAACCAATAATTTCTTTTATATTATATTTTTCAGTATCAATAGTTGGATTCGGTCTTATGACTGGAGTGATCATAATTCCTTTTATCATAAAACGCTATGGAAGACAACTTATAAATCTTACATCAGCTGTTTTGATCACATTGGGATGGATAATTATTTGCCTGTCAAAGACTACATCTACATTGATAATATCAAGGTTTATACAGGGAGTAGCCAACGGTTTCACTGCCATCATAGGGCCAGTGTTAGTTGGCGAATACAGTAGCACAAAGAATAGAGGAGCCTTCTTAGCTGTAATGTCTGCATCGTTGTTTGTGGGCGTATCTCTTGCGCATGCGACTGGATCGTTTCTGTCTTGGCAGAAATCAAGTTTAATATGTTCTATTATAAGCTTTTTGGATATAATAATTATAATATTCTCCCCGGAGTCGCCGATTTTCTTAGCAAGAAAAGAAAAGTATGCTAAATGTAAGAAGGTCTTTCACTGGCTCAAAGGCAACGACGAAGATGAAGAATTGATTGAAATATTAAATAGTGCTACCACAAAGCATCAACACAATGATCGAATAGAATACAATACTGATTGTTTAAATCGAATTATAATAATTGCTAAAAAATGTGTTTCAACATTGAAGAGAAGGGAATTTTATAAGCCTATAATTATAATGTTACATCTGCACGCCATAAACTTATGGTGCGGAGCGACAATTTATGATGCACTCGCAACAGATATTTTACATGCAATCGTCGGTCCAAATGTTAATGTTTCATTAATAATATTATGTATGGATTTGCTAACTTTAGTCACGAATGTGTTATCAATATTTTTTATAAGAAAATTTAAACGAAAAAATGTATTAATATTTAGTGTGTCAATTAACATTCTATCGTATTTATTAATAGCTGGATACTCATATTTGAAAACAAGACGAATGTTACCATTTGATTGTCCAATAGTTGGTATATTATTGTGTAATTTACATTCGGCTTCTATAAACGCTGGTTGTGTTTCAATACCAAATATAATAGCAGGCGAAATATTTCCTTTTGAATACAAAGGTGTTGGGGGAATGGTGTGTTTATTGTTTTTCTCTGTTAATCTATCAATAACACTTAACATTACGCCATATTTATTCACAACAATTGGACTATCTGGTACGTATTCTGTTTTCGCATTGCTCGTATGTTACAGTTTGTTGATTTCAATCATTATATTACCTGAAACGAAAGATAGAACGCTTTTGGAAATTGAAAACGAGTTAAGAGGTAAGAGTATCGTTAGAGACAATATAGAATTGAACGTCTTGGTTCCCTAAGTTAGTATTGCTAAATGAAATATTAACACTATGTAAGGGGAAGTTTAAATACTATGTAACGCAATTTTTGAAGATTTTTAGGTCTTATCTGATCTCACTAAAACCCAAGATAGAGTCCAAATAAATAAGAGTATTGTATTCTCTGTAAAAGTTATTATTTTAATTATAAATGGTTATATTAGTTTTTAATAAATTTTTTTGCTATGCAAATAAGTGTATTTTAAATAAATTGCAATGTATTTTATTTATTTACTCCAATTGTAATAAATATGCACATGTATTATAATCAATGTTAACGTGAAGATCATCTCATTGATGTGTAGAGAGAGCAAATAAAAGAATTGATACGAGATGAGAGGGTACAGTGAATATTTTTTTACAATAATTAACGATAGAGATATACCAGTAACTTTATTAACTTCTAACAATCCTGGTTGAGAGGTAGTTGCACATTTTACAATTATATCCTAAATTAGTGATGTACCCACAAACATTACAAACTTATTATTTCCAAAGACAATATTATTGTCGAGCATGTCACAATTTTTTTTTTGTATACCTACGTATGAATTAGTTGCACCGACAAGAGGAAACTCTTAAATGAAAATAGAGATACCTACGTAGGTTTGAAAACGTAGGTTTTTTTTTTAATTGATGAAAGGAACCAACGAATGGAATGATAATCATGCCTGAGCTAGCAGTATACGCTGGTGAAACACCAGTGAGGGATGACAGATGAGAATGAAATGGCAGGTTAGTTAGACCGTCGTGATGAATTCACCTGGAATGCAGTACGATGATTTACAGGGTTGGAGGATTTCTACGTGGAGGTCGACCTGACTGGATATATTGCTAGTAATGCGACTAGTATTCTGTATTATTATTAATTCCTTTCCCCTCGGCAAACGTGGGTTGATAGCTTACATCACTCCCCCCTTGAGACTTGGCCACGGGTGATAAAAATCTGGAAATCCCACGCAATGTCCGGAATGAATGATGCTGTCTTCAGGATTGTTCATGTCATAGTAGAAGTGTGCGACTTTAGGTTTCGTTAATAAAATTTCAATCCACTGATTAAATAATAATTAATACAAATAGAGAGAAGAGAGAAAGAGAAGTCAAAGAGCTAAAGCCACCGGACACTATAATGTGCGCAACATTTTTTGGGTCCAATTAATACGCTCACAGTATTTGAAACTAAATCAACGTTTACATTTGTACAATTCTTTCTAGAGTTTTCCCTGTGATCCTGGCATTGAAAACCCTTTCCTGTCCTGTAGGTGTCGTAAGAGGCGACTAAGGGAGGACGAGGGATAGGCAGCAGCGTCCCTCTTAAATCATCACCAAGACCTAATTGCAGTTGCCAAGCCGCCTGATAAGCGCGGCAACTACTGGCAAAACCCCCCAAGGGGAAGACTTATATTTAGCAGTGGACAGTTAAAAGCTGGTATGATGAAATGAAATGAAATGAAATGAAATGAAATGAAATGAAATGAAATGAAATGAAATGAAATGAAATGAAATGAAATGAAATTAAATGAAATTAAATGAAATTAAATGAAATGAAATGAAATGAAATGAAATGAAATGAAATGAAATGAAATGAAATGAAATGAAATGAAATGAAATGAAATGAAATGAAATGAAATGAAATGAAATGAAATGAAATGAAATGAAATGAAATGAAATGAAATGAAATGAAATGAAATGAAATGAAATTTGAAATGAAATGAAATGAAATTATTTTATAAAGATGATTACTGCCACATGATGCAAATTTGATGATGTAAGGATATCAATTTTGTGACCATGGAAGTCGCATTTATCTTAAGTACTTGTATAAATTTTATAAAGTTTACTGCCACATGATGAAGTGGCAAGGTGACCTCAAATATTGCAGGGTTTCCATGCATGCTGATACCTACTTTGAAACTGTTCTTTGTAGCTGTCTACGATGAAGGTTTATACTACTCTCACACTCTGAGTTCGTTGCACGCGTCCGTGTAGCCTGACTTAAGACTGCAGCTGAAAATCAGTGCTTTGCTTTCAAGCAAAACTATCACTGAGCTGTAGCCTATTTGGGGTCACTGCGACACACATGGCGGAAACATCTTTTGTGTTTTATTCTTATAATTCTACTAATAATTGTGAAAATTAGTTTGTTTGTTACCTCCTGGTGCCTTAACGAATCAACCAGAGGAAGAAGGAATTGTCGGTAATGAAAATTAGGAATCTCATAGCCAGTAATATATCACATCAAGTCGATCCTCAAGCGGTTACCCCTGGAAACCATCGTTGTTAATTCTTGTGAATTTCGTCATAATAGGCTAAATGTGCTAACTACACACTAATCTATCGTCCCTCATTGGTGATGGTGGGGCCATCGTATACCGCTCCGGTCTTATACCAGTTAACTGATCTGCTTGGGGGAAGGGATTGTTTGTAATAGAGACTGAAAGCCCTTTGCTAGCAATATACCCTAACCAGGTTAACCTTCACGCAGTTTCTCTTGAAATTTTCGTGGTTAATTTGTCACGATGATCGGATTAAAAAAAATGGGCTTTTTTATTAATTTTTAGTACTTGTAAAATGCATACGTACGAAATAGCAACGAAAAGATGGTAATTAACTTATTTTTAACTTAAATTATTATATTTTTAATGGACTATTATTTATTATATTTTTATTCATGGAAAGGATTTTTTAGAAAATACCAAATTAACACAACGATATTTGAAACAATATTATCATCATCATAATATTATAATATATATTAATCATTAATTAAACATGTTAATCAATAAATATAAAACATTATTACTTTTTACTATACTAATTCGTTTAACTCCATTTTCTGATCAATACTATTATTGCTGCCTCTAAATATATCTTCGATATCTTGGAGAGTTTTATCTTTAGTTTCTGGTAGTGTGATAATGGAAACTGTTAAACTGTAACTGAGCAGTAACACTAAAACACCATAAGTACCTGGCAGTCCTATAGATGAAAATAAATATGGTAGCACTTTTAAAGTTATGGAGAGATTTGTTGAGAATATGATCTGAGAGATCATTCCTCCGATACCTTTATATTTAAAAGGAAATATTTCGCCTGCTATTATGTTTGGCATTGCAACACAACCAGTATATATAGCGGCTAAATGCAAATGACTCAGTACAATGCCAACAATAGGATAATCAAATGGCAACATTTTTTCCATTCTTAAATACGAATAGCCAGATATCAACAGATATGCTGTGATAGTTAGCGAGACACAGAACATTAGGACACGTTTCCTTCTGAACTTCTTCACGAGAAGTATTGATAATATATTTGTAATTATAGCTTGTAAGTCCAATGAAGACAATATTAATGGAATATTAACGTCTGAACCAACAAGTGTATGCAATATATCTATAGCAAAGACGTCGAATAAAACTACTCCGCAATACACGTTAATACCTTGAAGATGCAACATAATAATAACAGGTTTGTAAAATTCCCTCCTCTTCAATGTTGTAACACATTTATTGAGAATTTTCTTCGTCCAATTTAAAGTACTTGATAACCTTCGTGCTTCATCCACTTGCTCTCTTTCCGATATCGCTTTCTTTATCGTTTTATCTAGCTCCTCGTTCTCGTTATCGCCTTTAAGCCATCGAAAACTATGTTTACACTCCTCGTATTTGCCTTTTTTAGCTAAATACAAAGGAGATTCTGGTGAGAAAAATATTATGACGATATCTACAAAACTTATACAACCACATATTAAAGCTGATTTCTGCCATGACAGACATGATCCTGTTATGTGCACAAGAAATATTCCAACCGCGAACGATGTGGTCAACGTCGCTAAGAAAGCACCACGATTTATTGGACTTGTACACTCTGCGACTAGAACTGGCCCTATGATCGCGGTGAGACCGTTCGCGACACTTTGGATATATCTGACTGTTATGAACGTGTGTGTAGCCGTGGCTGAGCAAATTATTGCCCATCCTAATGTACTAGTGATGGCCGCTATGAGATTTATCGTCTTTCTTCCCCACTTGTCAGCAATAATAGGCACCAATAACATGCCAGTGATAAGTCCGAAGCCAACAGCAGATACTGAAAAAGATAGAAAATTATTATAATAGATGATAATAGAATGGTAATCGGTTTACCTACACTAGATCAGTATCAGTAAGGAATGATAGGTGAGAATGAAAACATGTCAGTTGGCCCATCGAGATGTCATTGTGAATTCATCAAGAATTAACGAAGGTTTCTAGTGAGGATCGCATGGAAGTCAACGTTATAGTGTAAAATGTCAGCACCCTATAATGATTTTTAAATTTGACAAACCAAATAAAGTACACCAGAGGGAGACTTTGTAGGGGTACCTCTACCAGAGGGTACCTCTGTCCTATTCGTGTTTCAACCGTGAAGCAGTTATGTTTGCATGGCTGTGTTTCGGTTTGAAGGGTGGGATATGGCGTGAATTTACAGGGTACAGAGAAATAACACCTGAACCCTCAGGAATGGCAACGCATGGGGTATCGTGGGCGAAATAGCTCTGTTATGTTTATGGTATTGCTCATGTCTATAGGTGACGGTTACCACTTTCCATCAGGTGGGCCGTCAGTTTATTTGCCATTCCAAGTTGCATAAAAAAAAGTAAATATTCCAACTTCATAGCTGGAATGTAAAAAGCTTAACTGATATTTTTTAAAATATTTTGTTGTCCTATAATGATTTTTTTTTTTTATTTTTATTAAAAGAAATACTTTACCATGTATCCCGGCATAGAAAAGGCCACGACTTCCTTTCCCGTGGGTGTCGTAAGAGGCAACTAAGGGAATGTAAAGGTCGAGGGATAGACAGGAGCTTTCCTCTTGAAACGTCTCCAAAAAACCTAACGCTTGCCAACCTTTCTTGCCAAGCATAACAGCCAATAGCAGAACTCTTAAGCCTATGTTCACCAGTGAACAGTTAACGGCTGATATGATGATGATGATGATGAAATACCAGAGGGAGACTTTGTACAAAAGTCAATTGCTTGGGTACCTCTGTCTTATTCGTGTTTTAACCGTGAAGCAGTTCTGTTTGCATGGCTGTATTTCGGTTTGAAGGGTGGGATATGGCGTGAATTTACAGGGTACAGAGGAATAACATCTGAGTCCTCAGTAATAGCAACGCATTTGGGGGGTATCATGGGTGAAACAGTATACTCTGTTATGTCTATGGTATTGTTCTTGTTTGCCATTCTAAGTTCTATAAAAAAAAAATACTTTATTAGAAACTAGCGACCCGCCCCGGCTTCGCACGGGTGCACATTACATCACATCACATTAGAAACCTCTAAAATTATCAGTGTTTCTCTACAATATTATGCGTGTATTATATATATAAACCATCCTCTTGAAACACTCTATCAATTCAAAAAATCCGCTTCAAAATCAGTTGCGTAGTTTTAAAGATTTAAGCATACATAGGGACGGACAGACAGCGACAGCCACTTTTATATTGTGTAGTGACTGTACACAAAAATTACATTGTTATAATTTATTTTGAATAAAGATGTACAACAGACGAGCTTAACTCTGTAAGAGTTCTCTTCCAGCAAACCTTGAGTGGAGAGGAACATTAATTACCAGCGGGCAGTGTGCGTACAATAAGAAGTGGAAACAGTACTTGTACTTACTAACAATAAGTTTTAAAACATGTTCAAACGTTTTATTATGTAATATGGAATAGTAGAAATTTGTATAATAGAGATTTATCGAGCAAGAATGAATGGAGATGTCGGTAGGGGCCGCCCTAGACGGACGTATGTCGACCAAATAGGCGACGTGCTGAAGAAGGGTCAAATTAAAAGTACCCGTAACCGGCGAGCGTGTATGACAAGATTGATGAATGTGGAAGAAGCGAAAGAGGTTTGTTTGAATCGAAGCATTTGGCTTTCCATTGTTTCTGCCTACCCTAATGGGAAACAGGCGTGACAGATATGTATGTATGTATGTATGTATGGAATAGTTAATACTAATCAAATTCCATTTAACTAAGGCTAGTTATTTCTTATGTTAATCGTTTTATACTATGTAGCGATGACGGTAATAAAATTTGATTATAAATATTAGACGTGCTTCTAGTTTTTGTTCATGTAATTTCAACAAATGAATTTCTATTTCTTTTATATATATTTTCAATGTTAATTAAGTGGCCATTATCTGTCACACGACCGTGAAAAAATATATTTTTTTTACTTATATTTGACTTTATCAGCGACCTTGGTAAAGTAGCTTAACATAATGCCTCGCCTTGTGATCGTCGTAATAATAATATAAATAAATATTTTTTATTCAAGTAAATTTAACAGTAAGCATTTTTGTATAGTCACTTTTTGGGGGGGAAAGGGGTTGTTAGTAATGGAGACTGAGAATCCCATTGCTAGCAATATACCCAAACAGGTCGACCACCTCGCGGTTCCCCCTTGAAACTATCATGGTTAATTCCTGATGAATTCATCATGATGGGCTAACTGGCCTGTTTTCATTCTCATCTATCACCCTTCACTGGTGCTCTGTCAGCGTGTCCCGTTAGCGCAGGCGGGGTTACCATACCATTTTCACCCAGCAAAAAAAAGTCCCTATTAGAAGCACCCGTTCACGAGTATGACGGATGAGCCAGCCATCGCTGTGTTCAACCATATATCACTTTTTTATAAAACTACCGCCTAGTTCGGACTACAATTTTAGCTGACAAGAACAGAGAAACACAGCTGTTGCTTTTTTCAAATAAAAGTTATATGTTTACTAAAAAAAAATTATTAATGGATAAAATGACTATCACAAACTTCGTATTGATAAAAAGATAAAAAAGAAAAAAAAGTTACCAAGCAACAATTAATCACAGTATTCTTGAACAGACCAGTCCCTATTAGAGGGGGGAAAGGGATTGTTAGTAATGGAGACTGAGAATCCCATTGCTAGCAATATACCCAACCAGGTCGACCTCCTCGCGGTTCCCTCTGGAAACTATCATGGTTAATTCCTGATGAATTCATCATGATGGGCTAACTGGCCTGTTTTCATTCTCATCTATCACCCTTCACTGGTGCTCCGCCAGCGTATCCCGTTAGCGCGGGCGGGGTCACCATACCATTTTCACTCATAAAAAAAAAGTCCCTATTAGAAGCACTCGTTCACGAGTATGACGGATGAGCCAGCCATCGCTGTGTTCAACCATATTATGGGGGGGGGGGAGGATTTGCTAGCAATATATCCAATCAGGTCGACCTCCACCTGGTTCCCCCTGGAAACCATCGTGAATTCTTTTTGAATTTATTACGTTGAGCTAACTGACCTGCTTCATCCTCACCTATCATCCTTTACTGGTGCCCCGTCAGTGTATACCGATAGCGAAGGCGGGGCTACCATTTCATTATCACTCATTACAAACCATTGTTATAGGGAGCCCATCACGCCGCAAAACTACTCAATATTTCAAAAAATATTTACCTATAGAAAGTATAGAGGAATAACACCTGAGTCCTCAGGAATGGCAACGCATGGGGGGTATCATGGGCGAAACAGTATACTCTGTTATGTCCACGGTACTGCTCATGTCTATAGGCGACGGTTACCACTTTCCATCAGGTGGGCCGTCAGCTTGTTTGCAATTCTAAGTTGTATAAAAAAAAATAGTTGCAATATCAGCGAGTAGCCTCATTGTTAGCAATACACCCTGTCAGGTCGACCTCCTCATTCCTTATAGCAGTCTATGGGGAACACCTATATATAGCAGTTGGCAGTTAATAGTTGATATGATGATCATGTGAATGAAGTGAAAGTGAGCTGGTCACAAGGTTCTTGAGTGGCGACCACGTACGGGTAAACGCAGTGTACGTCAACCCCCCCACTAGATGGAGTGGCGACCGGAAATGCGTTGCAGGGAGTCAGTGTATGCAGGTGGCTCAGGAACGTTCCTTATAGCAGTCTATGGGGGAGGCTTATATCCAGCAATGGACGATGACGATGATGATACTGACCAATCCAAGATGTGGAGGTGTCATCAATCTCAATAAAATGATTATCTCTAAGTTGTGGCAGAAGAGCTGAGGGGAATCCCAGCACCATCATATGGTTCATCATGTTTAATGCAACTCCAGATGTCACGAAGCACTGAAAATGTAATATTGTACATTTATAGTATATTACTGCAGCGGCCAGCAACTGAGGCATTGATGGACGAACGTGCAAATGTGGGCCGAGGCGCAGCCAAGGCACACATACGTGCGTCCATTAATGCCTAGTTGTGGCCATGGCTTGTATAGTACTTTTCTCAAACAATGCGCGGAAATCAAAAACACAATTTTACTTTTTAAGTTCAATGACGAATAACGAACAATAATAATTTTTCACGCGCCACAATGTTCCTTTGGTTTTTTTTTTTTTAATAAACAGCTTTCTATTTGCAAGACAGTTCGAAATTTAAATAAAACCTTTTATCAGTTACCTCCTTGGTAGCTATGTTTCAAAGTAAAAGGTCATTCCATTTTTAAATTACAGGACAGATATGAGTTTACATAGTAATTTATCTGGCCGCAAAACACGACAAATATAGATTTTCAAACAACTTTTGCCGGCCTCTGTTCGCATGTATCTGGCCAGTACGACAATTTTGATTTATCTCGAAGAAGATTGTCAAAATAATGCTCACATTTCCAAGCATGTTTGAGAAAAAAATTCTAACACAATTTGTTATATTCATCAATACTGTATAATATGATATTACCTGTCTTGCCAAAGGTGACGCCCACTTCGAGCGTCCATTGTGGGTTTTTATTTCAGTCATAGCTACTCCTAACTGCGTTAACTATAATAACAATAAATTGTAACTACGGTTTTAACTTACACGTAACTTGGTCGAGAAAACTACGAAACTAGTCGATAGTTTCAAGACCATTCGGGAGTCTTAATCTTGTCAAGATCGCGCTCACGTCACATCCGTTCAAGATTAAGAATCCCGAATGGTTCCGAAACTAGTTGATCTTTCTCGACCAAACTACATACTACTACGTATGTTAAACCGGTAATTTAGTTATTGCATTAAAATTATAACTCGAAATAAAGTTACATTATAAATTTTTACAATCATATTTTATACAGCCATATTTATATTTTATCATTTACCAGTACGATGTAACCTTAAATTATATAAATAGAGTGTCTCCATACAAATGCTTTGAGAAAAATGGATCAACTTTTTCATACAATTTTGCGTGATAAATAGTTATGATTGTTTCCTTTATAATATATACAATACCCGCAAATATTGTGGAAGTAAGACGTGTAAACATACGGTCCGTGTAAATTAATTTAAAATACTATTAAAAAGTTGATTTTCGGTAGTGCAACTTATACAAAAACATTTATTAATTATCAAACTTACATTCCATTGCAAAATTACAACTTAATATTGTAGAAGTGTAACAGAGAATAAAAATGCATTAACAACTTATGAATTCCGTTGCGTTCATGCAGTGATTTTAGTGTAACGGTGAGTCATCGCTGCAGCAGCGCAGTCACGCATTTCTACCTACCTGTTGATGTTGAGCGGCCGTTCAGGAAATATAATTTGTTCATTATTTATAACTACCTACATATTGAGTATTTGTAGTTTAATTATACTACGTTATAACTTCAGTACACGTGCAAATCTATTAAAATGGCATCAAAGAAAATATCTTGTGCTGGATGTCTTAATATCATAATGGGCAAACTGTATCTTAAATGCCATACGTGTAGAGATATTTATGACTTATCGTGTGCTAATGTTTCTGAAAAACGGTTTAACAACAATATGACCAAGGAACATAAACAGGCTTGGGTATGCCCTGCATGCCGAAATAAACAACCTAAGGGAGATAATACCAATACACCCATACGTCAAGGGAATTTAGGAAACCTAAACAAGTCTTCTGATAGCGAGGATTCTCAGAGCAGCTATGTCACTCAACGAAAAAAGCAATCAACATCGTTGTATTCGCATTCTGAAGATGAATTGAGAAGACTCATCAAATCGGAAATGCGAGCTTCGCTGCGTGAGGAGCTTCCTGATCTGATTCGCCCAATGTTAGAAAAAGAACTATACCCCCTTAAAGAAAGACTACAAGATCTTCAAAACACAGTTCAGTATATAAGTAATCAGTATGAAGATTTAAACAAGACAATATCAACATTGTCATCGGACTACAATAAGATGAAATGTCAATGTGATAATTTGGAATCCACAGTACTATCTTTAACGGAACGCATTAATACTATAGACCAAAATCTAAGAGATTCTAATATTGAGATACAGGGAGTCCCCGAAAGTAAAACAGAAAACCCGCTTAGTATTATTAAGAAAATTGCTGAAACTGTGTCTTACAACCTTTCTGACACTGATGTTTTGAATTGTACAAGAGTTGCCAGTATGAATAGGAATAGCAAGCGGCCAAGAGCTATAATCGCAAAATTACGAAGTACACGATGTCGTGACGAACTGTACTCTGCCATTGCTAGATATAATAAGTCTCATCCCCACAATAAACTTAACTCATCAAACCTCGGTATCAGTGGTAATATTGTGCCAATATATGTATCGGAGCATCTTTCTCCTTTTAATAAATCTGTGCATGCTGCAGCCAGACTCAAAGCGAAGGAACTAGCTTATAGATTCGTGTGGGTACGAAATGGACACATATTTATGAGAAAAAACGAAACCTCACAATTTATACATGTTAAAAATTTGCAGGTGTTAGAGAATCTGCAGTGAATTTGTAGTTTATAACTTCGTAGTGTACTTTTTGTTTTGTTTTCTATTTTATTTTTTTGTAATTATCTTTTTAAAATGAATAAGATGGATGTAACGATTTATTATCAGAATATCAGAGGTATGAAATCTAAAACGAATGATATTTATAAAACTATTATCTGTAATAACTATGATATAATATGTCTATGTGAAACTTGGCTCGATGATACGGTATATTCAGCAGAAATATTTGACGAACGGTATAAAGTTTATCGTAAAGATAGACCTATTGAATTTTTAACAAAATATAGTAGAACCCATGGTGGAGGAGTGTTAATAGCAGTAAATAAAAGTATTTTATCGGAGTGTAGATATGATTGGAATTCGTCACTTGAAGATGTATGGGTTAAAATTAAGCTAAAACATATTTCTTTAAATATTTGCACAGCTTATATGCCTTCATATATTGCGAGTGAGCAATTCTTTGACTATCTAGAAATTTGTGAAGAAAGAATGTTATCGTCGTTTGGTGAACATTTTCTTATTATAGGTGATTTCAATCTACCAGATTATGAGTGGGATAACACAAAAAATTTTAAAACTATTAATGAGAAATATTTGCTTATGAGAGACTTTGTATCTCGAACTTCACTCGCTCAACGTAACTTTACTTTTAACAGCAATGGGAAGCTTCTTGACTTGGTATTGGCAAGTACTGACTTGGTATGTAAGGTGATGGACGCGCAGCCACTTAGTCGTGTCGATATTTACCACCCCCCTTTAGAGATTAATATTACCGCAGACAATACTTCATCATTAAAGGAAAATATCATTAAAAGATTTAACTTTCATAAATGCAATTTTTTAGGTTGTACAGCGGATCTCTCGAAAGTCGAATGGCATAAATACTTGAATCTTGATTGTAATAATTTCTTACAGTTATTTTATAATGTCCTATGGGAAATTATAGAAAAATATACTCCCGTGGCCAAATCTAAAAAATCCAAATATCCGTCCTGGTTCTCTCAATCCCTGATAAAACTATTAAAGGAAAAGGATAAATATCATCGCAAATATAAAAAGTTTAGCAACCCGCGTGATTTTGACACGTATTCGTTACTAAGATCCAGATCTAAAGAGTTATTTGATAAAAACTTTAAAATTTACATATCACAAATGGAAGAGAATATAAAGACTAATATCAAAGCATTCTGGAGATATACTAAGGCTAAAAAATTAACAAACGATCTTCCAAACCAAATGTTTTACAAAGAGCAACGTGCAAACGATGGTTATAGTGTTGCTAATTTGTTTGCAAGTTATTTTTCTTCCGTTTACAGCCAGTCTACCGCCAAGTCATATACCCCAAAGTTTTCTCAGGCAACGCAATGTCTGTCTCATATTTATATTTCAAAAGACGATGTTATCAAGTCATTGAAATCTATCGATGCTACTAAGGGTGCAGGGCCCGACGGAATACCGCCAATATTTGTTAAAAATTGTGCAATAGCATTGGTTGAGCCTCTAACTATATTATTTAACAAGTCGTTGTCATCGGGAAGTTTCCCTGATTTGTTCAAAATTGCTAAAATTGTGCCAATACATAAAACAGGCTGCAAAGCAGATATAAGTAGCTATAGACCAATAAGCATTCTTTCTTGTTTTGCTAAGATCCTGGAAGGGCTAGTGTATAAACATATCTATTCTCATCTTAGGCATATTATTGATTCCAGCCAACATGGCTTTATAAATAATCGTTCCACATTGACAAATCTTCTTGAATATATCCATTATATAAACGTAGCCTTTAATAACAAAGTACAAGTTGATTCAATTTATGTGGATTTTGCGAAGGCTTTTGATAGGGTTGACCATGAGATACTTTGCATCAAAGCACATCATTTGGGTATTCATGGCTCACTTTTGCTTTGGCTTAAATCTTATTTAATGAATCGTCCGCAAATCGTAACTATTTACGGCTATGATTCAGTCCCGTTTGAATTAAAATCTGGTATACCCCAGGGCTCTAATTTAGGCTCTCTATTATTTATTTTATTTGTCAATGATCTTCTCCAAACTTTAACATGTGAGCATTTAGCCTTTGCTGACGACATAAAGATATATCGTACGATAAGTTGTGATCTAGATTGTGAAATACTGCAGCGAGATATCAATCGTTTGCATCAGTGGTGCATTGATAATAATATGAACTTAAATATATTTAAATGCCACGTCATATCTTTTACTAAAAATAGAATTCTTATAAGTTATCCATACTGTGTTAATAATATGCGTTTGGAAAAAAAGGAATCCATTCGTGACTTAGGTATTATACTTGACTCAAAATTATCATTTATACAACACTATGATTATTTAGTTGCAAAAGCAAATAGAACTCTAGGGTTTATCTTTAGAACAACTAGACCTTTTAAAAACTCGCATGCTATCTTGTCACTCTATACATCACTAGTTAGAAGTTCACTTGAGTACTGTTCTGTTATTTGGTCTCCTTTTTATCAGAACCACATTGACAGAATAGAAGCAATTCAAAAACGCTTTGTTAGATTTTTGAGCACTAAGTATGGTCTGAGAAGGAAACTTCATTCGTATGAATTAAGACTTAATCATTTTAACATTAATTCTCTTATAAATAGAAGATCTATGTCTGATTTCATTACTCTTTATAAAATAATAAATTATAAATGGGACAGTAGCACATTGTTGAGCCTTGTTTCATTTCGTACAGGTAATAAAAGAATACAAAAATTATTTTATATACCGATTTGTAACAATAATGTATCGTATCACAATCCAATTATCCGCATGTGCAGAAAATATAACAATGTATGCAAGGACCTTGATATCTTCCAACAATCCTTGCAATGTTACATTAAGGCTGCCAATTTGTTACTTTAAATTTATAGCCGTCATTCTTTTAATGTATATAGTATCGAATGTTATGCAGAGCAGTTATTGGAGTGCAAATTTAATGTCGTTTCATGTAATATTTATTTTATAAATGTATTAATTTGTAATCTGTTGCCTTGCTATAAATAAATAAATAAATAAATAAATAACTTCTATATTTATTTTGTCTTATAATTTCTGCATCTTTTTAATGCGTAAACACTCATTTTATTTATTAAATAATACGTCAAGATACATTTTATGCGTAAGTATATACAATACTGATATAAAAAAAAACGAGTCAGCTAATTTGACAAATAGCTGACAAAAAGTTGACCCGTTTTTGAGGTTCGATGCTCTATCTATATAAGCGTGTAACCGAAAGTAACTCATCTATTTATCTTTTATCTTTATATGTCTTTAGTAAAATGATATCAACTGTTTACTGTCCACTGCTAAACATAGGTCTCTTCCATGAGAGGTTTTGCCAGTAGTTGCAACGCTTGCCAGACAGGTTAGCAACCGCAATTAAGCAGTGGAGATTTTGGAGGGACGCTACTGGCCATGACTTCGACCATCTCCCTAGTTCCCTATTCGCCTTTTACGACACCAACTGCAAGGAGGAGTTGGAAAAGTTGCCTATGCCCTTCGTGATCTCATATAGCAAATGTCTACCGAATGTCACAGTGATCGGTCAAGTCGTTAAGGCGCTAGAGGTGACAAACATACTCGCTTTCAAATTTATGATATACATAAAAGAAATTTAATAATTTAATAATCGTCACAATATTGAGAATAAATATTCTTTTATAAAATCTATATTAATTCTCCCTAATAAATAAATAAATATATAAAATACAGAATAAGTTGTATTAAAGTAAATATTTGCTTCCGCAAAGAAAGATTGAAGAGAGACAGTGGATGCAAGTGGCTCAGGACCGTTCTTTATGGTGGTCCATGGGAGGGGCCTATGTTCAGCAGTGGACAGACAATGGCTGAGACGATGACGATGAAAGGAAAACAGAAACTTTATACAACATTAGTTAATACGAAACAACACCAGAGTTATCTCGATTGAAAATTAAATTAATTTTAATTTGTAAAAAGAATCGCCAAAATCAGTACAATTATAATAAATAATTATTAACGAACGCCCCAGTACTTTTATTTATTTATTAATTTATTTATTTATTTAAAGGAACACCAACAGCATATTGCATTATAACACATACATATAACAAACATAAAATAAAATATAATATTAATGTACATCGAAGCATTTGGCGTTCCATTGTTTCTGCCTACCCTAATGGGAGACAGGCGTGACAGATATGTATGTATGTATGTATTAATGTACATGACAACAATTTTTGAAAGGTATTCACAATTTTTTAAAAAAGTAATCTCTGAAAGATTCACATAATCACTTCCTATGCCACTACGTTAGGTTGACTGGAAGAGATCTCTTTTAGAGATAAGTTCGCCTTTGCTAACATTGTTATTAACTTATTGTTGTTAATGTATGTTTTAGTGCAATAAAGAATATATATAATTTTTCACTGTTCTTGTTTGCTTAAGCTATTTATATGATATTTGAATCGATTTACTCAATGTTTTCTTTTATTAATATTATGTATTTTCTTTTGTCATTGTTAGTTTACTCAAATAAAAGAGAGAAAAAAATGAAAAATTTTAACAATACCCGAGTACTTGCCGACACAATTGTTCAATATTAAAAACGGCACATTTTAAAATATCGCGTTTTGAAAATGAAGTGAAATTTGCATTACAAATAAAGTTTAATTTATTTATGTAAATACTATGTTTCGATTCAAAGATAAATTTAATAAAGGAAAAACCGATACTTAATTAATTAAGGACTAAGTCATTGTGCGTGGTCCCTGCACAGACGGGGCGGGGCGGGGCAGGACGGGGCAGGGCGGGGCGGGGCGGGGCGGGGCGGGGCGGGGCAGGGCAGGGCAGGGCAGGGCAGGGCAGGGCAGGGCAGGGCAGGACAGAACAGAACAAGCTGGGCCGTCACCTGATGGAAAGTGGTAACCGTCGTCTATAGACATGAGCAGTACCATGGACATAACAGAGTATACTGTTTCGCCCATGATACCTACCATGCATACCTGAGGACAACCTACAACCCACCTGAGGACTCAGGTGTTATTCCTCCGTACCCAGTAAATTCACGCCATATCCCACCCTTCAAACTTGAACACAGCCATGCAAACACAACTGCTTCACGGTTGAAACACGAAAATAATTGTTAATATTGTAGTTTTACAGTCCAATTGCTAGCAATTTACCCAGTCAGGTGCCAACCTGACACACCCATAGAAACCATTGTGGTTGAGTTTTGTAAAATACGTCTTCATAGGCTAACTGACCTTTTTTTGTAACACAAAAAGCAAACGAGCATGTGCATCACTTGATGGTAAGTGACTACCGTCGCCCATGTGAACCGGCAACACTAGAGTTATTGCAGGTGTTCTGCCAACCTTTTAAAAAGGAATATGCTCTTTTCTTGAAGATTTCAATCTCGTATCTTATAGGAAATATTGTCGGGACTTGATTCGACATTTACATTTTCAAATTTTAATACATTAGCTGACTTAGCAAAGCTTGTTTTGCTCTCTATCGCCATCTAAGGGGTCCAAAGAGATAACAACTATCCTATCCTTCATTAAGAAATGTTTCCTCAAATTATCTTTTTTTTTTTAAATAATTAACAAAAACCACTAGTCTCAATTCTAGCGCCATCTATCCAGTATACGATGTACTATTATACTGTAGTCAATTTTTGTTTAGTCACCCATCGCTGCATGCATGCCCTCCGGAAGGCTAAAGGTGATGTCCTTCCAATGTGACGTCTCCTTTTCCCACAATTCTTCCCTTCTCTCGCCTTATTAAAATTTGTTACATGGTTTAGAAGAAACAGAAGAAAATTTCGAGTTTAGAATATACTTCTACTAGATCATACTTTCATCATCGTCATCATCTATCCACTCCTGAATGTAGGCCTCCCCCATAGATTGCCATAAAGAACGGTCCTTAGCCACCTTCATCCATTAACTCCCTGCAATGCATTTGAGATCGTCGCTCCATCTAGTGGGGAGTAGTCCTACACAGCATTTGTCTGTATGGGATCGCCACTCAAGAACTTTTCTTCACCATCGGTTGTCGGTTCTTCGAGCTATGTGACCAGTCCATTGCTACTTCAGCGTGCTTACCCTTCCAATGGTATATACCAAAAGGAAACTGCCCCCAGTGTTCGACAGCTCCACTATTCCTAACTGAGGGAGCGATTATGGTAACGAAAGAGCAAGAGATGTTAAAAATCTACGAAAGATTATATTTTAATACCGTAAAAATTATGTTTAAATTTGCACATTCTTAATCGGTTCTTTATATTTTGCCAAATAACTTCGTTTTATGACAGAATTAAAAAAAATTTTCCCTTATCTGCAATGTTTGTGACGAGAAAAATAAAAAATATTTACAGTTAAAAAAAAAACGTAATAAATACAAATATTTGTACATAACGTCATTTGGTTGTTTTTTTTTTCTAAATAAAAATAATTAATTTCATGAACGGAATCTTCGACGTGTGAGTGCAACTCACACTTGGCCTATTTTATTTTTTACGATATCGCAAACACTGAATCGTTTCCGCTAAATTACTGATATACTATCTATAATTGATAGTTTTTTTTATGTCTACATATATTTTTAAATGAGTTATTTTAACATAAAAAAAAGTTATGTTAAACAGGTTCGCAATTAGTCGGTATAGTATAGCCGACTTCAAAAAGAGAGAGGGTCACAATGTATTTCTTTATATTTGTTACCTCATAACTCAGTCATGTCAGTTTTAAGCCGATTTGTAAAATTCTTTTTTTTTATCTGAAAAGATATACTTACAATCAGGCCCTATAGAAGTTTTATTAAAATCGGTCCAGTAATTTCGTTTTTAAGTCTAATTAACTTTTTTTTTATACAACTTAGAATGACAAACAAGCTGACGGCCCACCTGTTGGAAAGTGGTAACCGTCGCCTATAGACATGAGCGGTACCATGGACATATGTAAATTCACGCCATATCCCACCCTTCAAACCGAAACACAGCCATGCAAACACAACTGCTTCACGGTTGAAACACGAATGGGACAGAGGTACCCAAGCAATCGACTTTTGTACAAAGTCTCCCTCTGGTAAATGGTAATGCATGAAGGGTTTCATGGGCGACACAGTATACTCTGTTATGTCCGCGGTACTGTATATATCAGCGTCTGTTATCACTTTCCACAACAAGTTTACAAGAGAGGGAGACTTTGAACAAAATTCGATTGCTTGGGTACCTCTGTCTCATTCGTGTTTCAACCGTGAAGCAGCTGTGTTTTGGTTTGAAGGGTGGGATATGGCGTGAATTTACAGGGTACAGAGGAATAACACCTGAGTCCTCAGGAATGGCAACGCATGGGGTGTATCATGGGCGTAACAGTATACTCTGTTATGTTCATGGTACTGCTCATGTCAATAGGCGACGGTTACCACTTTCCATCAGGTGGACAGTCAGCTTGTTTGCCATTCTAAATTGAATAAAAAAAAAACCCTCATAAGGAGTAGGATGTTTAATCTCTGCACCCTGTAATTTCATTGCCATATCCACCACTCTCAAATTGAAACACAGTCATACAAACACAACTGCGTCATGATAGAAACACGTATGGGACAGAAGTATAAATTTCGTGCCTTTTTTTTTTATACCACTAAGGTGGCAAACAAGCAAACGGCCCACCTGATGGTAAACGGTTACAGTAGCCTATGAACGCCTGCAATACCAGAGGTATTACGCGCGCGTTGCCGACCCTGAAGAAGCCTCTTTACCCCCCTTTTGAAGAACATATATACATAATATCCATATAAATACTATGTATATACACAACAATAATATATTCGAATAAATATTAACGCTGTGTCGATAGACTGTTATTTAAACAGCGTCCTAATGATTTGTACAAGTGGTTAGGGGCATGTTTCATTTATAACTATTATATATACCTCTATTGTATTTGATGTAATAAACATAAAACACAAAAGAGGTAACATTTAAAAATTCCATGTTGTCACTTATTACCTCTTGCCAATGTCGTAGATAAAGGAAAATAAAATGTTTAAAGTTTATTTATACCAAATCGACTCACCTGGGTAATTGTAGTTTGGAGTGATCAGTATATTTAGGTGTTTGCTTGGTTTCGAACGTGGTTTGTTTTATTGCATTTTTTTTTGTTAATTTTCATAAGTGTTTTTATATATAATAATAATGGGTAAGAAACTATTGAATGCTTTATTTTGTTTTAAAAAAAAATACTTAAAAAAATAGGTTTTCTCAATTCGTGGCAATTTTTTTTGTGTAGAAAAAATAAATAAACTTTTTATTAATGATACTTTGGAAATGCATTATGAATCCAAATTGGAAATGACGCTTGGAAATGGCAATGGCAGTTAGGCGTTGGTGATGTTTTAAAAGGGACGCTGCTGCCCACGCCTCGACTAATACATTCCCTTAGTCGCCTTTTTTTTATACAACTTAGAATGGCAAACAAGCTGACGGCCCACCTGATGGAAAGTGGTAACCGTCGCCTATAGACATGAGCAGTACCAATGATACCCCCCATGCGTTGCCATTCCTGATGACTCAGGTGTAATTCCTCTGTACCCAGTAAATTCACGCTATATCCCATCCTTCAAACCGAAACACAGCCATGCAATCACAACTGCTTCACGGTTGAAACACGAATGGGACAGAGGTACCCAAGCAATCGACTTTTGTACAAAGTCTCCCTCTGGTAAGGAAAAGGAAAAGGGCGACTTATTCTATGCTGGGACCACCTGCTGGATCTTCTTTTCATCTTCTTTTGCCCTCTATCATTCCTTCTACTATGCTCTTAAAAAAATCGTCATGTCGTATAAGGTGGCTCAGCATTTTGCCTCTTCTATTCTTTATTATTTCAACCAATGTTCTCTTCTCGTTCACTCTTTTTAGGACTTCCTCGTTCGTTAGTTTTTCTGTCCAGCTTATCCTTTCCATTCACCTGCTGAATACTAGTACCAAAATGTAATCTTGGCATATAAGTAAGCATAATTACTATTGTTATAATTATAGATACCGCGGTTCCAACAGTAATTACACCTGAAACAAAAGCTAACAACGACCAATCCAAGTGGGTAACACCTTTCAAGAAACAGGTAACACATATTTTAATACCAAAACACAATTCTCTCTTCCTCTCTCCCTTCCTCCTTATAGGGGAGGCCTATGTTCAGCAGTGGACAGTCAACGACTAATACGATACGATACGATACGAATAGAAAAATAAAAAATCACGTTTTAAAGTCACAATGATCTCTGATACCCCTGAACGGATTTTCATAAAATTCTGTATATTTTTTTGCTCCAACTCGAGACATATTATCGGAAGAAAAAAATAGGAAAATTATCTTAATTATAAAACAAATCTGGAATATGACGGTAACAGGTGAAACAAACTTTGGCGGATCACCTAATAATTATAGTATATACATACATGTGATATGCATACATATAATGCATTGCAGGAAGATGGCTTAGGGCCTTTTATTCTGTTACAAGTTCGTATTGAGTAAAATTCTATAAACATGGAAACTACAGAAATACTTCTCAGGTTGACCACTAGATAGAGTTGTCATTTTAGTATATATATATATATATATATATATATATATATATATATATGTTTGTGTGTATGTGTGTGTACTACAACGCGATATTAAGATTTCTAACTAGAGTATATAAGCTCAGGAATATATTGAAAACAATAATAATAAAAACATCTCATCTGGTACAGTTCAAGGGTGTATTTATTTATTGAAACCTAAATTAAAACGTATCTGTACTCGTGGATGTGATTAAGGGTTTGTTCACCAAGACAAGGGAGGCGTATGTTCAGCAGTGGACAGATAATGGATGAGACGAAGATGATAAACTAATTATATATTCTTTATTGCACTTGTAAGTTACATATAAAATAATCTATTTATAAATGTTGTGAGCAAGGGTGGACTTATCTCTGACAGAGATCTCTTCCGATACAGAGAGAAAGCATGTCGTTAGCGGGCAGCTGAAGTGCTACAACTATTAATACATAAACAAATATATAGTTAAATAAAATATTAAAATATATAATAAAATATTACATAAATACGTACACTATAAATACATACAATTCCCATATCTATCCGTGAGAGTCAATCCCTAAATATTTTTAAGAGTAGACTTAAAAAGCATCTTCTATCTCTATGAACATATATTTATTTATCTATATGTGTAGGTATATTGTATGTATATGTAGGTTTATGCATAGATATAGGTATATATTTATGTATATGTATGTGTGTATTTGTACTATATAATATAATCTAATTAATTTAATTTTGGCTATTTAAAAATTGTACACTGCTGTATTCGCTGACATTGACGCTCCTTTCCACTTTGGGTTTGCTGGAAGAAAACTCTATCAGAGTTAAGCTCGCCTTTGTACTTTTGTTTACCTCTGTCATATTTTTATAACTAATGTGTACAATAAAGTATTAAATACAAAAAAAAAATACAATACCTACCTACTTATATAATATATGTTAAAATAAATTAATATACTACTTACATTAGGAATTAATTATTAACATTATTAAATAGAAAGATTTTAATAAGAGAACAGAAGCCAAAACAATACCTAATGTTTACAATTTTTGCTTCATTGTCATGATTTAAATCATGACGATGAAGCAAAAATTAGATTAAAAAATATTAATCTAATTTTTGCTTCAAAAGCTTTAAAAATTTTATCTTCCAACTTGACTGACTTGAAAACTAATTAACTTAAAACCTTACCTTTCAGTGTTTCGTGACTGCCGGAGTTTCTCTTAACATAATCAGCCATGGCACAGCGCTGGGCTTCTCTTCTGCTCTCATACCACAATTGAGAGAATCTAAATTTATAATACTTGACGATTCTTCGACGTCATGGATAGGTATTATTACATAATTTTACTTTTTACATAAACTGCTGGTCTAGCGCACTCTGACAAGTTTTAGTAGCGCTCTTCTGGTGACGAAAACAGTGTATACTGCGATATTTTACTGATCTGATTTATTTGGATAAATAGAAAATTCAGATTGTTTACCACAAAAAAAAATAATCAATTTAAACTATAGCAAAACCAGCTATTTTTATTTAAAAACTGATCTAGTGAATATATTGTATCATCATCTTCCTACCCTTATCCCAATCATTTGGGGTCGGCGTAATATGGTTTTATCCATATTACAAAAATATTTGGTTTTTAGTTTTACGACCGGCCACCTGAAGTGTATATATTGTATATTTACATTATTACATGTATTATATCTTCATATTTAGAAACAATAGGATCTTCATCGTGCCTCCAATCAAACCGTTTATAATTACTCCTCTTCATCCAAAGGTTGCCTGGAAGAGATCGCTTTTAGCGATAAGGTCGCCCATTGTTTTCTCATTGTGATTATTTCCTATAATTGTTTATATTATAATAAGTTTACTATTGTAATCTTTTGGAGGAAACAATAAAGAGTATCTATCTATCTATTTGTCTAGTAAACCGTATTAATATCATTTCTATGGGATCAGTCTATAATCACATTCTTTAAGGTAAAAAAAGAATTTTCCAAATCGGTATCCTCCTTATTTTTAAAAGCCGCATGATCGTTTGCCCCCTGTGTTGTAAAAAAACGTTTATAATGTTTAAATATTAAGAATTAGAAAACTGAACTAGAATTCTGCTAATTATTCGCAAAAAATTAATGTATTCCATTTTTCAGTGTCCATCGTTGGCATTGGCGTTGTCACCGGGATATTAATCATTCCTTTTATTATCAACAAAATTGGAAGAAAGCTGATAAACCTTATGTCCGCCATCATTATTACCATAAGCTGGATAATTATATTCGTAGCAAAGACTGCGTTTACTTTGATATTAGCAAGATGCGTCCAAGGTATTGGCAATGGTTTTACAGCCATCATTGGACCAATACTAATTGGAGAGTATACTAGTCCACGCAATAGAGGTGCATTTTTGGCAACAACGTCTGCATCTTTTTTTGTAGGAACAGCACTTTCTCATACAACAGGCTCGTTTCTCTCTTGGCAGAAATCTGCTTTAATATGCGCTTGTATTAGTTTTATAGATATACTTCTAATAATATGTTCACCGGAATCTCCATTATATTTAGCAAAGAATGGAAAGTATGATGCATGTAAAAATAATTTCCATTGGCTTAAAGGCAACGATGAAGATGAGGAATTAGATAAAATGTTAAAGAATGCTATGATAGAAAAAGATTTGTGTAAACAGATCAAAATTAAGTCTGGTTATTTAAATAAAATTTTAGAATATATTTTAACATTAAGAAAAAGAGAGTTCTATAAGCCCGTTATTATTATGTTCCACCTTTATACGATTAATATATGGTGTGGAGTAACTATACATGATGCTTTTGCTATAGACATTTTGCATACAATTGTAGGTCCAAATGTTAATATTTCATTAATTGTATTTTCCATGGATATCCAAGCAGTTGTGATAAATATTATAACAATAGTTTTAATAAGAAAATTTAAAAGGAAACGAGTTTTATTGTTTGCTGTCTCGCTTAACATTATTATGTACTTATTAATTGCTAGTTACACATACTTGAGAGTTCAAAATATTTTATCATTTCACACTCCTATTATTGGTATATTTTTGAGTCATGTACATTTGATCTCCACAACATTAGGATGTGTTTCAATACCAAACATAATTGCGGGCGAAATATTTCCATTCAATTACAAAGGCATCGGTGGAATGTTTTCTCAAATAATATTCTATATAATTTTGACAGTATTTTTAAAAATTACTCCATATTTATTGCGTATAGTGGGACTATCAGGCACTTATTGTATTACTGCCGCATTAATGTGTTACAGTTTAATTTTTCTAATTATCATGCTGCCAGAAACTAAAGATAGAACTCTCCAGGATATTGAAAATGAGCTTACAGGTAACAATAAAAATGTTAATACTGAAACAGAACTAAATATGCTAATGTCCTAAATTATACTCTTAATTATATATAATGATAAAGTAACTAATGTACCTTCTATGGGGAAATTGCTGTATATATACAGCAATTTCCCCATAGAAGGTATTTATTAATCTTATAAGATTAATAAATAATAAAACATTTATTTTGTGTCAACTGAATCTTTATTTAATGTATCGATCATATTCCATAAAAATCTTATATAAAGACATTTTAGAAAAAAAAATATATAACGTTCTTTTTTTTTCATAATACTACCTTCGACAAAATTAAGGTTTCTGAATTCGTACCAAGAATGATGACTTAGGCTATAGTCTATCTTTGGATAATGAAATTAGTAATGATATTGTAAATCTATAAAATCAATGCAATTTTAAATTTAAAATTGCAAATTAAAAGCTACTATCTACAGTTTTAAATTACTATTATTTTGACATAAATTTAATTAAATTAGGAAACTCGCCCTCATAAATGTACACATTGAAAATTGAAAAGCAAGAAACAGTGGAAAATTTTCAATTAAATTACCATTTCACAGATATTCCCCATAAATTCTCAGTTTTATTTTTTATTATAAATTGATTTGAACGTTATAATGTTACTAATACTAAATACAGCTGATGGCCTGGCAACATTCTCTATTGTAAAGTTGCAGTGGTGAACGCGGAAGTACTTAAGTATTAAGTTTGTTAATGGTATATAAGAGAAAAATACTCTAAATGATTCTTGACATCATTGTCTGAATTTATTTTATTATCAATAATTAAAACGTTTTTATTAACAGAAGCCGTTTCTTTTCCTGATTAACCTTCTATGTGACTTATTGCCTTCCAAAACTGGCTTTTATTTTATTCACAGAGTTGATAATTTTAAATATTTTGAATATGGTAATTTTGGGGGGAAAGGGATTGTTAGTAATGGAGACTGAGAATCCCATTGCTAGCAATATACCCAACCAAGTCGACCTCCTCGCGGTTCCCCCTGGAAACTATCATGGTTAATTCCTGATGAATTCATCATGATGGGCTAACTGGCCTGTTTTCATTCTCATCTATCACCCTTCACTGGTGCTCCGCCAGCGTATCCCGTTAGCGCAGGCGGGGTCACCATACCATTTTCAACCACCAAAAAAGAATATGGTAATTTTTTTTATAAACCTCTATTCTTTACTTACTATTCTCTTACACGCAACTTCACCCATGTAATCAGGATATAACGATAAACAGGAATAGAAAGTATACTGCGTCTTTCTCCAAGAAACTTACTTTTACATTCGTAACATTAGAATCATCATTGTCATTAATATCGGCCATTAACTGTCTACTGCTGAACATAGTATAGTTAAATACAATTTCTCACAACCATTAAATACAAATTCAAATTCAAAATATCTTTAGTCATATATGTCTATTCCAAACTCTTATGACATGTCAAATCTACCGTCATTTCGGAATGATTTCGAGATGAGAAGAACTGACAAGAGACTCGGCTCGTATTCTTTTCAAATATATTTTATACACGTTTACAATAATACAGATTCATTTTTAAATTCAATTTTTGGAGAATGGAGTGACCACCAGCATATGGTATTACAAAAGCTAATAGTCTAATCAGTGTTCGTAACCCAAACAGACCAGTCCCCACAAACAGCACCCATTCACGAGTATGACTGATGAGCCAGCCATCATTGCATTCACCCATATTGGAGGGAGCACATCCACCCGGATCACCACCCCGCCACAAGTTTGAACAAGTGTGACAAGACAAGTTTAACCAGAGGGGAGACTTTGTACAAAAGTCGATTGCTTGAGTACCTCTGTCCCATTAGTGTTTCTACCGTTAAGCAGTTGTGTTTGCATGGCTGTGTTTCGGTTTGAAGGGTGGAATATGGCGTGAATTTACAGGGTACAGAGGAATAACACCTGAGTCCTCAGTAATGGCAACGCATGGGGGGTATCATGGGCGAAACAGTATACTCTGTTATGTACAGGGTACTGCTTATGTCTATAAGCGACGGTTACCACTTTCCATCAGGTGGGCCGTGAACTTGTTTGCTATTCTAAGTTGTATAAAAAAAAAGAACATTATTACTATTGTTACTTGTTAGAGGGTATTGCCCTTTGGCAATAACAGTTTCCATCTCATTTCCATTACACACGAAAACTCTATATATGATATTTTTTTCTTTTTCTTGATTCATCGCTTATCAAAGATCTAAAGGGATCTCGTTCTCATTTCGAATCAGTCTCTAAAATTTTTGAGCCAGAAGTGTTTCTAGAAGTACCGTCCCTATTTTCCTTGTAAACAATATGTTGTTGTAATGCCTATTTGTCATTCTGTGACCCAAATATTGGACACAAAATAATGTTTTCGAATTACATTAAATTATCACATATGACCATAACAAAAAATCTATTTCAACCAACGAGTTTCGATCTGTTTGCACAGCTGCAGTGTTTTAATAAACAATTATAAACAAATTATAATTATTGCCCTATAGTCTTTTTACGTCTACTTATACAACTGAAACGACCGTAGTGTGATGTAAACGTTTATCTATTAAACTGTACGATGAATTTCGTGCAAAAAATACGCGTGTATTTTTTTTTTCTCTATTTTTAATCGCTGCTGATAGTGCGTAGACACTGATTCTGTGTGAATAGTTCTTGAAACTTTTGTTTGAAATATGTGAATATATTTTGTGTACCCTTCTTACCTGGTATGGGTCTTAAAATTTACATTCGGCTACACGTCTTGCAAAATAAATACGCTTGATCCATTATTTATTTAAATAAGTGTTGATATCACAAAATTATCAGTGACGACTCAGTGTCACTCTTACTCTGTACAATAATGGAACAAATTTCATAGTAATTATTATTAAACGAATGGAAGAGAATAATTGTATAGTCAAGTAATTAAAACTTGTGGAAATGGAGCTTCGAAGATGCATAACACCTTTTATTATACAAGTAAGTACTATTTACTTATTATAGATTATATAGCTGTGCTGTAAAAGTTGCTAAGTTTTAGACCAAATATTAAGGTTACTTATTGACTCGAAAGAAGAAGGTTATATATATAACATCTATACGTTTTTTTTTTCGTATAGTGTTAAATATTATAATATAGTATGGCATTAACATGTTTGATTACATCTTCAGTCCTCGCAACCTTATTAGAATGAAATATGTTATTACAGTAAAAAGCATGACCAGAGGGAGACTTTGTACAGAAGTTGTTTGCTTGGGCACCTCTCTCCTATTCGCGTTTCTACCGTGAAGCAATTGTGTTTGCATGGCTGTGTTTCAGTTTGAATTTTGAATTGAAGGGTGGGATTGGCAGTGAATTTACCGGGTACAGAAGAATAACACCTGAGTCCTCAGAAATGGTAACGCATGGAGGGTATCATGGGCGAAACAGTATACTCTGTTACGTTCATGGTACTGCTCATGTCTATAGGCGACGGTTACCACTTTCTATCTGATGGGCCGTCAGCTTATTTGGCATTCTAAATTGCATAAAAAAAATATGCATTTAGGAATTGGTCGTTGCCTCGTGGTCCCGGAATAGAATGGGACACCCCTTCCTTTCCCGTGAGTGTCGTAAGAGGCATCTAAGGGAAGGCGAGGAATGGGCAACAGTATCTCTCTTAAAACATCTTCAAAACTTGACTGCGGTTACTAATCCGCCTGCCAAGCGTGGCAACTACTGGCAAAACCCTCCAAAAAGGAGGCTTATGTTCAACAGTGGTCAGTTAAGGGCTGACATGACGGCAATGATGATGATATGGGAATTATTTTTGTGTTTTAGCATCTGTTTATTTCATAACTTAGCCGTATGATGTGGAAGAGCGGGACGACATAACACAGATACTTGCTATGCTTATTAACTAATCCCAACCATATATTGTAATGTTTGAATTATTTTTTTAAAAAAACAAATATATTTTCCTTTTTTTTAGTAAATAAAGTAATATCTAATACGTGCTATCGAATATATTTTGCTTTCAAAGTAGTATATACTTTTTTGCTTTACCAAATTAATACAAGAATCAATTTCAGAGGAAAACTGAAAATTATAAACTACAAATAGTAATGGTCCGAGAATAGACCCTTGAGGTACATACAAAGCTAATCCAGTTACGTTGTTTGTATATTTCAGTGTTTCGTTTCGGCAGGAGTTACTTTAAATATGTCTGGAATGGGTCTGGTTATGGGGTTCTCTACGGTTCTGCTCCCCCAATTACAGAAACCAGATTCAATAATACAAATAGATGAGTCTTCAGGATCTTGGATAGGTAAGAGAATAACATTTGAATTAAACTCGCAAAGATATTTAAACGATTTGAAGGTAGATTTAGACCAAACGAACAAAACCTAAAAACTCATCTACAGTAGCAAACAATTTTATACGTCGATCCTTAACTATCTTTATTTAAAACCTATCAAAGCACATTTTCTGTGCTCTTTGTTTTTACTTGCTCGTTGTCTTGTTTTTGTTTTTGTCTAACTCTGACTTCAACGTATATATATAGAACAGTGCTTGGTTATAAACACCAAGACAGATATACCATAAAGTAGCATTAAAAATGAAAGGAATCCAATACAAAATTTATTATTTCACATCGTTTTTCCATTGTAATTTTTTTACGAATAAACAAGCTGAAGTGGCAATGGATGGATCACATAGATCCAAGAACCGACAACCGATAATTGAGTGGTGACCCCGTATGGACAAACTCAGTGCAGGACGAGTAGATAGAGTGACAACCTCAAATGCATTGCAGGGAGTCAGTGGATGCAGGTGGTTCAGGACCGTTATGGCAGTCCATGGGGAAGGCCTATATTCAGCAACGAACAGATAGAGACTGAAACAATCCCTGAAGGACTTGAAAACTGTGCTTAATACTTGAAGTTGTCGATGAGTATGTAACCTGAAACGACTTGTCTGAATCGGTAAATCCAATTTAGACCGAGAGATCAACCAACCAGAGGGAGACTTTGTACAAAAGTCGATTGCTTGGGTACCTCTGTCCCATTCGTGTTTCAACCGTGAAGCAGTTGTGTTTGCATGGCTGTGTTTCGGTTTGAAGGGTGGGATATGGCGTGAATTTACTGGGTACAGAGGAATAACACCTGAGTCCTCAGGAATGGCAACGCATGGGGGGTATCATGGGCGAAATAGTATACTCTGTTATGTCCATGGTACTGCTCATGTCTATAGGCGACGGTTACTACTTTCCATCAGGTGGGCCGTTAGCTTGTTTGCCATTCTAAGTAGTATAAAAAAAAAAAACTCGGCCGGGCAGCATTCGGAAAAGTACGATAATTCTTTTCTCATAAAATAACTCAGTATATCATGTTGTTTAAAATTGATCGGTGGCATCATACGTATTGCAAAATCAATGATGTGGAGGCTCTTAAGGCTATTATTCCTTGTGGTATGCTAACGAGATGTACATTTATAGACAAAATATTGAATGACGATTAAATATTATGTGTCGAAGCATTCCACTTAATACAACCCTGATTTACATAACAGCTCACTTTAGGTTATCTATATTATAAATTTTCATATCATCGTGTATTAATTACTTTAATAAACCGTAACTACTGCACAGCTAGTTAAAATATACAATGAGATAACAAATATCATTATACAAATTGATTGCGCAATAGATATCTTTAACTATAACTAATTTAATTTTGATACGATTAAAAATTCCTGACAATCATCTCAAGCGATGATTTCAAATACATCGTGGAATATCAAATATTGCAGGTTACTCAATACCAAAGGTTTATACCGATTGCGTGGCAGCAGTAACAGCATTCTGAGGGCATTATGTAATAAATACGATAGCCCGATCCTCTCATTGTGGGTCAAAATTATTATAGGGGCCATAAAATAAATTTTGTATTTTTTTCTCTACTAACATAGTTTAAGTCAATTGTTACTAACAAGAATGGATCTTTGTAATCTATAAATAAAGAAATATTATTATTATTATTATTATTATTATTATAAAACCATAGAAGTCTGGTAGTCTGCTGAGGAGGCCCACATTTAACAATGAACAATAAATGACTGATAATTTTATATACTTTGGCATTACTGGGTACAGAAATATCTCGATGCTAGGAAATTACAACGCATAATGTTATCATAAGCATTATTAAAAATTTTTAGAGAAATACAAGCATGTGTAGATATAATTTGAAGTGTATTTTACAATGTTTTATTAATTAGTTTTTTTTTTGTTATCTATTTCAGCCTCCATTCCAGGGATCGCCATTATTGTCGGCAACTTTATGGTAGCAACTCTGATGAATAAGTTTGGAAGGAAAATTGCTAATTTGATCAGTGTCACCATAACAATTATTGGCTGGCTATGCATCATCTTCTCGAATACTACTTCTATGATGATCGCTGCCAGATTCTTCCAAGGCATCGCAATGGGTATTATAACAACATTGGGGCCAATTTTAATTGGTGAATACACCAGTCCCAGAAATCGAGGAGCGTTCCTCATGTCAATATCAATATCGATCAGTACTGGTGTGTTTTTAATACACATATTGGGCATATATTTGGATTGGCGGACTACTTCTATTGCTTGTATTGGTATTGCCTTGGTAGATATATTAATAGTTATATTATCACCTGAATCACCAAGTTGGTTGGCAAATCAGGGAAAATATGAAGAATGTCGTAAAGTATTCAGATACTTGAGAGGTGACAATGAAGAAGAAGAATTAGAAAAAATGATAGAAGCAAATGTTATTTCTAAGCAAGAGAATAAAATAAAAACGTCAGCAAACGACACGATTGCAGCTAGAATAGATATAATTGTACATTATTGGAAGAAATTAGTAAAAGACAGAGCATTTTATGTACCAGTATTCATAATGCTGCATGTTTACACAATGGCACAGTGGAGTGGAGTAAACGTATTTACGTCATATTTAATAGATCTTATTGAGCATGTTTCCGGATCAGTTGACCATATGGACATGATTATCATCTCCATTGACGTCCAGAGAATAGTAACCAGCACGATTGGCATAATTCTAATAAAGAAGATACGTAGAAGACTCCTCGTATTTGTATCTGTAGGTTTAAATTTTGTGATGTACCTCATTATAGCTGGTTATACATATGCTAAACAGAATGATTGGCTTCCATACCATCATCCTTACATCGGCTTAGTATTAATACATTTACATATGTTTTCTATAGGAATCGGTGCATTGCCAATATCGTTTGTGTTGTCTGGCGAGATCTATCCATTAGAATACAAAGGTATTTCTGGTGGGATCAGCACTATATTTATGTCTTTAAATATTTTCACAAACGTGAAAACTATACCAATGTTATTTAATGCCATGGGATTTTCTGAGACATATTTAATGTATTCAGTTATAATTGGCTACTGTCTTGTTATAGTATGTTTATTGTTACCTGAAACTAAAGATAGAACACTTTTAGAGATAGAAGAATCATTTAGACGGAAAAAAGTAAACAGACCGTAATGATTATGTTATTATATTTAATTGTAATGATAAAAATGTTATAAATAATGAAAATGTGAACTTTAAACGAGGTAAAACAAACTTATAACATAAACATGCAATAAATTCATCAATATGAGAAATTCTTATCGCCCTGCGAACGCACTTATTTTTTTAATAAATTTTGTAATCTGCTAATTGGCAATCTGTTCCTTATAGAACAATAATCCAATCTGCTGTTTGGATGTTAGATTTAAATTTTGTCAATAAATGATGAGGCCAATCCATTAACCAGCTCTCAGTCTCTGTCTGTAAATCTTTCTACCAGTCCTTGGATACTGTGTCTTTTTAATCGAGAGAAACTAATGCTTCCCGATCCCTGTAATTGAGCGGCCAATTCATTTCTATGGCTGTTCAATATGGACTGATAGTTTTTGCTGAATGTCTCGATTTCTTGTTTTATCGTTTTCAGTTTGATGTCCATATACACAAATTTATTACTTATATATTGTGATTTTTTATAATAAAAATAACCGGAACATCAGACGTGATAATAAATTTCGGTTAAATGAAATCTCAAATTTATTAATTCTGCGTTTATTTATTTATTTAACTCTTTATTGCACCATAAACAAAAATATACAATGACAAGTGAATAATTCAAGTGAAATACAGTAACATAAGTACAGATTGAAATATACACATAGAGGTACAAAAGGCGGTCTTATCGCTAGTGCAATCTCTTACAGACAACCTTTGGTTAAAGGAGAACAGATATAAGTGGGCAGGTGGCGCAACAGTGAATTAATAATTTTTCGTGCATAAAATACAAAAACCTGTAATGCACAAAAATATCAAATACATATAATTTATTAAATTACTTACTATAACTATATATATATATATATATATATATATATATATATATATATATATATATATATATATATATATATATATATATATATATATATATATATATTGTTCTTGAACCGGAATAAAAAGTGGCGTATATCTTTTTCAACCTTGTATGTTTGTATTGTTAGTAATGGAGATTAATAACCCCATTGCTAGCAATACACCCTACCAGGTCGACCTCCACGCGGTCTCCCCTATAAACTATCATATAATTCCTGGCGAATTAATTACGATAGACTGTCTGACCTAATTTTATTCTTATCTGTTATTCCTCACTGCTACTCCTCCAGTGTAACGAATTCTAGAAAGTTCCACCGCTGTACAATAATAGATGGCGCTAGTTGTCCCATGTTGAAAGTACGGAACGAAACGTTATATACAAGTAAAAATTATGATATTAAAACTCTGGAACAATTCTCCTGATCTATGTAATAATAGCCAGTACCACTTTACGTATATAGGTGATTTACGTACATATAATCCGAATTCCGAAAAAAAAGTCTGAAAACCTTTGATTTATACAGACAAACAATTGAATCGGCCGACTAACGTAACGAGACTGTTCTGCAAAGAATGCACAAAAAGGCAAGAACCGCCGTATGTTGCTATACCTGGGATACCTAAAGCGGATCAGGAAATACAGTCTTCTACAGTTTATATTTTTTTTTATACAACTTAGAATGGCAAACAAGCTGACGGCCGACCTGATGGAAAGTGGTAACCGTCGCCTATAGACATGAGCAGTACCATGGACATAACAGTAGACACACATACTGTTTCGCCCATGATACCCCCCATGCATGCGTTGCCATTCCTGAGGACTCAGGTGTTATACCTACGTCTGCACTACCAGAATACGCTAGCGGGAAAAACAAGAAAAAGAGACAACATGTGTAGATATTACCATTATTTACCAGAGACTTTGTACAAAAGTCGATTGCTTGGGTACCTCTGTCCCATTCGTGTTTCAACCGTGAAGCAGTTGTGTTTGCATGGCTGTGTTTCGGTTTGAAGGGTGGAATATAGCGTGAATTTACTGGGTACAGAGGAATAACACCTGAGTCCGCAGGAATGGCAACGCATGGGGGGTATCATGGGCGAAACAGTATACTCTGTTACGTCCATGGTACTGCTCATGTCTATAGGCGACGGTTACCACTTTCCATCAGGTGGACCGTCAGCTTGTTTGCCATTCTAAGTTGTATAAAAAAAACAGACTGCATACTAGTCAATGGATGCAGATAGCTCAAGACAGTTGTGCTTTTTTGTATATTTTTTTTCCAAAATTTATACGTTAGAAAGCAGTAAATTTAGAAATGTAATTAACAACAATATACGAGTACTAATTGCTGGCGTTTCGTTAAGTATGATAAGAGAGAAAAAAACGTCGTTTTCCCATTTCTTGTTATTTATTTATTTATTTCTTGTTGTTTTTCATAATCTGATTGGTAGAGGGGTGGGGGAAGGGATTGCTAGCAATGTGGATTACCAATACCATTGCTAACAACATACCCTAACAGGTCGACCTCCCCATGGTCTCCCCTGGAAACCATCGTACTGAATTCCAAGTGTATTGGAATCACGATGGCCTTACTGACCTGATTTTTCATTTTCACCTATCATCCCTCACTGGTGCCCCACCAGTGTATACCGTTAGCGCGGGCGGAGCTACTATTGCATTATCATCAATTAAAAAAAAATCTTGTTGGTAGATAACACTTCAACTTATGGACCCTGTTGGACACAGCAAGTAGGAGAGAGGACAATTTTTTTTTTTATTTCAGAAATAGTTTATATTGTTACAATATTAAACAATCATCGAAACTGTTTCATGTTCGCTTAAGTGCTTCCTTTTTATACATTAAAATGCCTGTTTAAAAATCAAAAAATTAATTGTTTTAAATAAATAAGAATTGTGTTTGCATGTTATGTGCTGTGTAAGAGTGTATGTAGTATGTGTGCGTGCACTGATGAGCAAAATAATTTGAACCAATACATATTTAATGAAGTCGCAAGGTTTGTTTAGAGAAATTTGTTTCTAGCTATTTATTCTTATACACTACTAGCGACCCGCCTCGGCTTCGCACGAGTGCAATGCCGCCCCGCATCTGCATTTTAAATCTGTAATATCTTCGGAAATATTCATTTAAATTACATGTTGTAAAGGGCCATGTTGATCTATATTAAATGGACAATGTAATTAAGGTACTTAATTGAATAAAAATTAATGCTGTATTGCTTAAAATCACTTCGTAAATAAGCCATTTTTTCCTATAAAATGTAAAGGATAAAAAATGGTTATTGTGGGTTATCCTTATGAGATAGACATATACCATTACGGACTTTTTTGTTGATCTTTTTAAGGTGTACAATATTGTAGTACATTCATTTGATTTATCACATGGGGTTCAACTAGCGTTTGCATTGTAAGCGCAAAGAAATGTGTTGATTTACAATATCACATTAGAAACCTCTAAATTAATCACTGTTTCTCTACTATATTATGCATGTATTATATATATAAACCATCCTCTTGAATCACTCTATCTACTAAAAAAAAACCGCTTTAAAATCCGTTGCGTAGTTTTAAAGATTTAAGCATACATAGGGACGGACATACAGCGACAGCGACTTTGGTTTATACTATGTAGTGATTTATTCATTTATTCCTATTTATTTATTTATTTATTTGAAAATTACTCACCACACTTACAGTCTCCCAAAACGTGTAGTGAACCATAGGTTTATTTTATAAACTTACACAGTTTGTACAACATTTTAAAAATATATCTATTTTGTCATTAAATATGTCAATACCTGGCTGCTGAGCAATCAGAGAATTGAGCAGAGAAATAGCCTGATAAGTGGGTGCAAACTGAGCAGTACAGGTGCGAACCGGCCGTGCCGATAGTAGTCGACAAGCACGCAATCGTATGCAGCGTTGGGGTCCGTACAAAGAACAACGGCTAAGAGTTGCAGGTTAAGGAGTTATAGTGATGGGATTCGAGTTGCTTTTCACTCGAGTGACTCGAGTAGTTTTTATATTACATGCACTCGAGTTACATTTTTGACGACTCCAGTTTCGAGTGACTCGCGTCGACTCGAATTACGAGTGACTCGAGTTGACTCGTACCACTCGTGTGGTTTATACCGAACCGAGTGAGAAATTCAAATTGTGACAAGTTTACCCGCGGTAGCAGGAAACTTTTAAGAGAGAAAATTCTTTCTGATGCTTATCATGCCGCACGCACTATAATTGTAGATATTCTACATTTAGTTGAATATACGGCTGCTACAACAGATTTATGGACTTCTGACAATAATAAAGCATACCTAACTATTACAATACTTATAATTCAAAACTTTTTTCGCAAACTGTTACTACTAAAGAGGTTACGGAGAAACATTCTTCTATTATTTTAGCAAGTGTGCTGAAGTCGATATTATCGAAAAAATTGATCAATTTATTTTTTTAAAATAGTTATTACACCAATTTCAGTTAAATTTGTTATCTCATTAAAGATAATTATTTTTGTTTTTTTTTGTTGAGTTTATTTAAGTTTTATTTAAGTTAATTTTAAAACACGTATATTATTACATAAATTGTGTAAGAACATAATAAAACTGTTTATATTTGGATCTCATGAAAGTTCCTTGTTAGAATAAATTAAATTGGATTAGAACTTATTAGTAGTAGATTATGGTATAATATTTTAATTTGACTGATAGTTGATATAAGAGGTTTCTTGATTATGTATGACAGGTTTAGTTTGAAGGAAAATTTTATTTTTTACATTTTGTTTAGATTTTTTTTTTTTTTTTTGAGAAAATGAATACACATTTTCTATGTAAAATTAATACTGTTTTATTCGTTTTAAAATTTTGGTCACTCGCGTTTTATATTCCGAGTGACTCGAGTCAATAAAAATCACTCGAGTTTTATCTTCACTCGAGTGGCATTCGAGTGAGTAACTTATCAGTACCGAGTGACTCGAGTGAAAAAAAATCACTCGAGTCCCATCACTAAGGAGTTATGCTCTTGTAGGTGGAACTCTTGTCGCTTAATACGGTTTTCAGCAAGTCTCTTCACCTCTTGATACGACGGGACACCAACTTTTTCTTAATCTGCCTGATGTAACTTGGCCTCTCCTTTCCTCTTCTTCCTTCTACTTTACCTTTCATTATGATGTTCAGAAATTCGTTGTGTCGTGTCAAATGTCCCAACATTTTCTCCTTAGTGCTCCCGTTGGGGGGAAGGGATTGTTAGTAATGCAGATTACCAGTCCTATTGCTAGCAATCTTCCCTGTCAGGTCGACCATCCCATGGTCCTCCCTGGAAACCATCGTGTTGACTTCCTGGTATATTCATCACGATAGGCTAACTAACCTGCCTTTTCGTCTCAAGTTTCCTCCCTCACTGGTGCCCCACCAGCGTATACCGTTAGCGCAGGCGGAGTTACCATGATGTTATGTTATCCATTAAAAAAAGTATCTTTATTATACAATATATACCACTTTTAAATACTAAGTTTTTTTTTTTATACAACTTAGAATGGCAAACAAGCTGACGGCCCACCTAATGGAAAGTGGTAACCATCGCCTATAGACATGAGCAGTACCATGGACATAACAGAGTATACTGTTTCGCCCATGATACCCCCCATGCGTCGCCATTCCTGAGGACTCAGGTGTTATTCCTCTGCACCCAGTAAATTCACGCTATATCTCACCCTTCAAACCGAAACACAGCCATGCAAACACAACTGCTTCACGGTTGAAACACGAATGGGACAGTGGTACCCAAACAATCGACTTTTGTACAAAGTCTCCCTCTGGTCTTACTCATATTACTTAGCGCTAAAACTGTCTGGTAATGAAACAGTCTGAATATATTTTACTGTTTCATACCGTTTGAATAAACACAAGACTGTGTATTTAAATAAATGATCTGCAGTCAATATATATAGTCACGTCCTTACAGAAAAAGAAAAAATGTGCTAAACGGTTTTTTTTTTAATTTTATTTATAAATAATAATAATTTATTTAATCAAACAACATAAAGCCCATTTTGTTAGTTATAAATTGACTTAACCTATGTAAGTACATGAGCGGTCATGACGCTCTTGCATTGATAACCTGTCCCACCTAATATATTAGGATGGGACAGTCCATTTTACTTGAAATTGTCTTCAGGACACTGTTTGAGCTAACATGCACTCTACCCAATAGCGAAACAATTTGTTTGCGCCGTATATATTTATGTAATATTTACTAATTTCGCTATACATGCTCTCTGCGTTCTTTCCAGTAGTGTTTTTTTTTTTTTATGAGTGAAAATGGAATGGTAACCCCGCCTGCGCTAGCAGAATACTTTTTTTTTTTAGAGACAAGGGTAAACGACATCAACACGACAAAGATTTCTTTGGCATTTTTCAGTAGATATGAGTAAAAATCAACGGCACTAAAAGGGTTAAAAGGCTCTCAGCACATCTGCAATGCATCTGGTGCTCATGCGCGACGGTGGTCACTTACCATCAGTTGAACCATACACTCGTTTGCCTCCTATGTTATAAAAAAAAATACCTAATTTCTAGCCTCTCAACTTTAATAAATTAATGTCATATTTTTTTTTAAATCAAAAATTATTTTTCTCTTTATCAATTTAGAATAGAATAGAATAGAAAACATTTATTGCCAGTAAACACACAATTACAATATAAAATATAAAAAAATATATACAAAAAGTGTCCCATACTAGGCAAAAGGAACCGGCTCAGCTGATGCTGTGAGTGTCCCAGCGCAATGTGAACAGCTGCACAGCGCTGGTTTTCAGCCAGTCCCTCTCTTAACAAAATATAACCAAAGTGCAGGGTAAATTGTAACTGTAAATTATACATTATAGAAAATTTATAGTTATTTTTAAACCGTAGACTCGACTATAGATATAAGATCTATAGATATAATACTACCTTGAACGTATCGCATTTGTTACTTGAGTATCTCCAATAAAACCTACTTTTTAAATATAATTTAATCCAATTATTTCTTTTTACATTCTGTTACTCTAATGACAAAAAGGATATACTGACCTGATATACCAATGACTGGTACTCCATTTTTGAGGCAAGTAAGTACGTATATTTTTTTAAACAATGTTTAAAAGGAAGTATTAAATTCGTCCTATTTTTAGTGATTATGCAACGCGAACGCGTTTAAATTAGGAATCGATTTTCACGATTCTTTTTGTAAATAACAAGGTACTGTATTGTCGATTGACATTATTATCTTTAATTTGCATTATCTTAAATATTTTCTTCAATTAAAAGTTATTTTATATTAATAGATGATAGTGCCAGTAGTTTTTTTTTTAATTGATGATAATGGAATGGTAACTCCGCCTGTGCTGTCGGTATGTGCTGACGGGGCACCAGTGAGTGATATATTTTAATAAATGAGTATTATTAAACTTCAAACTGGCCATTTGTAAACTGTAGAATATAAATGATTTAAAAAATATAGTGTTGTCATTGGAAAGCTCAAAGAGCTGGTGTTTTATTTTGTTTACTGATTGCGTTTATAAATAATATATGCGCCCTTCGAACCCTCATTACCAATATTTTAAACGTGGCGACCGTAAAGTTCATAATGGACGCTAAATTAAAACAACGCTCAGTACAGAGACGCCTATTTACCAAAACGACCAACTCCCTAGAAGCCATTATGGACGGGTCAGAAATAAAAATGACCGATTTAAAGGCCTGTTGGAGAAAAATGAATGATATATGGGCAAATTTAAATAATATTGATAAAGAAATACAGTCGTTAATACTGGAAGATCCGGACTTTTCAGAAAATACGCTCGAGAAAGAATATGAAGAAGCTGAAAATTACAAAACAAGATGGCTTCTTCTAGATACGCGTTTCGAGCAAATGGCCGAAAATTTTAATAAAGATATAAATAAAATTAATGAAAAAGAATCTAATAAACCAGCGAAGCTACAATTACCCAGGTTGGAAATAGTAAGGTTTGACGGAATTCTAAAGAATTGGTTACCATTCTGGGGGCACTTTAAAAAAATTGATGAAGACCCCATATTGACACCAGAGGATAAGTTTCAATATTTATTGCAAGCTACCACACCTGATTCAGAGCCGCGTACGTTGATAGAGAGCTACCCAGTATCAGCGGACAATTATACCAAATGTATTGAACACCTGAAATCGCGCTATGCTCGTGAGGAACTATTAATACAGGTATATGTCAGAGAAATTTTATCGTTAATATTAGAAAAAAATGAACATCCTGACTTAACATATTTATATGACAAACTCAGCGCCCAACTGAGGGCTCTAGAAACTTTAGGAGTCGCTAAAGCGCATGCTGCTTTCATTTTACCTATGGTGGAATCGGCTTTACCTGAAGATATATTGCGAGCATGGGAGAGATTCACAACTCATAGTAATCAAATGGAGATCGAGTTGACAAACTTGCTTAATTTTCTACGCCGGGAGGTGGAGAGTGAGCAAAGAATTCAAATGGCAAAAAATGGTTTAAGTCCGATGTCATCTAATATTCAAACCCATAAAGAACCATCAGCTGCTTGCTTAATGTCAATAAAATCCAAAAATAAAGAGTCGAAGGTATGTATATGGTGTGATAAAGATAATCATTTAAGTCTCGAATGTTACAAAATTTACAAAATGTCTTTAGAACAACGATTACTACACTTAAAAAATAAAAAGGCATGCAGCAATTGTTTAAAGCAAGGACACCATTTCAAAGTTTGTAAAGCTTTTGTAAAATGTCTTATATGTCACAAACGACACCTTACTATCCTATGTAGAAATCAAAAACCAGTCGAACAAAAACAGAACACAGACAGTCATACAGTTACAGCGTCATCTATTCACAGTACTACATTGTTACAAACTGTCATCGTTGAAATCGAACATCAAAATAAAAAGATGTCCGTACGTGCTATGTTTGACAGCGGATCTCAACGTAGCTACATTAAACAAGAAGTGGTTGATTATTTAAAGATTCCTGCTGTAACAACTGAAGTACTGTCTCACTCACTATTTGGTGGTATCAAAACAATTTCTAAGGAACATAAAGGTTATAATTTGTCGATAAAAAGTTTAGACCATTCCTTTGAAATTAACATGTTAGCTTTAAGTCAAAAGTGTATATGTAATAATGTACCTAAAATTAACTTTAAGGATTCTGAGCTAGTAAAACATTTAAGTGAGCATAACATTGTGTTGACTGACAAAGGCACATGTTCTGATATAAAATTGTTAATAGGAGCAGATTATGCAGGTTTTCTTTTGACAGGTAAGTTGATAAAAATGGACAATGGACTAATAGCAATTGATACCAGGTTAGGTTGGACTCTTCAGGGTGTACAGGTTAGTGTATTAAGTAATTCTAATACTACTATAACAACATTAACTTGTGATAATAATATTTTAAAAGAATTCTGGGTGCTGGAAAATCTCGGCATTCATGATCCAAGAGACGTAAAGTCTAAGGAGGCAATCACTGCAGAGGTCATGAGTTTCTTCGAGAACACGATAAAGGTGGACCCTACAAGTGGCAGGTATGAAGTTCAGCTTCCATTTAAAACAGGATATGAGGACCTATTATCTAATTATGAAAAGACAAAACATAGGTTAAATGCAATGACAGGAAAATTAGTAACGTGTGGGAAATTCAATCAGTATCATGCAGTATTTCAGGAGTGGATTTCTTTAGGTATAATAGAAAAAGTTCCACCGTCTGAACTTAATCATGATACTGGTCATTATATGCCACATAGAGCTGTGATTAAAGAATCAAGTCTGACTACAGCACTAAGGCCCGTATTCGATGCATCTGCGACGGATAAAAATGGTTTAAGTCTTAATGCTTCACTAGAAAAGGGAATAAATTTATTAGATCGTATTCCTAATATGCTTGTCGGTTTTCGTTTAGGAGCCATTGGCGTGACAGCTGATATAGCTAAAGCATTTTTACAAATCTCTATACCACCTGAAAGTAGAAACTACTTAAAATTTTTATGGTGGGAGGAAGAAAGTTTAAAACAAATAGTAGTTTATAGACACTGTCGTGTAGTATTTGGTTTAACATGTAGTCCCTTTTTATTGTCAGCTACTATTAATCATCATCTCGAAAGGGTGACTGGCAAATTTCAAGAGACAGCACAGCGATTAAGAAAGTCTTTTTATGTGGACAATTGTGTAACGAGTTTAGACACAGAAAAGGAGACACGTAAATTTATTGAAGAATCTAAACTTATCATGGAGAAGGCTAAGTTCAATCTTAGAATGTGGGTAACCTCATCTTTAGCTATAAATGAAACGGGTAAAGAAATTATATCCGTGCTGGGTCTTAATTGGGACACAATTTCAGATGAATTGTTTTGTAATTGTGATAACATGCGAAAACTAGAAACATTTCAGAAGGTAACAAAACGGGACTTATTGTCATTGACACAAAGAATATTCGATCCTATAGGTTTTACTTCGCCTGTTACGTTAATCCCTAAATTAATTTTGCAAGAGACATGGCGTCGTAATTTGCCATGGGATGAAGAGTTACCGGCTGACTTATTTTCTAAGTTTCGAGATTGGTATAAATACATCGATTACTTAAGAGATTGCAGACTAGCACGTCGATTATCAGCTGGTATTTTAAATGAATCTCAGGTAAGCCTTCATTTATTTTGTGACGCAAGTATACATGGCTATGGTGCATGTGTCTTACTTAGAGCAGAAGACAAGCATGGGGTAACTGTACGATTAATTTCTGCCAAGTCCAAAGTGACACCACCAGAAAAAATCACCATTCCTAGAATTGAGCTATTAGCTGCATTGATCGGATCTCGATTGTTAGTTAATGTTAGAAAAGGTTTATCCTTGTCAAAGTGCCCTGAGTTCTGTTGGACAGACTCTGCTGTATCTTTGAGTTGGATCAAAAGAGAACTGCCTTTAAATACATATGTGGGTAATAGAGTGAAAGAAATAAGAGAACATACAAACACACAAAATTGGTATCACATTCCAGGTGAACAAAACTGGGCAGATCTGGCATCTAGAGGCTGTAATGCAAAAATACTCTTCGACTGTAAATGGTGGTGTGGGCCCAAGTGGCTTCTTTTAGCACAAGAAGAGTGGCCGCATTCAGAGGTGGTCGTTGACGAGCGATTAGTAAATTCAGAAACTAAGAAAATCATATGTAATGCACAAGTATGTAACGACAAAAGTTTATTAAATGAAATAGGAAAATACTTCTCTAAGTATACAAAAGTAATAAGGATGACAGCATGGATTTTAAGATTTTTACACAATATAAAGAATTCAAAAAGGAGACAAGGTGAATTAACAGTCAATGAATATATTAACGCTGAGAAAATAGTGCTGAAATTAATACAAAAGGAATGTAAAGAGATCATAGAAAAAGGAAATGGAAATCTAACTATATTTGTTGAAGATGAAGGCATACTTAGAGTTAAAACAAAAATTTTATTATCTTCAGAATTTCCTGATCATGTTAAAACACCTTATCTACTTCCGGCGAAAAATGTATTAGTTAAAAGAATGGTGATGCAACGGCACGTACAATTGCAACATGCTGGTACAAATCAGTTGATAGCTGACATTCGTACAAGATATTGGATCATCGGAAGTCGCCGCTTAGTGAGGTCTGTTATTTCAAATTGTGTGATATGCATGAGATATAGATCCCAGCCCTTACAAGCACCTGCTGCACCTCTTCCAAATGAGCGCATGGCATGCAATGCACCTTTTCAAAATACTGGTGTTGACTTGGCTGGTCCTTTATATTTACGAAATGGAGAAAAGTGCTGGATAGTGCTCTACACTTGCGCAGTATATCGTGCAGTGCACCTCGAGTTAACCAGGTCATTGTCGACAGAAGCATTTATGATGACGCTTCGCCGATTTATAGCACGTCGGGGTAGAGTAGACATGTTAGTCTCAGATCAAGGAAGTAATTTTATAGGGACTAAAAATCTACTTACAAATCTCGATTGGGAGGAGATTCAGAGACAATCAACAATTCGACGCATTGCTTGGAAAATAAACGTACCCACTGCCGCTTGGTGGGGAGGGTATTGGGAACGTCTCATTAGAATAATGAAGGATTTGCTAAAACGTGTATTGGGTAAAGCATCAGTTTCGTATGATGAGTTACAAACTCTAATTTGTGATTGTGAGGCTATTATGAATGGACGGCCACTGACATACATAAATAATGATAATGGTGAATATTTGGAACCATTGACACCCGCATTATTTATACAACCGTTACCTACGACAGATGTAACCGATTTAGATATAGTCGATAACACATCGTTAAATCGCCGTCTAAAATATTTGCAAAATTTGAGAGAACAGTTTAGACAACGATTTAAGTCTGAATATTTAACTGTGTTAGTTCAAAAGGGAAAGGAAAAGAAAGATATATTAAAGATTGGAGATATTGTATTAGTAGAAAATGAAGAGAAAAGGATAAAATGGCCTTTGGGTATTGTAGAACAGCTTATCCAGGGTAAGGATGGAGTAGAAAGGTTAGCACGAGTTCGAACATCTCTTGGAACCAAGATGAGGCCAGTACAAAGACTCTACAAGCTTGAGGTCCATAAAGATAATGAATTTCCTGACTTAAACAATACTCCGAATATTTCCACCGATTTACCGCCATCTGGTGAGTTATCAACTTCTTCTGATCTGTCGTCAAAAAATAAGCAACTTGTAACACGTAGTGGCCGAATTTTGAAAATACCTAGCAAATTAAAGATATATCATGTTTAAAGGGGAATAGGTTAAAAATAAAACTCTTACTTTTTTTTTGTTTGCTGGCATTAATATATTACATATTATTTCACGTACATTAAAATTAAGTTTATTACAATACAATGTTACACTCAAGTCGACCATTAATTTGTTTGTTTAGTATATTTATGCGTTGCTAGCGTTGTAAGAGGTAAGCGTTAATGTAGGTATGTAGTTTTTTTTTTGTGATATTTTTTATTTAAAGATTCTTTTATTTTGCATTTGATTATAATTTAGACAAATAAATTGTCTTAGGAATTTACTGTTTAGGTACTTATTCAATGTCTTTATAACTGATAAATGTACTATTGGTTAACTACCTGGATATAGAATAAAGAGTTAAGAGTAATAACTTTACACGGTCATTAAAATAGAATTATTATTTCTTTAAAAGTAAAGTTTTATTACTTTTATTTTTCTTGCCGTTTGGAGGATGTTAAACTTCAAACTGGCCATTTGTAAACTGTAGAATATAAATGATTTAAAAAATATAGTGTTGTCATTGGAAAGCTCAAAGAGCTGGTGTTTTATTTTGTTTACTGATTGCGTTTATAAATAATATATGCGCCCTTCGAACCCTCATTACCAATATTTTAAAAGTATACTTTATTTGCATTATACAATATAGGAAATAAGCAAGACAGTTTACAAACACAACGATACAATTGTATAAGTACAGTGAGGCGGTCTTATTGCTGAGAGCAATCTTTTTAAAACAACCTTAAGGTAATGGACTAATTGTTGTACTAGTAGGTACGATAGTTCTGTATAATTAAGAAAGTATTTTTTGCAAATTAAAAATATATACTATTATAAGTTAAAAGGAGCTAATCAAACGATTTGATTTGTTACAGTGTTTCGTAACTTCGGGGATAGCATTGAATATATCTCAAATCGGCTTGGTGCTAGCTTATTCAGTCGCTATTGTTAATCAACTCCAGGATCCAGATTCAAGTATATCTATTGACGACGAATGTGGATCGTGGATATGTAAGTTAATTCATCTTTCTCTTATATTTTCTTAAAGACATGAATTGTGTTTAGTCTCACTATAATTGATCGCAAGAAAATATATTAGTAAAGAAGTAATTGGCTGCTTCAATACCTCTGTCCTACTCGTATTTCTGCCTCTAAGCAATTCTTTATGCAACTTAGAATAGATAGATAGATAGATAATTTATTTATATTACTTACAGAGCACACAAATTACAATACAAACATACACATAATACACAGTAAAAGAGATAAAAGAATGAAAATAAAAAAAAGCAACAAAAAAGCTAAATATATAAAACAACAATTTTCTTTTTTTTCCTTCATCACTCCTTCCTTTCCCGTGGGTGTCGTAAGAGGCGACTAAGGGAGCTTATGTTGGAAGGATAGGTAGCAGTCCTGCCAGGTCAGTCAGTCCAGTCGCAAGTCCCTCTTAAAACATCACTAAAAGCCAATCTGCGGTTATCAACCCGTCTGCCAAGCGTGACAACTACTGCCAAAATCTTATGGGGGAGGCTATGTTAAGCAGTGAACAGTTAATGGCTGGTACAACAACATATCAAAGCTACAATATCTAATTAAGATTCATAATAAAGATATACAGAGAAGTTTATGTATGACGTCCATGATGCTGGTCATGTCTAAGCTGAACAATTTTCAAAAAATTGTTCCTCGATTTATATTTTGGACCAACAAAAAGTTCGTTTGTTTTCTGAATATTACCACTTCGTACATTGAATGCTCTTATTGTTTTTTTTTTTTTCAGCTGCATTACCAGGAATTGCACTTGCTTTCGGAAACATGGCAGTGGCTGGTACAATGGCTAAATGTGGTCGACGAAGAACTAATATTTTATCATCCATTCTATCATTCGTAGGATGGATTCTAATACTTTTTGCAGATGATGTGATTTGGATTTTTATTGGAAGATTTTTACAAGGCATCTCATTAGGCCTCATCTTAACATCAGGACCAGTCATAGTTGGGGAATACACTAGTCCAAAATACCGAGGAACTTTATTGACAGTTATAAGTGTAGCAATATCTGCAAAGACTTTAACTATGCATATGATGGCTTCATATTTAAAATGGCGTTTGATTGCCTTTATTTGCACAATTATTAATTTTGTGGCTGTATTAATTTGTTTATATTCACCAGAGACACCAAGTGCACTGGCACATAAAGGTAAATACGATGATTGTAAGAAAGTCTATCGGTGGCTTAGAGGGAACGATGAAGAGCAGGAATTAAAAGATTTGATTAAGACTAGTACAGAACTTAATCAGTCGAAACATAATTTAGTCAACCAGACAATAACAGAAACGGTGAGATGTAAATTGGATAATCTAAAAATGACATTTAAGAAAAAAGAGGTGTATAAACCTTTGATCATATCATTGCATCTTTATATGATCAGCTATTGGTCTGGTATGCCAGCTATAAGTGTTTTCCCAATAATTACAGTCACTAAAATTGTTGGAACAGAAATGAACATTCCAATGGTGATTATGTCTGTAGATTTAATTAGATTGCTTAGTAATTTTCTTGCCATGTATATAGTTAAAAAATTTAAAAGAAGACTTCTGATATATTGTACTGCTGGAGTGAATATTGCATTACTGTTTTTAATAGCCGGCTACGTTTACTTAATAGAAAAGAATGTGATTATTGGCAAACCTGTTATTGGATTAATTTTGTTGTACGTTCATATATTATCAATTGCTATAGGCTCACTACCATTACCACTGGTTATTTCTGGTGAAATATTCCCATTGGAAAGTCGAAGTATGACGAGTTCTGTATCGGCTGTGTTATCTTCATTAAATTTATTTATAGTTTTGAAAACATTTTCTCTTTTATACAACAATACTAATATTTATGGTGTTTACAGTTTGTATGGTGTTATTTGTATTTATTCTTTAGTTATAGTTGCATTATTACTGCCTGAGACAAAAGATAAATCTCTTCTGGATATAGAAAACGAATTTAAAAGTAAAGTTACAAGAAACAGAGATGAATCTACAGATGTATTTTTATAAACTAAACCTTTGCAATGTACTTTTGCAATATTGCATTCTTTAAACAAAAGTTTTGTATATAATTTATAGACTGTTACAATTTATTTATTATTTAATGGTTAAATATTTATTATTCTATAATCTACTTCATTTGACTAGTGCTGAATTTAAATTTTATTAACTAGTATTGTGTATTTGTTATATTGTTGCATTTGTTTTGAGTAAAAGATATTTGGCAGAAATTATTGTAGTTTAGTATGATTATATATTTGGCCGTGTTTGTCCTAACATAGAATAGGCCACCCCTTCCTTTCTGGTGAGTGTCGTAAGAGGCGACTAAGGGAGCTTATGGTAGAGGGATGGGGAGCAGTGGTCCTCTTAAAACATCTTCAAAGCCTAACTGCGATTGCGAATTCGCCTGCCAAGCGTGGCAACTACTGGCAAACCCCCCAAGGGGAGGCTTATGTTCAGCAGTGGACAGTTAAAGGCTGATATGAAGATGATAATATTATATATTACCATTTATTGTATATTTACAACCGACAACTGAGTTAAAAAATATAAATTTTCGATGGCACCAGAGGGAGATTTTGTACAAAAGTCGTTGGCTTAGGTACCTCTGTCCCATTCGTGTTTCAACCGTAAAGCAGTTGTGTTTGCATAGCTGTGTTTCGGTTTGAAGGGTGGGATATGGCGTAAATTTACAGGGTACACAGGAATAACACCTGAGTCTACAGGAGTGGCAACGCACGGAGGGTATCATGGGCGGAAACAGTATACTCTGTTATGTCCACGGTACTGCTCACGGTACTCAAACGACTTTTGTACAAAGTCTCCCTCTGGTAATTTTTCTTAAATATCTCTCAAGTACACACACTGTTTAGTCGTATGTGTACTTGCATAATTTTTTTTTTTCATATTGTAACTACAATATTTAGATACTGTTAACATATTTTTTCATTCTTACACCCTTGAACCTAAATGGTCACATACTGTGTGGTTTCAAAGGAATTGTCTCCCGCAAACGATCAGGCTGTGAATTGTTGCTGCCGAGGTTCCCTCTAGAGACCACAGTATGTTTTTCAAAAAAGGTATATTAAGGTTTTTTCAAGGTTGGCAACGCGCACGTGACACTCCAAGTGTTGCAGGCGTCCATAGGCTACAGTGACCGTTTACCATCACACGGGCTTTATGCTTGTTTGCTACCTTTGTAGTATTAAGAAAAACATGTATATTTCATTATATCTTTTTAATATATACAAGTGCTTATAATATATTTTATATTAAGTCACTTTAATTTTTTTTATTTCAGCTTCCATACATGACTTTACTTTATTTATAGGTTTAATAATTCAACACCAATAATAATGGGCAATTACGGGCGAAAAGCAGCGAGTCTAGTCGCTATTATAATGTCTCTAACAGGCTGGATATGTATAATTTTCAGTAAAAATCACTTCACTACTCATTGGTAAGCTTTTCCAAGGATTCGCCATGGGCACAGCAATGTGTGTACTATTTATTGTGATTGCTGAATACGCAAATCCGAAACATCGAGCATTGTTCACGTCAGTAATGATCATTAAAATATCAATTGCAGCTTTATTCGTTCACGTGTTAGGATCTTATTTCAGTTGGAGATTGACGGCTTTGATTAGCGCATTCATTGTTTTTGTGGGCCTGAATATAATACTAATAAGTCCAGAATCTCCCATCTGGTTGGCGGAGAGAGGTCAACACGAAAAATCCAAAAAGGTTTTTCTTTGGCTCAGAGGCGAGGAAGTAAACGAGTTAGAAGAACTTAAACGCATTATAAATACGAAAGAAAATAATAAAATAGAAAAGAATACATCGAAATAATTGGTGATAAATACAAAAAGAAAGCTTTTAAAAAAATATACACGCCTTAAAATTGAAAGAATGTTACATGACAATTTTAATAATGCTACATTTACATACTTTTGGCAATTGGTGTGGTTGAAACACTATTATTATTTATGTACGAGAGGTTTTCTCCAACTTATCTGGTCCCAATATAGATATTAACATACAATTAGTAACTCTAGATATTTTAGGCCTATTTTATAATATAATTGCTACATTTGTAATGAGGAAATGTAAAAGAAGAATTATTCTGTCTACAATTCTTAATTTTAATATATTTGTTTTGCTCACTACAGCCTTGTATTCTTACTGTAAAGTTGCCAATTTGTTGCCATTTGATCGTCCAATTGTAGGTGTCGTATTAACACATTTGACTTTATTATCAATATTCGTTGGTATATTCCCTCTCACATTTACTGTAGAAGGAGAAATATTCTCTTTAGAATACCGTAGTTTCTCAGCAGGCATCAATGCTATGTATTTTTCAATAACAGAATTCACTGCAATTAAATCTTTTCGATTTTTAAAGAAATCTTTTGAATTTCACGGTACATATTTAGTGTATGCTGGTATATGTAGTTACAGTTTACTATTTTTTATAAAATTTATGCCTGAGACCAAAGAAAAGACGCTTCTAGAAATTGAAAATGAATTTAAAAATGTAACCGCTGCATCTAGCGATTCTAATTTGATTCAACCAGTAACAACTCGAGTTGTTAATTCTGTAAATTGAATTAAAAATTAAAAATTCAAATTAAAATTGTATCAGTACATTTGTATATTACTGTTGTATTATTTTGATTATAATTTTTCAACCAAATTCAAAAAGAACGAAATACCATTGAATTGTGTGTATATGTGTGAGCGTGCATCCGAACGCACGCGCGCGCTCATGTGTGTTTGAGTGTGTATGTGCGTGTGCGTGTGTATGTGCGTGTGCGTGTGCGTGTGCGTGTGCGTGTGCGTGTGCGTGTGCGTGTGCGTGTGCGTGTGCGTGTGCGTGTGCGTGTGCGTGTGCGTGTGCGTGCGTGTGTGTGTGTGTGTGTGTGTGTGTGTGTGCGTGCGTGCGTGCGTGCGTGCGTGCGTGCGTGCGTGCGTGCGTGCGTGCGTGCGTGCGTGCGTGCGTAATTGTATAAAATATGTTATTACCCGCAACTTCGTCTCTGTAAAGAGGATATATAAAATTAATCAGAATAGAAAATGACCTTATTCCTCTGTATCTCAAATAGTACGTGTATATATGTATGTCAAATTTAGCAAACGATGATCGGTTGAGCTATTATATTACACATACACACAAATTTATAAATAAGAATGTTATAGCAAAAATCATAGTTTTAAAATAAAAAATCATAGTTTTTGTTTTATTCTCTCATTGTTTTATTTCCCGATTTGGATATTATTTTGTTTTTAAACCAATGATAAATTATTGGCACAGATCAAAAGTCTTTGGTTTCTAAATTTCTTTTAATTAAAGTTTTTATTATTATTTTTGTTGTAATAAAAATCTAATTAGGTACAAATATATACGAAAGCGGACACATTTAATAGTACTTTTAACAAGATGCAATGGAGCGTTCAATTTTTGAGAGGTGGAGCTAGAACAAAAAGTTATGTCATATTTGTTACGGCCCATTGACTTTGCATGTAGGTATGCATTTCATCAAATACTCAAACCACTCAAGGTTGTGTGGTATTAAATTTTTACCTTTATCAACTGTAACATATGGCTTTATTCTCTTAATTTACGATTAAAACTCTGCTTTATAATTATTAATTGTTTTAGGATCACCACCAGAAGGAGACTTCGTACAAAAGTCGTTTGCTTGGACACCTCTATCCCATTCGTGTTTCTACCGTGAAACAGTTGTGTTTGCATGGCTGTGTTTCAGTTTGAAGGGTGGGATATGGCAGTAAATTTACAGGGTACAGAGGAATAACATCTGAGTCCTCAGGAATGGCAACGCATGAGAGGTATCATCGGCGAAACAGTATACTCTGTTATGTCCATGGCACTGCTCGTGTCTATAGGCGACGGTTACCACTTTCCATCAGGTGGGCCGTCAGCTTAAAAACTAAACTACTGAACCGATTGTGATAAAATTTCTACAGGACTAATCAATACCTAAATATATACTTTCAGATAAAAAAAAATACCAAATCTATTTAAAACTGACGGAACAAACACAAAAAAAAATACAACCGAAATCAGGACCTTCTTCTTTATGAAGTGGTTAACCCATTTCAGAAGGGAGGGGGAAGGGATTGTTAGTAATGAAGACTGAGAATCCCATTGCTAGCAATATACCCAACCAGGTCGATCTCCTCGCGGTTCCTTCTGGAAACTATCATGGTCAATTCATCATGATGGGCTAACTGGCCTGTTTTCATTCTCATCTATCACCCTTTACTGGTGCTCCGCCAGCGTATCCCGTTAGCGCAGGCGGGGTTGCCAAGCCATTTTCACCCATAAAAAAGACCCTTTTTAGAAAGAAGGAGAAAGAAAAAAACGTGTTGTAAGGTAAGTACTATAGTTATTACAGGATTTATTACGTTTATTACGTAATCAATCAATCATCATTGATCATTGTATATATTCACGGTGCACATCATCGTGACACAACGTGCTTACATCTTAAAGAATTGCTGCTACAGTAAAAATAGTTCACGAACCATAGAGTCGCCATACAACTATAACAAATTATACGAACATTGCCATGGAAAAAAAGTTTATACAAGCTTCTATTTCATTTGCAATATTTGATAGTTTTATTAAATCAAATCTTGTAATTTAGTTACATTTAACCAATATTACTTAAATATCACTGTCACTACATAGTATAAAGCAAAGTCGCTGTCGCTGTCTGTCCGTCCCTATGTATGCTTAGATCTTTAAAACTACGCAAAAGATTTTGATGCGATTCTCTTTAATAGATAGAGTGATTCGTGAGGAAGGTTTATATGTATAATACATGCGTTGGTAATACATGGTTGTAGGCAGGATAGAGGGAAAAAGACCACGCGGACGATCGCCATATCGATGGTCGGACCAAGTGACCGCCGTTACGGGACTGTCAATTGCAGCTGCCCTGCGAGAAGCTGAAGACCGTGCGAAATGGAGTAACATCATAAAGGAGGCAACAGACACCTTTCAAGGACACGACCTTCAGTAATGAAGAGGACAAAGAGAGAGAGACATGCGTAATATAATAGGGGAAGAATGATAACTTTAGAGGTTTCTAATGTAATGTCATAAATGAACACATTTTTTAGCGTTGCACCCGTGCGAAGCCGGGGCGGATCGCTAGTATATTTATAAAAGTGTGCTGAGTTATTGACTGACTCATATATCAATATGCAGCCGAAATGGCTGAATCTGGAATCTTGAAATTTTGCAGATAAGTAGGTTCTTTATACAGCGTAGGTGAACAGTAAAAAGAGGAATTTTGAAAATAAATCCTATTAAATGGGGCTTGAATATTGTCATAGAAATTTTCTTAGTTTAGAAGTTAGACACGTAAAATTTTATAGCACAAGAAATCGAGTTAAGACACAAGCAAAAGCAAGTTTTAAATATATTCTTCAGTTTTGGTTATAATATAATACAATACTCAATATCTAATATTCAAAATGGTTGCCACTACAAGATGGCGAATGGCGTATATTTTGTCAAACATAAGAGAACTTAAAGAGTAGGTAACGAAAAATAAACGACATTTTAAAATGGCGGTACAAGATGGCGGATTACACAATAACAGTTTATTTTCAACCGATTTCGAAAAGAATTATAGATTCTCAATTCTGTTTTGTTTTTTTTTTATTTGTTTCCTCATAACTCCAACAGTTATGAACCGATTTGGAAAATTATTTTTTTATCTGAAAAGATATTCTTACAGATTAGTCTCAGAGAAAATTAATCAAAATCGGTTAAATAGTTTAGTTTTTAAATTAAAATAACTGGTTTAAGTACATTAAAGACGATTTTTTATGGAACAGGATTTTATTAATTCGAAATGTTTTTAGACAGACTTATTTCTTAAGACAAAAATTTTTTTCTGACCCCTATGTTTAGCAGTCGACAGATAATGGCTGAGATGATAATAATGATGAATTTACATGGCACAAGGAGAGATATTAAAACGACAATTAACGGCTCAAAAATTATATGAACTTGAATGAATTATATACTGCAGTTGAAAAAAAGATACAGCGATAAGTTTAACAACAGAAATTTATTTATCTGGATTTATCTCTGAAAAAGATCTCTTACAGTTAACCCAATAAAATACATGAGAAGGCAAAATAGATACGCTTTTATGAAATGCAATCTTATTGTTGCTAGAAATCTTTTTAATATTGCAGTAACAGAGAGGTATTTGGCGACTGTTGCCATCATGTTAAACATAATATTTGACATACACACATTTTGCCGAGTATTTTAGAATCCAACAATCCACTTTGATTACTGTGGTTTATCACCAGTGTTTTTTGTCACCAGAAAATTTGTTTTAATTTAAATTGATACGCATTAGATAGTCTTTGGTATCGGCCAGATTCGAATATACGACCTTTGCTCTCAATAAGGTAGAATAAAACACCTAATTTCATTTTTAAGTTAACGGAGAATATAAAAAATAAAAATCAATTATTAATAATATCTTAATTTATTCCAAATTTAAATTTCAGCGATATGGCGCTGTGACAGATAGACGTACAAATGTCATACAAAGTCACACCTCAAGTGTTCATTTATACCTTTTCAGTACGGAACCCTAAAACATGAGAACCTTCTTTAGAAGTCATTAAAAAAATACTAAAACGAAAATTAATAATGTTATACCACCCACTCAAAAACTACGAGCCCACTCCACGCCACTGCAAGCCGAAGCAACTCAAGGAGTGGCGCTCCACGGGTGATTTGGCATCAGTCTCAACGAAAAGCGGCGGTCGTCAGCAGCCGCCAGTCAGAATACCATGTCCTTAGCGGGGGCAGCATCAGACACAGAACAGAATAGGCCCGAAGAGGAAAAACAAAATAATACCAATTCGGGAGCGGGGAAGAAGAAGAACGACAAGGGACGTGGGCAGGTACGTATTTTTGTTTTTTTTTTTTTTATAATTAAAATTAAAAATGATAATATTTTAAATATTAGTACAGAATAGTGGCATTAAATATGAGTAAAATAATAAATTAATATACATAAAAGGAGTGGAGATTTTTCCAAAAAAAAATAAACAATTAAAAAAGAAGTATGTTTTTTAATAAAATTTATTTTTATATGTATGTACCACGAAATATGTTCGTTCACTGTTAACCGAATTTAATGGTTTTAAAAAAATACCTAACTTAATTTATAAGATTAAAGATAGATTCCCTTTTTTTTAAACGAAAGACGCAAATAAAAAAAAATGCACATTTTTATTTATACGTTTGTCCTATCAAATGCGAAAGTTTGTAACAATGGATAGATGAAATGGACATTTATTACGCTTTCATGCAAAAAAAAAAAAACATTAAACCGATTTGAAGGATTTTTTTTACACTGGTTAATAAGTTAGGATATACCTAACATAGCACATAGGATACTTTATGTACTGTTAGACGCGAGTAAAGCCCCGGGATGCAGCTAGTGATAAACATAACTATTACCCAAGTAATTTTTATATTACATTACACGTTAAATATGTTATATTTTAAATTGTAAATATATATTATACGTTATATTTTAAATAAAATTTAAATTGATTAATATTTAATTAAATTAACAATTGTACTTAAAAATGTTTTTAATTGGATAATAAGACAATTATCGAATTGATTTTGTTTGAGTCTCATACAAAAAAAAAATATACAGTCTAATTGAAAACTTCGTCTTTTGTAAAGTTGACTGAAAAATTGTACATTGCATTAAATAAAAAAAAATACAATCGAATTGAGTACTGTTTCGTACGTTGTTTAAAACTTAACAGCCTTACCACGAGATCGATTTAATACACTGTCTGGATAAACAGAATTTAAGTAAATTCTGTTTAATTGATGTTTATTTATTTTTGACTTAATACTATATAGCATTCTCTCCCAGTTAACCTTTGGCTAAACAGAAATTTTATTATGCGATGAAAAAAATTGTAACACATACAATAGAGAACTACTGCACATTTAGTCGGTATAATAGTGTTTATGATTATCCCCCCCCCTCCCCCCCAATTTATATAAAGTATCAATATAAACACATATTACAAATATAACATACAAAATAAAAGATCCCTTTGAGTTTGTTTGTTGCTGTCCGATTAAAATTCGTTTATTTCGTAAATAAATAGACAGATCTTTATTGTTTCCTCCAAAAAATCACATTAGTAATCTTATTTAAAAAAAAAAAACGATTACAAGATATGATTACAGTGAGAAAATAATGGATGGCTTTATTACTAAGAGCGATCTCTTCCACGCAACCTTTGGACGGAGAAGAGTAATTATAAACAGTTTGACTGGAGGCACGAAACTCTGTTCGTTGTTTAAATACATATACATTTACATAAATATATGTACAATTATGTGAGTATATATATATATATATATATATATATATATATATATATATATATATATATATATATATATATATATATATATAAACTCTTCAAAAGAAAGTCTGTCTGTGTATTATTTCAATCTATATATTGTAGTACATAAAACGTAAATGAATAACAATTTATTTTCAATTATCTGTAATTATTTTAATACTCCATGATGATGTAAAACAATTCTAACATCACACTATTCACTGTACAGAGGAATAACACCTGAGTCCTCAGGAATGGCAACGCATGGGGGGTATCATGGGCGAAACAGTATACTCTGTTATGTCCATGGTACTGCTCATGTCTATAGGCGACGGTTACTATTTTCCATCAGGTGGGCCGTCAGCTTGTTTGCCATTCTAAGTTGTATAAAAAAAATAAAGAAAGAAAGAAAATATATTTATTTTGGATTTAACTTAAAAGTACAAAGTACCTTTTACTTGAGTAAGTAAAGCACTAAAATATCTTTATAATTTTTTTTTTTTCATTTATAAAATATAATAAAATAATAACCATTGTTTTTTTTTCTATTTTATTTATTTATTTGTGCTTTTTTATTTTCAATCTTTTATCTCTTTTACTGTGTATTATGTGTATGTTTTTTTTTTATTGTAATTTGTGTGCTGTAAGTAATGTAAATAAATTATCTATCTATCTGTCTAACTATAATCCCTAACTCTATAACCCTAACTCGGTAGTTAGAGATACTTGTTAGTGTTCTAGGTAACTAGTTAACTACTAATATTACAGACTGTCAGCATCCTTATACATACATATACATAAATATGAAAGTAACTTTGATTGTTACCTCTTAACTCCTTATTTGTTAAGCAAGCACTGTTAATCCAATGTACCTTTCATTTCCGTAACCCTCTTAAAACATTTGTAAAGCCTGACTGCGGTTTTTTTTTAATGGGTGATAATGAAATGGTACCCCACTCGCGCTATCGGTATACGCTGATAAGGCACCAGTGAGAGATGATAGGTGAGGATAAAAGCAGGTCAGTTAGCCCATCGTGACGAATTGCACTAGAATTAACCACGATACTTCCCAGTGGAAACCAGGTGGATGTCGACCTGGTAGGGTGTATTGCTGGCAATGGCCTGACTGTGGTAGGCAATCCGCTTGCCAACCGTGGTAACTACAGGCAAAACCCCCTAAGTGGGAGGCTTATGTTAAACAGTGGGCAACAAACGAGTCAACTAATTGTCAAATTAACTCATTTTTTTAACAGTATTCTATATATTTACGCATAAAATGTATCTTGACGTATTATTTAATAAATAAATTGAGTGTTTAAGCTTTAAAAAGATGCAGAATTTATAAGACAAAATAAATATAGAAGTTATAAAGAATCACTCATAACTATTCATCATATAAAATTGTATGAAAAAGTTGACTCGTTTTTTTCGAAACATTTCTATAGAGACACACTATCTATACTATCTAAGATATAGTATACAGTATTTTTTTTTTTGTTGGATGAAAATGGTATGGTAACCCCGCCCGCGCTAAAGGGATACGCTGGCGGAGCACCAGTGAAGGGTGATAGATGAGAATAAAAACAGGCCAGTTAGCCCATCATGATGAATTCATCAGGAATTAATCATGATAGTTTCCAGGGGGAACCGCGTGGAGGTCGACCTGATTAGGTATATTGCTAGCAATGGGATTTTTAATCTCTATTACTAACAATCCCTTTCCCCCCCAGTATACATTATTTGGTACACTAACATTATTTCGATACACAACCACAAAGTCCCACACATTGTAAAATTTAATTTGAAACTCATTTTTTTCTGTAACAAACTAATAAAGTTTACAAAAACAACGAAATTGGTGTAATAAAGTGGCCTTCGAAGCATTGTACGATCATTAAACAATTAATCGAAGTGACTACCGATCCTTATATGGATGTAGGGAGCCGTAGAAACAGAGTAATCACAATTGATGGCAATTTTAAACTGATCTTAAACGCCCACACAACCTAAATGTAATTGTTTACCACATTTAGCTTATAGTCGATAATAAATGACAGAAGAGTTAACTTAACTAGGTTTTTGGACATCTGAGGAAAATGGTTCATTTTAACAGATATTTATTTAACAAAGTATGTTTGTATTAGCACAGAATGTATCATTGATTCCTACACTAGGCTGAGCCTGTCCTGTAGGGAACAGGATTCGTGTTATCATATACATGCATACAGATATTAAACATAGGCTTTTTAGCAGTACTCACAATTATATAACTAATTTGTATAATGCAATTATTTCATTTAGATCTCACCACCAATACACATGTATGAATAAACATTATGAATGTGTGTGTGTGTGTGTGTGTGTGTGTGTGTGTGTGTGTGTGTGTTTTTGTATGTATGTGAACAGTATTTTCATTTATATGATTAACAGGAGCATGTTTTCAGCATCGTCATAATTCATAGACTTCAGAATTTAACAATTTAATATTTAGGGGAGGTAGGGGAGCATTGGGCAGTCGGGAGGTTTGGGCACCCCCTCATTTCTCCAAAACTTTCATAGATATTTTTTGTTTTCTACCACAGCACTATACTTTATTCACTAGCAACACCGCTTATCTAAAGTGTCAGCTGTCATTTCACTTGGTTGTCAAGTTACATGCGCGTAACGGTTTGCTGCGTACAGAAGTAAATATTTTATTTGTGATTTGATGTAACTTATCAAAGAAATCTGCAAGAACGTGTAAGTATCTGTGTTATCTTTTTCTTTTGTGTTTAATGAATATTATATTTGCCTGTAAATTAGGTTTCTACATTTGATAAAAATAATCTTATTCTAATCTATTTGAAAAGTGAGGTTATGGGGAGCATTGGGCACGCAGGTAGGAGGGAGGTTTGGGCATGTTTGGCTCTGTTTTTAGTGTATTTTGGTGTCTTTTTGCTATGCCTATTGGATTGAGTGGTTAATCATTTCTTTTTAGGACAATGCCGTTTTCATTTAAAAAGAAAAATAAGCGACGTGAAATCCCTAAAGATATTATTTTGCGCGCATTGGAAGAAGTTTCCAAAGGTGCTAAAATTAAAAGTACTGCGAATAAATATGACATACCAAGATCTAACCTTCAAAGGTATAGGGTGGTGTCGTAAAAGATAATTCTTGTAAATTTATATCGTCTCAAATATTCACAAAAGATGAAGAAGAGAAAATTTCGGAATATCTTGTAACATCTTTTAAACTAAACCATGGACTATCAAAACTGAAAACACGCGAATTGGTTTATGAATACGCCACTGCCATTAAAAAAAGAAAATACCAGATAACTGGACAGAGAAGAAACTTGCATCCAAAGACTGTGTGTGTGTGTGTGTGTGTGTGTGGCCACAAGCTTGTGTGTCGGAAATTTTTTTGAAAATCTTAAAACTGTGTATGAACGGCATCTCTTCGGCCCTGAGTCTATTTACAATATATACGAAACTGGATTATCAACGGTGCAACGAACCCAGAAAGTGTGTGTGTGTGTGTGTGTGTGTGTGTGTGTATATGTGTGTGTGTGTGTGTGTGACATCACCAAATTTTTTAAAATATATTCACCATTTCGCTAAACACGCAAAACCAACGCCTTCATCGCCAGTTCTTTTACTGCTGGACAATCATGAGAGCCATATTTCAGTACCAGTTCTCGATTTTTGCAAACAATCAGGCATTGTTTTAATGACTTTCCCACCACACTGCAGCCATAAACTGCAACCTCTAGACCTGACTGTCTATGGACCACTGAAAACTTATTATAACACTGCTGTAACAGATTGGATGGTAAGCAATCCGGCCAAAACAGTAACAATTTATGAAATACCAAAATTAGCAGCAAAAGCCATTCCACTAGCATTCAAGTTGCAGAATATTCAAAGTGGATTTGAAAAATCTGGCATATGGCCATTGAATTCAAATATTTTCTCCGATGAAGATTTCGCTTGTTCTTTTATAACTGATCGCTGCTTGTCGGAAGAGGGTAATGTTCCTTCAGAACAATCTATTTCAGACCAACCTGTCACTGAACAGCCTTCAACAGGGGAAAATCAGAGTCTAGAGGATCGTACAAGTTCAAATGTGGAAGTCATTGGGCCATCTCAACTGGAATCTCCCTCTACAAGTCACATTAGTGGCACTGTCAATGTAACACCTGATGTGTAAGACCGTATCCGAAGGCCGGCCCCAGGTGCAGGGTATGAAACGGAAGAAGGGAAAAACTAGAATATTGACGGACACACCCGAGAAAAGACTTATAGAAATGGAAGAAGAAGAAAGACAAAGAAAAAATAAGATGCTCAACAAAAATAGAAAATGCTTCAAAAATACAGGACAGAAAAAAATTCCGAAACTTGCTGATGAATTTACTTCCAAACTAGAGAAAAACAGGAAAATTAGCAGCGATGATGAAATAGAAAATGTTTCAGTTTCTGACGAAACCGTTGTTGAATCGGAAGATTTTGATGAAGACGATGTGATCGTTCTGGATAGAAATTTCCAGATCAATAACTTTGTATTAGTGAAATTTGACACCAAAAAAACTGTCTACCATTATGTTGGAATAATCGAAGATGTTAATCAGACGATGGCAACTGTAAAATTTATGAGAGTGAGTAAGTGACATCGAGGACGTAGCCAGTGTGTGGAGGATATAAAGACAAAATTGCCTACACCAACGACATGGATGAAACGTGGCAGCTTAAAATATAAATTTGACAAGCCTCTATGGATCATACCAAATATAAGATAAGTTTAATTAAGTCTAACATCGTGCAGTACTGATTCTAAGTCACATTGTTAAATTTTTCTAAAATCTATGATAAGAAAAAATGTTTGTATTACAATTTTTTATAGTAATGTTATATAATACTTAAGCCTAGTAGTATAGTAAAGCAATTTCGTGCATATTAAATACAGTGCCCAAACCTCCCTACATGGGTGCCCAAACCTCCCGACCGCCGGGAGGTTTGGGCACTTTGGACATGTGTTCGAAGATCTCTTGTAACTTTGAAACTAATTACAATATTGAAACTTTTCTTAATAATAATTACTACCAAATATGTGTGCTCCCTATATTAGGAATAAAATTTTGATTATGATAAAAAATAACAGTTTTATTAACATTTATGTAAAAAAGTGCCCAATGCTCCCCTACCTCCCCTATCAATAATTCTGACTGATTATTTAAAAATTGCTCTGTTAAAAAACTAAAACGTAAATCTTAGGATACGCATACCAGAGGGAGACTTTGAATAAAAGTCGATTGCTTGAGTACCTCTGTCCCATTCGTGTTTCTACCGTGAAGCAGTTGTGTTTGCATGGCTGGGTTTCGGTGTGAAGGGTGGGATATGGCGTGAATTTACAGGATACAGTGGAGTAACACCTGAGTCCTCAGGAATGGCAACGCATGGGGGGTATCATGGACGAAATAGTATACTCTGTTATGTCCATGGTACTGCTCATGTTTGTAGGCGACGGTTACCACTTTCCATCAGGGCCGTCAGCTTGTTTGCCATTCTGACTGTGGTCAGTACACACTATCTAAAATACAAACAAGTGGATAGTAAATGTTGTTACTGGTATGAGTACACATTAGTATATGCATGTGTATTTGTGTATCTGTATATATGTATATGTGTGTATATGTATGTGTATGTATGTATAAAGATATAAATTTTGTAAATAGAATTAGCATTTCAAATAGTTCATAATTGTTTATAAAGGTGCATGTACAAGAGCGCAAAGCTGCAGACAAACTGCAATGCAGTTTCGCGGCACTAAGAATATGTATTGTCTATGTAACTCATGTATTAGTAATTATTATATTGAAATAGATAATATGCAGTCATTTAATTGCGTATCATCATGATAATTATATCAGCTTTTAACTTTACCAGAGGAAGACTTTGTACAAAAGTCGTTTGCTTGTGCACTTTTGTACCATTCGTGTTTCTATCGTCTAGCAGTTGTGTTTGCGTGGCTGTGTTTCGGTTTGAAGGGTGGGGTATGGCAGTGAATTTACAGGGTACAGAGGAATAACACTTGAGTCCTCCGGAATGGCAATGCATGGGGGGTATCATGGGCGAATCAGTATACTCTGTTATGTCCATGGTACTGCTCATGTCTATTATATGCGATGGTTACCACTTTATACCAGGTGGGCCGTCAGCTTGTTTGCCATTTTAAGTTGCAAAAAAAATAACCGCCCACTGCAGGAAGGAATGATACTTGAGAATGAAAAGACAAGTCAGTTAGCCCATCATGATGAATACACTTGTAATTCAGCATGACTGTTTCCAGAGGTATCCGCAGAGATCGTCCCGATAGGGTATATTGCCGGCCATGGGACTGGAAGCCCTCATTAGCAGCAATCTCTTCCCCCCCATGAAAGGGATTTGTTTATATTGCTCTTATTCTTGAATACTCGTGAACTGCTCTCATAAGGTCATAAGGTCTGCTGTAACTGCGTCTGAAACTAGTAAGGCATCCAGGAAGTTAATTCATGAATAAAACAGATATAAATAATAATGCAATAGTTAATAAACTTTATTAAATCAATAATCAAACTTTGAACCTTATGGACAGTATATACTAAACGATTGTGAAGTTATATTTTGACAGCAGGAAGTTTTAAAGACCAATACACAGAGGCAATGTCATTTTGCCGCACGCGCCCCACGCTCGATCAAGCGCAACGGCTTAATAACCATTACCATGGGAAATACATTCATCCCATTGTATTCATAACATGGTTATATTTAAACTCAGACTTCTTTGAGTAATCTCTGTGCTATTTGTTGTTGGTATAAGTTTAATTGTAGATATATTTTCATCTTTTAAACTGAAAACCATCACAAATTTTATAACGCCATCTAGTCGCAAAATGAAGCACTATTTTTGCTTCATTCTCTATTAGTTATATAGTAACAACTAATGGAAATATTTAAATATATGTAACAATTTTCTTTCTAATATTTATATAGGATACATGGAAAATGCCCAGATCAATACAAACAGATATACTCTTAAATACTCATACAAGTGTATGTTTGTGCGGGAATCGAATCTGCAACTATCTGAATATGATGCAGCGTCTTCAAACATCGTCTCCTTATTTAGAATTCAAAATAATAAATATAGTATTCATACCAAATCATATTTTATTCAGTAACTAGATAATGGTCTATTAAATTTCATATAAATTCAGCGGTTTATTATTATTACAATTATTTGTATATTATTATTATTATATTTGTATATATAAATATTATTATTATTGATTGTACAAATAACCTGATACCTTCATTGTTAAAAAGAAAGAAAGAAAGAAAGAAAACATTTATTGACAACAACAAAAAGTTACATACATTATGAATTAAAAAAAAAACTTTACATTTATTATTGCCAACATGGTCACCACTCAGCATGTGCTGCAGCAATTTAATTGCTACAGCGCTGATATTCTGTGGTGCCCATACGTGACATTACGATTACATTATATTAATAAATAAATAATGCAACATTTTGCTACACCCTTATATACACACAATTATAAAAAAAAAATACAAACTATAAAAGTTTCAATTGAATGTAGTTTATCAGAAATAAATTATAAAATGCTCAAAAATTAAATAACGGTAACCAAAATGACGAGTGATTTTGCGGATTAAATCCTTTCTGCCGTGTTTAACAGAAAGATCTTAACCCACAAAATTGTTCAGTTACAAAACATACATTTCTAAACTTCTATTATAAAAATAAGAGTTTTTGTTAGTATATAAACTAAAATACCAATAAACAATAAATTCAGAAAATACTTAATCGATTTTAAATATTCATTAATTTATAGAAAGCCACATTATCAGCAAGCAAGTAGATTGTATTTTATTCATTATTTTATCTCTTTTACAATGTATTGTGTGTATGTTTGCATTGTAATTTGTGTACTGTAAGTAATGTAAATAAATTATCTATCTAGCTATCTATTACAAAAAAATGGGCGACGCCGGGGTAGGTCAATAGTTTTTCATATAAAAATATATAAAATTTTTGCCAGCAGATGTCAGATTCTTACATGTGGAAGGAGCAGATCCATACTCTAATGAAGGGCGGAGAGAGCGAGTCCGATATATCGGATTCTGAGCACTTTCTCACTAAAGGCGCATTCCTTCTCACACCCTCCCATGGGCTAAGCATGGAGAAAGCCTCCGCCATCTGTGAGAAGATGGAGTTCAAAGGCTGCTTCTCCCTGACGAAGACAGCGACAGGAATCCTGTTCAAATTCTCGAGCGTGGACGATTACCAGATGGTCTTCAAGAAGGGTTTCCATAAAGTGACCGGTTCCAGGTTTTATAGGAAGGTAATTGGCACATTTCCAAGATCCAATTTTATGTTTGCTTGCTCATTCTTCATTGAGATTTGTTAAATCTATCGAATTTAATGAATTATGCTGTAGCCTACCTTCCTTATTCTTTAGTTGCATATTTTCTTCCTATTAAAATTCACTGTAAATAAATGCAGGAATTTCTTCATTTAGACTTTATGCTACATTTCTAAAAAGAATGAAGTGATCATCAACAATATCATCAAAATTCATTTAACATGTGGTATGTGCTCAAACGGATAGAAGTAACAACAACAGCCGGCTTTGTTAAAGGCCTTCTTTAGATTCTGGCTTTCTCTCGGTAGATTAAAAAAAATGTAATGACTATTCAAAAATGCTTCAATGTAAGTTTATTTGAATAAATGATTTTCTATTCTATTCTATTCTATTCTCCGTCTCTTTCTCTCTCCCTTTCTCCTTTTGTTTTGTCTATTCTTCTTAACATTCTTCTTAATAATCTGAACATCTGCTTGCATTGATATTGTGTTTATTTCAATTATTCATAAGACTAAATCATTGGTCGCTATCTTTTAAACACGAGTAAACTTTAAGCAAAGCATGTCGCGAACATGGATCAGACAAAGATAAATTTAAATGTAATATTTACTAACGGAATTCTAGAAAATTAATCCTATACAAGAAAAACTATTAGAACCATACTAGAATTAACTGTTTGTTTACGAAATACATAACAAACTAAATCTTATTCGACATGCTTACATCATAATTGGCTTATATATAACGTTGATCATTAACTTAAAAAAAGTTAAAGACCTATTTGTAATATTTCAAATGTACTACAGAGTACTTTATATAAATTGGATTGGTACTCAATCAAATTTTATACGGTGCTGATAATCCTATAATGTTTGAATATGGCGTCTCAAGGCATACTTTGAATATTTTGTTTATTTTCCATTTAATAATACATATATATATATATATATATATATATATATATATATATATATATATATATATATATATATATATATATATATATATTCTTTATTGAACTTGTAAGTACATATAAAATAATGTATTTATAAATGTTGTGAGCAAGGGTGGACTTATCTCTAACAGAGATCTCTTCCAGTCAACCCAGTACAGTAAGAAAGCATTTCGTTAGCGGGCAGCTAAAGGTGCTACATATACATATGGCCGCAGCTAGGGGTGAGGGGAGGGGCATTGATGGGCAATGCTCTACCTTAAAAGGCCCAAAGCTCTACCTTCAAATGATAGGTCCTAAGAACATCAGACAGATTTGCTTTTTCAAAGTCACATAAATATGACTTTTGCCCAACCAAAAAGTTCTTTCGCCCTACCTTAAACTTGGGTTTAGCTAGGGCCATGATAATACATATAAATAGAACTTAATTCTAATTATGTCACAGTAGCCATGCAAATGTAGAAATATCTTGTATATAAGAATTTGAAAAGAGTAACTGTTGAGTTTCTGCCGGGTTCTTCTCAGCAGATAATCTACATCTAGAATCCAGTAGTACAATCATTAAAAATTGACTTTTTAAAAGAGCTTGTAAACAAATCTTTTTTTTTTTTATACAACTTAGAATGGCATATAAGCTGACGGTCCACCTGATGGAAAGTGGTAACTGTCGCCTATAGATATGAGCAGTACCATGGATATAACAGAGTATACGCTTTGGCCCATGATACCCCCCATGCGTTGCCATTCCTGAGGACTCAGGTATTATTCCTCTGTACCCAGTAAATTCACTGCCATATCCCACCCTTCAACCAGTAAATTTCTATTTTCTATTTGAATAAAGATTCTTTCTATTCTATTTAATATAATATAAAGTAATATGGTTTGTTTTCTATAATCTGTGATTTAAGCCAATTTAAATCTCGACGTAACAATGATAAAATCTTATAGAAAAATCTTTTAAAAATGTTACTCTATCCCATTTATGTTTCCAATGCCAAAAAACTATGCGTATTTATTTTATATTATACTATATTTTGGTTTGATGTATAATATATAACAGAAACCAGAGGGAGACTTTGTACAAAAGTCGTTTGCTTGGTCAACTCTGTCCCATTCGTGTTTCAACCGTAAAGCAGTTATTTTGCATGGCTGTGTTTCGGTTTGAAGGGTGGGATTTGTCGTGAATTTACAGGGTACAGAGAAATAACACCCGAGTCCTCAGGAATGGCAACGCATGGGGGGTATCATGGGCGAAACAGTATACTCTGTTATGTCCATGGTACTGCTCATGTCTATAGGTGACGGTTACCACTTTCGATCAGGTGGGCCGTCAACTTGTTTGCCATTCTAAATTCTATAAAAAATAGTGAGGATAGAAATTATGGAGAAATAACAAATCTTAGTCTTCAAGAAGGGTAACGCACGAGGGGTCATGTACATTGTACGTACATTGTATAAACTGTAAAGATAAAACGTAATGTAATGTAATGTAAATAGGACTCTATTTTTCGTGCTTAGCCTCTCATTTGGGCCGTTGTGCGTATGAGTCGTGGCTAGTACAGCCAACCTAGCTCCGCCCAAAAGCACAGAAGCTTCCTGGGATCTTCACAGGCCTCACGGAGCGACCTCACCGTTCCGATGATTTCTAAGATGAAACCAATATTGGAATCATTTCAGATTGCAATACCATGTCGACCACAGAAGACCTTCACCATATATGTATACGATGTGCCTGATGAGGTGCCCGAGGAAGATGTCCGCCATGCGTTGTACAAGTACACGTCCGTAGTTGAAGTTGTCCGTCTTCACTTCTCTGGATCACCAAGAGATGGTAATGCATTTAACATGTTGTTCTTGAAAACTTGAAAGATAAAGCAAATTTCGAAGCAAAAATAATTGTTTTCAAGAAATGAGAAGTAACTCGATTTAAAACTAAAAGGTGGTAAAAAAGCTAGGGAATGTCTTTCTTCAAATATACCTACGTGGATACCTCTAATAACTACATAGGACAGATAAAAGAAACACTAGGTGTCATGTCGTATAAGGAGGTCAAGGATATGGCCTGGGTTAGAACTAGCTGGAGGAAGATGCTTAATTAGTTGCACCGATAAGAGAAAACTCTTAAATGTAATAAAAAGAAGATAGACAATTTATTTACATTACTTACAGTACACAAATTACAATAAAAAAAAACATACACATAATACACAGCAAAAGAGACAAAAGAATAAAAATAAAAAAGCACAAATAAAAAAAACATTTCTCAAAATGATATTACTGTTTGTATGGCTGTGCTTCGGTTTGAAAGGCAATAGAATGCGTAGGGGGGAAAGGGATCGTTAGTAACGAGGTCTAGCTGACCCATTGCTAGTAATACACCCTATCAGATCGGCCTCCACGCGGTTCCCCTGGAAACCATCGTGGCTAATTCTAGTGGAATTCGTCACGATGGGCTAACTGACCAGCCTTTTCATCGTCACCTATCATCCCTTACTGGTGCCCTGCAAGCGTATACCGATAGCGCAGGCGGAGTTTGCCATTCCATTATCACCAATTAAAAAATAGGATACGTAACGTACTTAATCTTAGTCCTCAGTGATAGCCATACTTATCTGTGCCCTATATTATCTATGCCCATGGTATGTACTTTATGTGGTACTATTTAGGTAGGTCGTTAGCTAATTTGCTATTCCAAATTCCATGAAAAGGCTAACATTCTTATCTATGTAGTAGGGAGAAAACATTGCCCAGTACTGAGGCGTTAATAGGTCATTATGGTAACTAAATATTTGTTACAAAGAGAATATCAAAAAATGTAGCCTATGTGATAGCAAGTGATGTCTATAAACGAAGCAATAATAAAAACACCACCGGCGCCTTTTCTCTCCTGTAACATGAAGATCTTGAGCGTCAGTACTAAGTAATTTCACCTTCAAACCAAAACACAGCATACAATCAAGTAGCCAAGCTGGTGTCAGTTAGGTATTAGTTCTAATCACCGTGTAGGTCCCGGCATAAAATAGGCCACCCCTTCCTTTCCCATGGATGTCGTATGAGTCGACTAAGGGAGGTCGAAGGATGGACAGCAGCGTTCCTCTTAAAACATCTCTAAAAGCCTAACTACGGTTACCAATTCGTCTGCCAAGCGTGGCAACTATTGCCAAAACTCCCCAACAGGGAGGTTTATGTTCAGCAGTAGATAGTTAAAGGCTAAATATGTTTGTATGTTTTTTTTTTTAATTGGCGAAATAAAAGATGTGTATACTGACATTTGTATTCGGTTCTTTCTGTCAACCCTGTAAGATATCAACAGGAAAAATGGATACAGAAATTTGACTGAAGCAACATTAAACATTGTATCTAATTCAGGCACATCAACCCCAAAACCTGTAGAGAAGACTCCACCTCGAGCTCTCACAACCATCGATGGGGAACTGGTCAGCAGCATGGTTCCCAAAGAAGCCACCAGCGTCATCCGCGTCACTCTCGCGAACATCGAGGAAGCAAACATTCTACTCCAGAACGGTCTTGACTTCTACGGTGCTACGTACTTCCCAACTGAACTGGCAACTCCGGCTCAAGCTGCTAAGCTTATAAAACCGAGCAGGTAACTATTGCCTTCGACTATCATGAACTGGTCCTTAAACTAAGGTATTAGAGTTACTATTTGTTCGTACGACTGATGGCATTTCACGACACAATGCACTGCAGCCATCTCTTGTTATTTGTTAAGAATTTCTAACTTTTCTATCCTCAGGAGTGGCAATGCATGAGATGTTCTATAGGTAGAGAAGAGAGTATTATTTAATAAATTCGCTCGTCTCTGTAGACTAAAACCCAATACACAAAAAACAAGTTCATTGAGAAAGGAACCTTATCTTTCCATACTTTAGCTGTTTTGTAAATAAACTCGTTTTGTAGATTGTGGGCAGTTCGAATAGTTTATACACTGTTGACGCAAGGGAGAAAGAGATTGTTAGAAATGGGATCTAACAGTTCCATTGCAGTATACTCTATCAGGTCAATCTCCATGCGGTTCCTTCTGGAAACCACTGTGGTTAATTCTTGTGGAATTCGTTACTACAGACTAACACACCTACTTTCACCCTCACCTATCATCTCTCACTGGTACCCCAGCAGTGTGTACCAATGGCATTGGCGAAGTCACCAATTTTTCACCCATTAAAAACAACTGTTGACACAATCAAAAAAATTTAATAGGTTTAAATAGACTCACATTATTTAGTTCCTTAACAACCTGTAGTATTTTTTTCTGAGCACTTACTTATATTGTAACTAACATATAGAAGTCCGTATATTTCCAGAGTGACTGGTGGTACTGTCTCCGCGAGGGTTCGAGACTTACTGCCTGTCTTCGACCAGCAAGGCTTCGCAAAGTTCGCACCGCCAGCTTCAAGACTTGTAAAACCTCGGTCCAAGTGAGATTTGGAGAAAAAAAGACGTAATTTTTCATTGCTGTTGATATACTGAGTGTTTCCCATTTGATATTTTTGACATTAATATAAAATTATAGGATATAAATGCATAAGACCATAGCCTCAATAAGTGCAACACATAAAGGATACTATGGATACACAATAGATTTTATGATGTCCATTAACTACTAGGTACTATTTAATGTCTTTAGATTATGAGTCCCATTTTCCACCAAGTGCGTAATAGCAACTACGCCGACGGGGTCATTATTCATATTATTATTTTGTCTAAATTTCATAAAAAAAAAACATATGTTTTATAATATTGAGGATAACATTATTTTAATATTTTGAAAAGTTTCGTCTTTCTGATAACTGCATTAGAATTCTTTTGTTTAATTCCGCTACCCTAAGTTCTCGTGAAACATTTATTATATATATTCTTTATTGCACATGTTAAATATAAAGGTAATACATTTATAAATATTGTGAGCAGGGATGGACTTGTCTTTATATTATCTCACTTTTAAAATATTTTATGAGGAAGAGCTCTTACCCGCGACATCGCGTAAACATAATATATCAATAACTTCTCCACTCCACATAATTAGTTGAGCTATTAAGACAATAAGAGGTAAGAACTTGCTTTCACATTCATATATATGGTATCGAACACTTGATTGCAGGTTACATCAATGAATCTGATCTCTTGTTTACCAAAAGACCCTGCTGTTACAGAATCTATCACTGTCTTCAAAAATAAACATAACAGTCTGCAGAACTATTTGTAGCAGAAGATATTGTATTACTAAAAAAGGAGGTCGTAGATCCTGCATTAGCGGTAATCAATCCTCTATACTAAATGATTATACTTATTAAAATATTTAATTAAATTATTTTACAATAACTTAATTTAGTGAAGATAATGATTGTATCATTATCTTCACTAAATAATGTCTTGATGACTTTGTGATTGTAAAAAAAAAATCTGTCTACTTTCGTGGGGTTCTTTTCGTTAGATCTATTACTATTTTATACTCCTTTCAAATATTTATTTTGTTAAAACAAACATTTGAAAGTTAAAAATTTATTTGAATAAAGTTTCTGACACTTGTAAGAGTAGCGGAATCAAACATAATAATGCAAATGCAAACAATTTTTTTATCATAATTACAATATCAAATGAGATAACGTTATTTGGTTGACAATGCTGTGACAAAATTATGTCTCACGATTTTGGCGTGATTCCACGGATTTGTACGTATGTAGATGGTTTATGATGTACGAAAACACTAACATACATATATTAATAATTCACAAAAAAAAAATTAATACATTTTTGTTAATTACAAAGATTGTTCATTTTATAATTTTATAAATATATTACCGCTTATCTTTTTTTTTTTGTACCGAAATGCATTTATTTTTAGTTTTCATTAGTTTACATTACTAATGAACGTTATGTGCCATTTAATTTATCGTAGATTTTTCTTTTTATCATTTAATGTTGTCAGAGATAATAATAAATTTTTATTTTATACATAAAAGTATTTTTTTTTAAATCTTTTAACAAAATTCTCTTTACTACTATTATGATTAAATATAAGTTATAGACAAAAATTCTTTCTGCCTTTAACTTATATTCCTAGACTTTCAACAGGTAACTATCCTTTCCTTTTTTTTTATTCAGAACATAATAAAACCACTGAAAATTCATGTGTATATGTAGCACAACTGTTTTTGTTTCTTACCTAAGCACAGAAAAAAATGCAAACTCTTCCTGTATTTGTATAGAAAAAAAAAATATAAAAAAAACAATAGTTAAAAAAGAACTATAATAATAGTACACTTAGTAAACGTCATTTAAGACCACGAGTATCACAGATTATAAATGTTCGCTTTAAGCAATTCAAACCCTAAGAAATAAATAACTAAAACTACACCTTAGTATTTTCACTTATGTCTTTCTTGCTTTTAAACTTTTCTTCGATCTCTTGCAAACTTTTCCCTTTAGTTTCCGGTAGTATGAAGTACATTAAACCAGTACCTACAAACGCTATAATTCCATAAATCAGGAAAGTAGTCACTTCTCCCAAATGTGTCATCATTCCTGGAGCTGTTTTGACCACTGCGAAAAATGCTGCAAAAGTCGTGGCTGAACTGATGCCAGATCCTAGTCCTCGAACTCTCGTTGGAAATACTTCACCACACATGATCCATGGTAATGGAACCAAACCTATGGATATAGCGCAAATATACAGCATCAAAAATACCATCGGTATCCAAGTGAGATTTGGTGGTTTCCAATACAAGTACATGGACAACCCTACCATTGAGAGGGCTGTGAAAATTCCACTGATAAAACACAATGGTCTTCGACCATACTGTTTGCATATTATACATGCAATAACTGACATGACAACTCTTAAAGCGTCTATTATTAACATAACCATATAATGATTTAGCCCTTTACCGACAGCTTTCTCTACAATTTCAATAGAATAAAACGCCACGGCGTTTACTCCAGAAAATTGGTTAGTTATGAAAAATGTAATCATTATGAACAAAGGTTTTAACAATTCTGGGCTCTTTAGACTTATCATTTTCTCTTTCCAATTCATTGTAGGTTCAGCATCAACCAGTTTCTTGCTCTCAATAATACCTTTCAACTCATTATTCGCTTCTTCACTGTAGCCTCTTAACCAATTGAATGATTGAGCACCTTTCTCAATGTTTCCTTTAGAAATCAACCAAGTTGGACTTTCAGGTATGAATGCTAGTAACACTGCAGTTAAAACTGGGAATAGGCAACATATCGTTGCAGTCCATTTCCATGCAATGAATGTTCCAATTAGATGAGCAACAAATATACCTACAGCAATGGCTAAAGATACACCGGCGAGAAAGAATCCTCTATATTTTGGATCTGATGTTTCTCCAATATAAACAGGTCCAAGAGGGCCTAGTAAACCAACGCATAGTCCTGTAAAAAATCTTCCTAGTAGCATTAATATTAGGTTGTTTGCGCAAGCAATGAGAATCCAACCAAGCAGAAATGGTGCACAAACAATGTAGTGCGATGTTTTTCTTCCAAATTTCTCCATAAGCCATCCAGATAGGAGACACCCTGGTGCCATAGGCAATGCGGCCATTGCAGCTGAAATTAAATATATTGTTCAATTTTAATTTTTATAATCAATTGTGACTTTTAATATGAACACAATTCCTTTGGTCATTGAAACAATTTGAATATCAACTTACTACACTGTAAATTCCCATGTAGGATTATATCAAAAAATGTATAGATATTTAAAAAAAATAATTATGTATCCAAAATATATCATATAAATATATATTTATTATTTATTATTCTTTTTAATACATGATAGATTATTTTAAGCAGAAATTGAAATTAAAATTAAATAAATAATTATTTCCATATTTAGACAAAAGAAAAGACCTAGATTGACCTACATTGAAAATGGACGTCTTAGCTACTTGCAAATGGATATTAGTTAAATGTAATATATCGTCATTTACATATATCAATAACTGTTATGGATACGATGAATCATGTTATTTGCTAATAGAAACTAGATAACGACAATTACCAACCTATCCAAGATTTCGTACTCTCGTCGATTGCTATCGGACTGCCAGACAGTTCGAGCTGAGGTAGCAAAATAGCGGAGTACCCTGACGTAAGGCCAGCGGTGAAGCTCAGAAATATCGAAGCCATTGCTGCCAGGGACTGAAATTTAGTAGAAAAAATAATAATAATAATAAATAAACTTCCCTGCAATATCAAACAGCGACATCTAGTATAAATTAAAATAATTAACACTGCTGAATATATGGTACGCTTTAAAAAGTCACACCACGATGGAGTGCGTTCAGATCCAGAGACCCGGGGGTAGTTGTTACCGAAGTTGAAGCCGGAGCAAAGGGAAATTCCCTGAGGTCTCTACCAACCCCTACCTAAGGATTGAAGACCATTGATTGATTGATGGCACAGCGCCATCTAGTCTACTAAAATAGGCAGAGCTTGTATTATAAGTAGTAAGCAATTGAAAAACAAATATATCAATGAATATGTTTTTAAAATGGATTAAATATTAGAGTAGAATGTATTATGGTCGAATTAATTGTTCGTTTGTTTCTATTTTAACAAATTTCTACTGAAATAGACTGTAGTAGTAGCAAGTGTTCTATTATCTATGGCAGTAGGTAGTTGGTAACAAATACAAAATATCAAGTAATGTTGACAAACCGAAATTTCAAATTTAGATTTCAAATTTACCAGAGGAAGACTTTGTACAAAAATCGATTGCTTGCGTACCTCTGTTCCATTCGTGTTTCAACCGTAAAGCAGTTGTGTTTGCATGGCTATGTTTCGGTTTGAAGGGTGGGATATGGCGTGAACTTACTGGGTACAGAGGGATAACACCTGAGTCCTCAGGAATGGCAACGCATGGGCGAAACAGTATATATACTCTATTATGTCCATGGTACTGCTCATGTCTATAGGTGACGGTTACCACTTTACATCAGGTGGGCCGTCAGCTTGTTTGCCATTCGAAGTTGTATAAAAAAAATTGATATTAACTGGCATCCAGACATAACTATCTAAGATAAATTCACCGTACAATAGCGGAATGATAAGAAACTTTACAGTCATTGTCTGATAAGATCAAATGTTACAAATATATACAATGTATGTAATACCTATTTATAAAAGGTTACTGACATAAACAGTTTGATTAAGTTTTAACTAAGAAGTTATTAATAAATTAGCCAATTAACTAAATCATGCTAAGCCATCTGCTTAGCATCATAATAAATAAATATCCCTGCAATACAAAACAGCGACATCTAGTATAAATTAAATTAATTAACATGCTGAATATATGGTACAGCTTTAAAAAGTCAATCTAAGATGGAGTGCGCTTAAATCCAGAGACCCGGGGGTAGTTTCAAAAAAAAAATTATTTTTGCCTTATAAAGAAGCATCTACGTAGATGGATGAACTTAGAAAAGGAGTAATTAATTATTGGGGTGTGAGACGTGAAACTATTGAATATTGCAAATAACGACTGGATAAAATAATGAGAAAAGAAGTGAAAAAATAATGTTAAACAAAAAGCAAAAATAAAAAACAAAAAACAATATTAACAACACGTAATAGAAAAAGTTCTAACAAGTTTCTACAAAAAGTCTAGTCTTTTTATTGATAGAAATAAACATAAGGCCAGCAGGACATCAGTGGTTTATCATTACCTTAATCATCACATCAGACGTTAACTGTCCATGGCTTCTCTTGTAAGAGGGGAGGGGCGTGCCAGTAGTTGCCACGCTTGGCAGGCGGATTGGCATCCGCAGTTTAGCTTTAAAGATATTTTAAGGGGGACGCTGCTGCCCATCTCTGACTCCCTTTCAGTCGCCTCTTTCGAGACCCCTGGTATAGGAAAGGGTGACCTATTCTATACCGGACTACACAGCATGGAATAGCAAGTAGAATATAATAAATTTATATATTAAACAATATTTCCTAAATATTAAAAAAAAAAACATATTTTGAATGACATATTTGTACTTAAATGTTTCTTTATCAAATGAATGGATTATTTGAACTTATTATAATACATTTCGATATGTTTTTACTTTCATTTTAATTTATTACCTTGTTTGGAAATGTATCTGGCTGTTTGAACGAAACCTTATCTAAACAATTCACATATCTTGACGAGGTATTTTTTTTTTATTACCTAAACTATATTTAAATATAGCTGATAATTTTAAACTATTCTGGGGGACAGACGTGACGTACATATATGTGTGTACATGTACGTGTATGTATTTTTTTTTTCATTTAAGAGTTTCCTCTTGTCGATGCAACTATTTATTTTATGTAACTAAAATTAATGAATAATTTAAATTAATTGTTATTTACCAGAGGGAGACTTTGTACAAAAGTCGTTTGCTTGACCACCTCTGTCCCGTGTTTCTACCGTGAAGCAGTTGTGTTTGCATGGCTGTGTTTTCGTTTGAAGGGTGGGATATGGTAGTGAATTTACTGGGTACAGAGGAATAACAACTGAGTCCTCAGGAATGGCAACACATAGGGGGTATCATGGGCGCAACAATATACTCTGTTATGTTCATGGTGCTGCTCATTTCTATATGCGACGGTAACTACTATCCATCAGGTGGGCCGTCAGCTTGTTTGTCATTGTAAGTCGCATAAAAAAATGTAAAAAATATTTTAGATATAATTATTAATGGATATGTTACAAACGAATTTGGCCCACATTTTAATCGCCTATCAAAAATTCTGCAAAGAAGAATGAACATGTATCTATTCTGTGACCCTTTTAAATACGTCTGAGATTACTGTGTTATCAGGTTTAAAAAAAAAACTAAGTAAACACATTTTATACTTAATTGGTAATATTAAACCAAATAGCGCCCAATCAGGAAATACTATAAACTTATTATAAAATCTCTGAATATTTATTAGTATTATAATCCTATTAAAATATATATATATATATATATATATTTATTGGAGTAATAACGACTCATTTTATTAATAAGACTTGTTGGAATAATATCTCTTTTTCAAACATGCTTGGAAATGTGAGCATTATTTTGACAATCTACTTCAAGATAAATCAAAATTGCCGTACTGACCAGATACATGCGGGCAGCGGCCGGCAAAAGTTGTATGTAAATCCATCTGTCGTGTTTTGCGGCCAGATAAATTACTATGTAAACTCATATCTGTCCTGTAATTTAAAAATGGAATGACCTTTTACTTCGAAACATGACTACCAAGGAGGTAACTAATAAAAGGTTTTATTTAAATTTCGAACTGATTTGCAAATAGAAAGCTGTTTATTGAAAAAGAAAAAAAAGGAATATTATGACGCGTGAAAAAATATTATTGGTCGTTATTCGTCATTGAACTTAAAAAGTAAAATTGTGTTTTTGATTTCCGCGCATTTTTTGAGAAAAGTACTATACAAGTCTTGGCCACAACTATGCATTGATGGACTCACGTATGTGTGCCTCGGCTACGCCTCGGCGCACATTTGCACGTTCGTCCATCAATGCCTCAGTTGCTGGTCGCTGCAGTAATGTACTATATATAATATTACTTAGCTAATAATATACTAGTATATAATTGTTACATCATACACTTTAAAATTTTGCAGCAATGATTCACGCATGCGCAGTCCAGCCTGCTCGCAATCATGCCCAGGTTGCTCTTGGTGTTGAATTTAACGTCTTAAGGAAAGTAAGTAAATAATTGCCATACAGTACCAGCATAGAATAGAACCGGCATACCCTTTCCTTTCCCGTGGGTGTCGTAAGAGGCAACTAAAGGAACTTAACGGCCGAAGAATGAGCAGTAGCGTACCTCTTTATTTTATTTTATCTTTATGTGGTCTCCCAGCAATTGTTACACTGATAAGATTTAATATTAAAATTATTGTCTATTTATACTTAGTGTACAATCATTTTAAAGGAAACACAGCTTGCTAATTAACAAAAACAATAATATGGTACAACAATCTCTTGAAGCATTTGACATTGGTATAGTTTTTTAGATTCAATAGATAATTGCTTCACATAAGTTTTAGCTATTTAAATTACTGCAATGCTTTCCTATAGAAATCCTCTTCCTCTTAACATATCTGCAACGTCTAACTGCAGTTGCTAAGCTGCCTGCCAAACGTGGCAACTACTGACCACCCTCTAATAGAGGAAAGTCTATATTCAGCAGTGGATAAGTAACACCTGGTATTGTTAATGGTAAGTAAATAATAATTTTTTTTATATATTTAAGGAAATTACAATTGTCCCTAGAAGGTTGATTTATGAAATGGTTTTTTTTTATACGACTTAGAATGTCAAAAAAGCTGACGGCCCACCTGATGGAAAGTGATAACCGTCGCCTATAGACATGAGCAGTACCATGGACATAACAGAGTATACTGTTTCGCCCATGATACCCCCCATGCGTTGCCATTCCTGAGGACTCAGGTGTTATTCCTCCGTACCCTGTAAATTCACGCCATATCCCACCCTTCAAACCGAAACACAGCCATGCAAACACAACTGCTTTACAGTTGAAACACGAATGGGACAGAGGTAACCAAGCAATCGACTTTTGTACAAAGTCTCCCTCTGAAATACGTTACCTGTCTCCATATTGGTGAAAATCTGACTACCGTTGTGGATTCAGCTAGCAATGTTGCTTCTTTACTGTTTTTCTCATTAGACATCCCAATATTGGAGCTAGATATCATTATATTTTCACTGTATCGTGACATTTTTTCCTCGGCTTTCTTTGTATTATTATTTTCCTCTCTACTGTCGTTATTTGCTTGTTCACCACTGCCAATTTCCTTGCCATCTTTATTTTGTTGTTCTTCAGCTTGAATATTGTTTATGTGTTCTTGTTTGTTCTGTTTTGATTCTGCCTTTTGATTTTCTGCATCAGCATCGCCCATTGTTATACCTGAAGTAAAAAAAATTAATGATTAACTTATTTTTTATTCTTATATAATAAAGAAGAAGCCGTATAATCTCGGCTCATAAATGGGCCTTAATTCCTTTCCCGTGGGTGTCATAAGAGGTGACTAAGGGAACTTAATCGTCGAGGGATGGGCAGCAGCGTCCCTCTTAAAACATCACCAAACCCTAACTGAGGTGGGGGAAAGGGATTGTTAGTAATGGAGACTGAGAATCCTATTGCTAGCAATATACCCAACCAGGTCGACCTCCTCGCGGTTCCCCGTGGAAACTATCATGGTTAATTCCTGATGAATTCATCATGATGGGTTAACTAGCCTGTTTTCATTCTCATCTATCACCCTTCACTGGTGCTCCGCCAGCGTATCCCATTAGCGCAGGCGGGGTTACCATACCATTTTCATCCATCAACCCTAACTGCGGTTGCCAACCCATCTGCCAAGCCTGGCTACTACTCACAAATACCCCTTATGAGAGAAGTCTATGTTGAGCAGTGGACAGTTAACGCCTGTAATGATGATGATGATGATGAATATAAATACATAAGTAGAATAAGGTATAATATGAATAGCAAAAAAGGTAGACTTCCACCTGATCCCTCTACAAACTGTAGTTAATCTATGGTAAATTTATCACGAGGGACCAACTAACTTTTTTTATATATCCAACTTAGAATGGAAAACAAGCTGACGGTCCACCTGATGGAAAGCGGTAACCGTCGCCTATAGACATGAGCAAATACCATGGACATAACAGAGTATACTGTTTCGCCCATGATTCCCCCATATGGGTTGCCATTCCTGAGGACTCAGATGTTATTCCTCTGTACCCTGTAAATTCACGCCATATCTCACCCTTCAAACCGAGACACAGCCATACAAACACAACTGTTTCATGGTTGAAACACGAATGGAACAGAGGTACCCAAGCAATCGACTTTTGTACAAAGTCTCCCTCTGGTGACTAACTATGTATTAATGTTATATTATTATTGTATGTACTTTTATTATTTACATATATAAGTGTATACAGCTGTTTTTATTGTATTATATATTTAATTTTTTACTGGGTATTATTTAGTTTATCTTTAATTGTACGGTTATTACCCTTATACATTCTATAGTTTTCTTTCAGCTTCTCAAAGGTTGACTGAAAGAGATCCCTTTATGGGATAAATCGGCCATTGTATATTAAATCATTTAATGTATTCAATGTGAGTTATGTACGATAAAGTTTTTACAATACAATACAATAACCTAAATCCATCGTCATTATTTATTTATTTATTTTATTTATTCATCAGTACAAATATGTGTACATGGCGAACTTAATGCTAAAAGCATTCTCTCCCAGTCGACCATAGGGAAGTGTCAGAATACTCGAATGCGGTACTACTAATTATTGATATACATACATACTAAAATTACATATATCGTCATCTATCATTCTTTACACACACACACACACAAACACTTTTATTTTTTTCCAATATTAACTTTACTGTTCTTTTTTTATCTCCTAGTATTAATTATTGTTTTTTGTATTTTTATTTTTGTATTGTATAATTTCAGCGGAATGCATTTTGTTTAATTATTATTTAAACACATATCGGTTGTGGGGCCCGGTGATCTGTACTACAGGTCTTAACCTATTACAGACACCAGGTCCTCACAACAGTTCCATATTATATCCTAAATACCTATGTGTAAATTTAAGTTGTTTGTGAGGAGACATAAATAAATATATTATTATTATTATATTATTATATTTACAATAAAAAAAAAATAGACAACGGGACCGTAATATTCAGCTATGTTTTTTAACAATAACCAGATAAAATTATGAATTCATTACATCAACCTACATTTCTGACGCCAAAGAGATATACGGTGTTTAAATATAATTTATCAGAGTTCAATAGTCGTATTATTTCATATAGGAGCACGTGATTCAGTCACGTGATCACAATAATAACTATAGTGGTTGAACCACAGCGGTGCGGCGAGAAAGGGAGTGTTAGTAATGGAGACAAATAGCCACATTACTAACAATGTACCCTATCAGGTCGACCCCTGGAAACCATCGATGGAATACATCACGATGGGCTAACTGACCCGCTTTCATCGTCACCTATTACCCGTCATTGGTACCCCGCCAGTGTATACCGATAGCGCAAGCGGGGTTACCATTACATTGTCACCCATTTAAAAAAAAACCACAGCGGTGCTCGTCTTTTCTAAATTATAAAATTAAAAATAATTGTTCATGCGAACTATTCGATGTAAATATATGTTCCGATTCTCTATCTATAGATAATTATTTAATATATATACTAAAAAAAAAAAAAATTGGGCATCCTCTTAAAAAATATCATACGTATTAGAAAGAAAGAAAGATAAAAATTTTTTTAACCCTATATTTTTACAACTCTTGTCATAATCGCAACAAATTTTAATATCGATGTAAATCATTTTTATTAAAATTTTTTTTATACAACTTAGAATGGCAAACAAGCTGACGGCCCACCTGATGGAAAGTGGTAACCGTCGCCTATAGACATGAGCAGTACCATGGACATAACAGAGTAAACTGTTTCACCCATGATACCTCCCATGCGTTGCCATTCCTGAGGACTCATGTGTTATTCCTCCGTACCCTGTAAATTCACGCCATATTTATTTATTTATTTATTCCCCATATCCCACCCTTCAGAATAAACTACTAATTATTGATATACACAACCGAATAAATATATATAAATAACAAATATAACACAACTGCTATATTATGAAATTGAGACCCTTCATAGGAAACACAGATGGTGGTCAAGCAATCAAGCAATCTTTTGTACAAAGTCCCCCTCTGGACTCTCTCCCTAGACTTGTTTACAAGTACTTTTAAAACGCCATTTTTTTTAAATCTACTGCACAGTTCGGGAGGTTGTTATCTGTTGAGAAGAGCCTGCAAGAAACTCAACAATTACTCTTTTAAATTTCTAATTATGTGTATTTATTTAAATGTATTATATTTAAAATTTCATGGCCGTTAAAAACCCGTGTATGATCGACATTTTTTTTATTATGCATGTAGTACTTTATTTATATCTTAAAAATGTTCATCGTAAGCCCATAGTTTTCATTTTTTAAATAACCAATTTACAAATGATCGTTTCTTAAATGAGCCTAACCGCGGATCGAACCCGGGACCTAATTTTCGCAACATATCTACTAACAAGGATGTCGTAATGTTTGTTTGTCTAGATAAATACGATGCACAAATGTGTTGGCGCATAAAAAAGGACACAGCGGTCGCGAGTCGCGACTAAGTCTTACGCATTCATTACACGCAAACCATTGTTCCTTGAGCTAATTATTGCTTAAGCGACATATTTTAGGGTTCCGTGTGAAAGAGGTGGAAAAGAACCGTCACCGTGCGGCCACGTCCATTTATCCGTCTATATGTTACAACTATCATTGCCAATATTGATTTAAAATTTACAAAAGTTAAAAATATACCTATATATTGCAAGTACTATATATTAATCACAGCTTCGTGTATAATATAGTATATTTTATATATGTGTAAGTATATTTGTTATTTATATATATTTATTTGTTTATATATGTATGTGAATTTTAGTATTTATGTATTTTTTTATATACAACTTAGAATGGCAAACTTGCTGACGGCCCACCTGATGGAAAGTGGTAACCGTCGCCTATAGACATGAGCAGTACCATGGACATAACAGAGTGTACTGTTTCACCCATGATACCCCCCATGCGTTGCCATTCCTGAGGACTCGGATGTTATTCCTCAGTACCCTGTAAATTCACGCCATATCCCACCCTTCAAACCGAAACACAGCCATGCAAACACAACTGCTTCACGGTAGAAACACGAATGGGACAGAGGTACCCAAGCAATCGACTTTTGTACAGTCTACCTCTGGTATATATACATATATATGTATATCAATTATTACTAGTATTCTCCCACTTCCCTGAGGTCGACTAGGAGAGAATGCTTTTAGCATTAAGTCCGCCTTGTACAAATAAATGTACTAATGAATAAATAAATAAAATTATTGATGTATATATAAAATAAAAAGATAAAAAATAAACTCTAAACGCATCATTAGGTTGTCATCTCCCTTCGTAACTGAATAAGTCATCTGCTTGACTAAAAGTCGATCTGTCGACAGGTCGCATCGTTAGCCATAGTCCCTCTAATGTGGACACTAGATTAGTTTTTTCTTTATGGATGATAATGGAATGGTAACCCCGCCTGCGCTAACGGTATAAGCTGGTGGGGCACCATAGGTGAGAATGAAAAGGCAGGTCAGTTAGCCCATCGTGATGAATACACCTAGAATTCAACACGATTGTTTCCAGGGAGACAACGTGGATGTCGACCTGAGAGGGTATATTGTTAGCAATGTGATTGGCAGTCCGCATTACTAACAATCCCTTCCCCCCTCACTAGACCAGTTATCCTCGCCTTATTTGACACCCAACGTGGGACTCGAACTCACGACCCTGAGAGTAAGAATCCCATTCTCTACCGACTGGGATGTTCGGGCCATAAATTTTGTTTGTCTTGTCTACTGCTGTACATAGGCCTCCCCTATAAAGGAGATTTTGCCAGTACTCGCCACGCTCGACAAGCATGTTGGCAACCGCAGTTAGGCTTTAGATGTATTTTAAGAGAAACACTGTTGTTCGTCGCTTGACCATTAAATTTCCTTATTCACCTCTTACGACACCCACGGAAAAGAAAGAAGTCGCCCATTCTATGCCGGGACCATACGGCCTGATACAGTATACAGTACACAATTGTTTCCTCTATAACAGTGTTTCCCAAAGTGGGGCCTATGTCCCACAAGGGGGCAATTTGATAGTTAAGGGGGGAATTCAAAAATGGACTCGAAGCGATTTTAACCCTCTTACTCAGGGCCATCAGGGCTAACGGGATACGCTGGCGGAG